TTGATAATAATTGTAACCCGTTGAGTGTCCACAAAGAAATTGTGGACGGGCTGGCGGTCAGGGGCGACGACAATATACCGCCACATGAAAATGTGGGCGTATAAAAATTGTGAACTCTAGAGTGTCCACAAGCTAAAAAGGTGATTTTTTCGTACAATCGGGGGCCATAAACCATGGGATTACGGCCTGATACATGCCAAGTTCGAAAGGAACCGAGATCTTTGGGAGAGAAACCTACATTTCAAGTTTCATCATAATAGAAGTTTTCTGAAAGTTTTTTTTTTAAAAAAGCTGACAAACACTCTAGCCTTTACTGCACTGACAAGGTTTTCAGAGAAAATCAATGGGTTCGTCCTTCCATGACACCAATGTTTTATACCAGATTTGGACAGAATCCGTCAAAATCTGTAGCCTCTATCACATTAACAAGGTGTCCGGCAAAGATCACTAACTATAGAATACCTTGTAAACTACATTATTTTAAAATATTATTCTCTAATAGGTATATCAGTCCCAAAATTGTTCAGTTTCGTTCAGTATTTACAAAGATATATGGCAAATTGAAAATACAATCTATGAAACAAAAGGATCACCATTTTATTTGTCTTGACCAAATTGATGAGACTGTTTTAAATCCTATTGAATCAAAACCAGGAGATTATTTAGCGTTGGTATTTTGATTTTGTTTTCTTAATCAAATTTTAAATAATCAATCTGAGTATATATTAGCATAGATTAGGCTGTGAGAAATGGGAATCAGGCATCATTACTTTAAGGCCGGGGAGTGCTGAAAAATGATAGGGTTTCCTTCCATGACCCAAATGCTTCATACCAATTTTGAAGACAATCTGTTCAAAACTGTCGCCTTTAATGTTTTGGTAAGATTGTCTGCAAAGGGGAGTAACTCCAAAACCAAAGGTTGCGGAGCACTGAAAACCAATGATTCACCCTCTCATAACCCGAATACATTATACCAAAAATGAAAAGGCTATAAGCATTCTACGGCATTTTTAACAAGGAGCATTTGCATAGTTTTGGGGAAATCATGACGGTTCAATGAATAAGACACTGGCTTCTTCAGATGGGACGAAAGACTAAGGTTCATAGCTGGAATTCGATAGAGGGGGGTTGGATGGCTGAATGGTTAGCGTGCGCGCGCTGTATCATACAGTCTGTCATTGAGTCGACTGGCGTGGTTTCGAATCCCCGGTTGTACGTGGCAAGGAGTAGGGTCGCCTGTCCAGCCTCGTGGGTTTTCTCAGGGTCCTCCGGTTTCCTCCCACTGCTAAAGACCCCTACGCGCAAGCGAATTATGTAAATAAAATTAAACCATATGTTAGTCCCGAAATGACCTAGTTTGTGTCGAGTGGATATAAGTTTAAGCCTCATATTAGCGCCGCTGTCCCGGCATAATTTCACTAATGGGATATTGCATGGGGTATGCCTGTCTTTATTGGCCCCGTCGGAGCAGAACAACATGATATCAAACACCATTTCATTTCATTCCTTACGGTCACACTTTTGAAATTATATTATATAACCACCCACTTTTCTACCCCGAAGAGTTCAAAGCAACACATACTTCAAAGTTTGAAACCCTACATGCACAACCCCAGTTTTGCATTCAATCTGATCTATAGTCAAATCCCTTCGAATCAAAAATGGTTTTCTATGTTAATTGATGAAAACCCGTGTAAGCTGCTTGAACTTTAGCCAGATCATTAAAAATATAAGAACATTTACATACCTAATTGATGTATCATCAGCACAGTCGCTAAGTAATCAGGACTTCACCCGTTCTCTATGTTGTGGGGGGTCAAAATACTGATATATGAACCACACAAGGGACGAAAAGTTTACAAAAGTTGATTAAAACCCATCCAATAAAAACCCTGAAATTATACAATTTTGATATAGAGAGGGGGGGGGGGATGGGGACTAACATATGGTGTAATTTTATTTCAATAATTCGCTTGCCTGTAGGTGTCTTTAGCAGTGGGAGGAAACCAGAGGACCCGGAGAACCCCACGAGGCCGGACAGTCGACCCACGTCCTTGTCACGTACAACATGGGAATCGAAACCACGCCAGTTGACTCATTGACAGACCTTATGATACAAAGCGCACACGCTAACCATTCGGCCATCCAACCCCCAATTTTAATATATATAACATATATAATTAATCAAACATATAAAATCAATGCATTTGTATTCATTAAAATAATATATATATCTATACTATCTTCTATATATACTAATATTTGTGAATGTCGTTTGTCTGTCTGTCTGTTTGTCTGTCTGTTCGGGGTTGGCGGCTACACTAGGTCTGCCCCGAGTCTGAAATTTGGGGTATAGGGGTAGCTCGGACCGGGGAGTAACATACGCCAGGTGACGTTAGTCTACCACTTCCGGTTTCGGGGTTATGACCCCCGGGCTGTTCGGGGTTGAGTATACACTCACTAATATAATTTTTCTATGAAAATTAATTCATATAAATACTTTATAATCTTTCAAAATGAAGAAAAAGTCCCACTGCTAAGCTAGGCCGATTGTATACTTCATGCATAGCGAGGCCGATTAGGCTCTCTATACGCGATATTGAATGATGCATTTCCGTGTTTCTGGGATATATAGTATAATGTCCTTAATATACGTAACATGTTCGAAAGACATATGATTATTTTATCAAAATCAATTGAAAAAATATCCCCCAAATCTTTTAAACATAAGAAAAAGTCCCACTGCTAAGCGAGGCCGATTGTATACTTCATGTGGTATAGTGTGATGAATTCCGATATTTCTGTGATATATGATAATATTCTTAATTTATATAAAACTAGAAGAATGCCCGGCTTCGCTCGGGGGTCATAACCCCGAAGCCGGAAGTGGTACACTAACGCCACCTGGCCGATGTTACTCCCCGGTCCGAGCTACTCCTATACCCCAAATTTCAGAAACGGGGCAGACCTAGTGTAGAAGCCAACCCCGAACAGACAGACAAACAGACAGACAAACGACAGTCACAAATATTAGTATAGATAATCACTTAAAGATACATTATGGGAGATTTTAATAGAGAGTTTACCATTCTTGCTATAACAGTTCAAAAATAGATGATAAAAGAAAAATATATTGAAAATTTCAGTCAAATTACTTTATTCTGAACAAAGTTATCACAATTGTAATTTTTGACTAGAAATAGGAGTCAAATCCCTCTTCACCGTCTACGAGAATGCAGGCCGTTTGATTGGCAGGCGTTAACTCCACCTACATAATCTCGATTATCAAGTAACGTTTTCAATTCGTATCACATTTATTTTTACTACAAATTAAAAATAGGTAAGAATTCTTAAGCGAAAGTTTTAAAGGAATGGACCAAATCAATGAGGCATAATTGTAGCCGACTTCTTCAATCTTGTTAGCCTGCGTGTACTCCCGAAGCAGACAAATTGAAATAGGAAACATTGATCCAATGGGGCTGCATGGGCTGCAATTCAACTGGGGTGATGTTAGCTGCGATGTTTATCAATTTCCATAATTTTTCTGTAAACGCAAGTGACAAAAGAGCATATAATACCGACATCCAAACTCTCATTTTAACCACAAATAAACATAATATCAAGGCCGTATATATCGAACTTTCAATCAAATTGGTCGACCGACATAATGCGGCCTCGCTCAACAGCGGCCTCGCTTCGTACACTCTATCATTCAGCCTCGATCTAAAATTTCCCGGAGTATGACGTCAACGTAACGGTTAATCTCAGCTTACGGCGCCATTTAAAAATTTTATCAATCAATGAAATCCTGTTTAAAGGGACAATAACACTCTTGCTGGCTTGAAAGCTCCAGAAAATAAATGATATCTCCTCTATCTAAGTACTAGATCCGATGTTTATGTGTCCTACCTGTTGTGTAAATTATCCATTACATCCTATTTTACTTGTCCAGAGGGTTCGAAAATATTTTTAAAAGGTTTACGTTAGACGTTTCAAACCATTATGTTGAATATTTCAAAATTTTTAAATAAGGTGTGTTAAGATGAAATTTGTATCATCAATTAATTGAAATATTCTAAAATAGTACAATTTGTTGACCAGAATAAAGATTGGGACATATTACTCAGTTACAACAAGAGTGGTATTGAGCCTTTAAATCCAAGCGAATCCAAGCCATCCGTGGGTCTACAGAGTTGATTTTGTGCTTGTTGTGTAAATAAAGATCTAATTTATAATTTCTATGACATCCGAAGCCTAAATAAAGACTTGCAATAATCAGATTTAGCTCTTGCATAATGTATGTTTAAATATAATTTTTCTATGAAATTTAATTCATAGAAATACTTTATAATCTTTCAAAATTAAGAAAAAGTCCCACTGCTAAGCGAGGCCGATTGTATACTTCATGCATAGCGAGGCCGAATAGGCTCTATACGCGATATTGGGTGATAAATTTCCGTGTTTCTTGGATATATAGTATAATGTCCTTAATATACGTAAAACGTTCGAAAGAAATATGATTATTTTATCAAAATCAATTGAAAAAATACCCCCCAAATGTTTTAAACAAAAGAAAAAGGCTGACTGCATTGCGAGGCCGATTGGGGGTTCTATATGTAGTACAGTGCGATGAAATTCACTATTTCTGAGATACATAAAATAAAAGAGAGAGAGAGAGAGAGAGAGAGCTATCTAGAGAGGGGGGGGGGCGGGGGAGGGGCGAATAACGATTTAGTGGAAGATCCAACATCTCATTTTTGTAACTACTATACAGCGAGCCTGTGATATAGGGCGATGAGCTTGCCTACTAGATATAAGATAATATTCATAATTTATATTAACATTCAAGTATGGAAATTAATTGAGAAAATTAAGCATAATAAGAAACGGGTGCAGGAAGATCCAAACTCTCATTTTAACCATTGCAACTAAATTGTCAATCAAATTGACTGACATGCGGCCTCGCTCAACAGCGGTCTCGCTTCGTACGCTTTATCATTTACCCGACTCCACTCCAAGTGGTCAGGGTTGTTTATTTTCGTGTTCATTAGTTGTTGTTTTTTTTTGACGAAGCAGGCTGTGTCAGCTGATTGACATGGCGTATCGAAGAAGATTGTTCAACCAGGCGTTCAGTGCATGGTGAGTATAAATTAAAAGTTGTTAAATTATCCTCGTAGGGCACATTGAAATTTTGCAATTTGACGTGTGTGGGTACAGAATTTTATGGCAGTCATAGAAAAATAAAGTTCATGAAAACGCCATCACATGATGTGTCTCACTTACAAATCCATGCCCTATTTAGTTTTCTTGCAACTGGTCTAATAACTCAATGTACGTGTATATGGCATGTTATTTAACTGAACATCTAGATTTGTTTGTATTCACCAAGAAAAACTGGGGGGGGGGGGGGGGATATGGCCAAATGGTTAGTGCGTGATTGCTGTATCATCATAATGTATGTCATTGAGTCAACTGGCCTGGTTTAGATTTCCCAGTTGTATGTGATAAGGAGTAGGGTCGCCTGGCCAGCCTTGTGGGTTTTCACCGGTACCTTAATTTAGTTTCCTTCCACTGCTAAAGTGAATTATTGAAATAAATAGAACCATATATGTTAGTCCAGAAATGACCTAGTTTGTATCAGTGGTCATAAAACCCCATTTGTCTCTCTCCAAGCAAAACTATAGCCTACCAAGAACCTTTTTTGAGGAATTTACCCTGGGGTGGGGGGGGGGGGGCTCCTGCTAACTCAAGTTTGGTGTGAGATCTGAGAATTTTATACAATGTATAGCTGAGACTATATTAGGTGCATACACAGGGCCATATTAACCTTGCGCACGCATGGGGTCCCTGGCTGAAAATGTCACTACCAGGACCCCCCTCCGCAAATGGTAATACGGTAATAGCTATATATTAGTGCACTTAATGCCATTATGAAAAGAACAATTTGTTAAATTTCATGTAAAATTGGCTATCGAGCAGGGAAAAGACATTTGGTACCATAATAATATGAAGTAAAGTGGGTTTTTTATTGGATAGGATTCGTCACCCCTCAGACAGATTACATTGTGCGCTGCAGTGTTGCACAGTGTCATCCCAGCGTGCACCAATTGGAATCTGTGTATATCAAACTGTGTGTAGAATCTGTCCTCTATCATCTTGATGTTAATGTACTGTAATGAAATATAGCGTGTGTGTTAAGAATAAGATTTGAATTTGAGTCTGTAGTATCTGGTAATCTTCGCTATTTACATGTACATGTATATGCTCAACTGATCACACGACTGAATGTCCACAAATATTTGCTGTAATTACTGTAAACTTCAGTGTTATCTTTGTATATAGTTGAAATAAATACATTTATAACAATTAGTTAATTGACAGATTTTTAAAAACTTTATCAAAGTGCAATGTAGCCTACGTGTTTCTGGATTCTGATTAAGTGGACATAAAACTTGTACGCTAATAGTGTAAAAAATATGGTATAACAAGGTTGTGAACTCTCTAGAGGTCATAATTTTCATCCGATTTTGATGAAATTTGAAAAGCATGTTCATAATTCGAAAGATCTTCATTCCTTACGATATTCGCGCATATTGGATCGTAACTTCCTGAATTATGACCCCTGAAAAATCGCATTTTTAGCTTGTGGTCCCTATCTAGAGGTCACAATTATTATATGACCGTTACTCCGTAGTGTTGGTTGAGTTCGAATTTCATGCAAATCAGACCAAAACTGCGAGACAAAATGGCCGCTCTTGGTACGTAAATTGTGTAAAAGTATGAAATACGAAGGTTGCGGACCCTCTATAGGTCACAAATTGGTACCCAATTTTAATGAAACCTGAAATGTATGTTCATAACCCAAAGATCTCGGTTCCTTACGATATTCGCGCATATCGGACCATAACTTCCTGGATTATGGCCCCTGATTGTACAAAAAATCACATTATTTTTTTAGCTCGTTCTCTGTCCATCTCTTGCAAAATGTGGGCGTATCTTGCATGGCAACCGCTTGTTTACAATGTGGTCATTTCTATGATACATGTTATATTGTTTGGCCTGGGTATTCTAATATTCAAATACTGGTCGGATATTTGAATATTTGGCATGAATTAAATTTGATCCATCTCAGCTAGCTTCCTATATGAATAACTATTTTAGTAGTAGCTGCTCTGAAATTGCATTACAATTCGATTTATATGGCTTCGTAAGCAGTAATTGGTTCACAATTACACATCCCGTTAATATCAATATCATTACATCTCGCCAACATAATACTAGAGTCATCTCGAGACTAAAATACTCTTTTTTTTGACTGTACTTTTTCAATTTGGGGGAAACAAATACGTGAGTGGACCTCAGTTTTTCATCTCATCTGACAAGGCAACACTTTACCAGTTCACCCCCTGACTGAGTGGGAAGTAGGACTAGACTAGAAAAAAACAAGATTTGAACAAGGAACATTTTAGTTTCCTTCCCCGAACATTGTGAAGACAGAAAAACAGTCTTGAATCTGACAAATAATTTTAACATCAGTGGAGAAATTAACATTGGTGTGACGTAAAAGAACTGTTCTCCACTTTGCATGCACACGTAACAAGAAACTTGAAAATAATCTCAAAATCCCAAAAGTATGACCAATTCCATGTTCATACAAAGTATATAATACTATTGTTTAGGCCTACATTGTATTTCATGAATTCCATAAAATGAAAATTTGTGTCAAGTGGACGATAGAAGCATTAAAACTCTAGCTGGAGGCCATTTGGTTGTCAGTCACATAAAAAAAATAATTTTCATTTGCTATGATTTGAATTAATGTTACATATGAAAAATTCCTACAGCCATTATATATTTTATGCCAGGAGAATGTAGCATTCACAAGGAATGGTACTATATGCAGCCACAGTCAGAGGTTACAGTCAATTATAATTGAAACGCTAATTAAATATACGTGCCTTAAGAAATTGTGGGCGAACAGCAGTGCTCAGGCCTACTCTTATTTCAAATTCTAAGTGTCAAGGGATCTTTTAGATGCACATCTTGGTTTATTGTGCCATCCGAATGACTAGACATGGTTTCTTGTTAGTAATGCAAGGTTCTCCCAATCTGTTTCACAGAGGTCTTGTGAAAAGTCTTCTTATAGCTCTGTAAAAGATGACTGCTTTCAACATATGATGTCGCATCACGGGGCGTGAATCATTGGTTCAATAACGCGTGTATTGTTTATATAATACATTACTGGTTCGGACAGAATGGCGCCTTTTACTCATTTTACATACCTATTTACACTAAATAGGTAATAATTTTTACCTACATATACTTCAAACGTCTTTATTTATTTCTAATATAAAAAAAAACCAGTTATATAATTTAATTTGTCAGAGGAAAAAAGTTAATATTTTGAACTCATTAAGCCGCATCAATGGCATCCTTATCAGTGATTGTAGCAGCCTAGCGAATATTCACTACTGATCAGTGTGAGGCCCTCCACCTTGCACTTCGACAATGGAAAAGCAGGGTTATACTGAATAGGATGTACATATGTAAAATTCATTCATTTAATTTCTTTTGGAAAGATATGATGACTCTTAAATTCTAATAGAGGTCGGGTGTTTGATCCCAGCATTGGCCGAGAAATTTCATCCAGATTTTCCGGCGTAGTTCCCCCTTTTCAGTGATGCAGGACGGAGGGCCTGACAAGGACAGGTGTCTAGTCCTTCGGATGAGACGAAAAACTGAGGTCCCGTGTATACATTGGAATGCACGTAAAAGATCCCGTGGCAGTTGGAATTCGATATAAGAGTAGGCGATAGTGCCGCTCCCCGGGCAAAATTTCCCTCATAGCACACTGTATGGCGTATGCCCGTCTTCATTAGCCCAGGTTAGGAGCAGAATAGGAGCAGAACAGTAGGACGTTAAACCCCATTTCATTTCATTTCATTTCTTAAATTCTAGTATTTTCTATCAATTAATCTATCAATTAATTAATCTTTTCATGTGGACATATATCGTCATCGCCCCTGTCCATCTGGACGTACACTCGACAGGTCACAATAACTTCATGGATTATGGCCCCTGATTGTATTCAAAATAACGTTTTCAGCCTGTGGACACCCTAGAGGTCACAATGTTCATCCGATTCTGATGAAACTTGACATGCATGGTTATAACCCAAAGATCATGGAGCCTTTCGATATTCGTGCATATCAGATCGGAACTTCCTGAATTATGACCCCTGATTGAACAAAAAATCACATTTTTAGCTTGTGGTCCCTCTAGTGGTCACAAAAGGCATTCTTATATATCACTGTTATACCATAATGTCACTTGAGTTCGAATTTTGTGAAAATTAGACAAAACTGCCGGACAAAATGGCCGCCCCTCGTACGCAAATAGTGTGACCAAGGTCACTAGAGGTCACAATTTTTATCCGATTTTGATGAAACTTGAAAGGTATGTTTATAACCCAAAGATCTTGGTTCTTATTGATATTTGTGCATATCAGACCATAACTACCTGGATTATGGCAAAAAATCACTCTTTTTTTTCAGCTTGTTCTATATCCATGTCTTACAAAATGTGGGCATATCTTGCCTGGCAAGCGCTGGTGTTATTGTTATCTCAAGTTAAAAATCTAATGTCAACACGGTTCACAACTTTGAATTAAATAGTACATGTTTTTTTTTATAAAATTTAGATTCAAAAGTTTTTATGTTGATCTCCTTGTCCACAGTATGACCGTACATGTGGTACAATATAAGACCATATTCTTGTGTACATAGTAACCTATTGTCAACACCCAGAAATATAATTTATGTAAATGGTGCAAAAAGATATCCACCATCTGCAGATTTCTATTTAAATAATCCAGAGAAAATATTAGAGAAAGAATATTTGATCTACATTCTGATCAGCAGAATGTCTAGTACAGAAGGAAAATTTGATCTACATTCTAGTCGGGGGATTAAGGTAACTGGTATATGTACATGAGTTGACCGTGATCTATTCAATAGTTTTATCAGTACTGTTGTACTCTACACATAATCAGTGATATCTTGATTAAACCGGCCACTTACCTGGGTGAACGGGGTCAAGAGTTTTGAAACCATTTCAAAATATGCATTAATGAAGTATTATTTTAAAGATACATTATGGGAGATTTTAATTGAGAGTTGGCCATTCTTACTATAACAGTTAAAAAATAGATGATGAAAAAAGAATATATTGAAAATTTCAGTCGAATTACTTTATTCTGAACAAAGTTATCACCATTGTAAGTTTTGACTAGAAATAGGAGTCAACTCTCTCTTCACCCTCTCCGAGAATGACCAATCGTTTGATTGACAGGCGTTAACTCCACCTACATAATCTCGATTATCAAGTAACGTTTTCAATGGCCGTGGTGCCGTTGGCCTATTCGGTTTGAGACGTGGTTGCAATTCAATTCGTATCACATTTATTTTTACTACAAACTAAAAATCAGACTTTTAATATATAGATAAGAAGCGAAAGGAATGGACCAAATCAATGAGGCATAATTAAAGCTGACTTCTTGTTAGCCTGTATGTACTCTTGTACTGTAACTGGTAGGCCTACGTAACTCCCGAAGCAGACAAATAGGAAACAGTGATCCAATGGGGCTGCAATTTAACTGGGGTGATGTTAGCTGCGATGTTTATCAATTTTCATAATTTTTCTGTAAACGCAAGTGACAAAAGAGCGTATAATACCGACATCCAAACTCTCATTTTAACCACAACTAAACATAATATCAAGGCCGTATATATATCGAACTTTCAATCAAATTGAAAGTGTTCACGAGACCGCGTTCTTTTGTCTCATCCAAACAACTAGACAGCTGTCCTTATCAGGCAATGTCCTGCACCACTGACAAGGGAAAACCATGCCGGAAAATGAATTCAAAATAAGAGTAGTCTGTCCATTCGAAATTTCCATCATAGCCTACTGTAATGATGTTTTTAGCTTGTGGACACTCTGGAGGTCACAATTTTCATCTGATTTTGATGAAACTTGAAATACATGTTTATTTCCCAAAGATCCTGGTTCCTTTTGATATTCGTTTGTACAAAAAATCACGTTTTATCTTGTCCATCTAGTGGTCACAATTTTTATCCAATTTAAAAAAAAAACGTGTTAATATATCACCATTACAGCCTGATGATGGCAGGGTTCAAATTTCGTGAAAATGTTGGACAAAATGACAGCCCCTCGTATGCAAATGGTGTAAAAATATGGTATAATTTAGAGGTCGCAATTTTTATCCGATTTTGATGAAACTTAAAACATATCTTTATATCCCAAAGATCTCAGTCCCGTTCAATATTTGCGCATTTCAGACCATAACTGTCTGGATTATGACCCCTGATTGTACGAAAAATCGCTTTTTTTTCAGCTTTTTCTCTTATCCATCTCTTGCACAAAATGTGGGCGTATCTTGCCTGGCAACTGCTGGTTCATTAATACAACCCATGTTGTTATCTTCTGTATTATACTCAAATTGAAGTATTTCTAAATTACTGCTACTCTACTACATTAGAAAGGTTTTTAGAAATAATGATTGATAATTAATTACCTGTTGTCTTTGCTGTGTTGGCTGTTTTTAAAGTATAAATGAACTATATATGTGAATACAAATACCTGTCACTGAGTGAGGTAAACGGATTAAGATTCAAGAGGTTGAAGTTTAACAAAGATTTTATCACATTATCATCAGGCACTTTACACCATTAAACTGTACTTTATAGCGCTGGCATTAAGCTGGCCTTGACACATCCTCTTCAAGCATCAATCCAGGATTTTTATACCCCCCACATCTGTCATTGCCCCTGTCTGTCCGTCCGTCTACAATTTGTTTGTGGACACTCTACAGGTCACAATTCTTTTCCGATTTTGACGAAACTTGAAATATAGGTTTATCTCCATAAAATCTTGGTTATTGTCGATATTGGCATGTATTGGATCGACACTTCATGAATTATGGCCCCTGATTGTACAAAAAATCATGTTTTTAGCTTGTGGACACTCTAGAGGTCACAATTTTTATACAATTTAGATAAAATTTGAAATGTACAGTGTAGTAGTAAGTGCATGCTCACACAAATATTCAAATATGTCAAGTCTATTCAAACTGGTTTTTTACTATTCAATTTCTATTAAAACTAATATTAATTCAATGACATCAACTAATGTTAAAAACAAACAAATAAAGGAAAATATATTGATCTGAAAAATTTATAGCTCTAGAAATCTTTAAATGCATAAAAAAATGGTCCCAAAATTTATCATGACCTATATATATGATGATCTCAAGGGTGGCAGCTATATACGTGACTGACAAATATGATCTGGCCTAGTCGTTCGGATGGGACAAAAAAAGACACGGTCCATCCGTGTGCACATCAAAGAACCATTGACAGTTTGAATTCAAATATTCAAGTAGATGGAATCTAATTACACTTATGTTAGTCTAAAAATTACCAAAGTATTGAGTTGACGAGACATTAAACCCCATTCTCTTCCATTAGCTTGTGGGAGCCTCCGTAGCTATGTGAGTATGATATTGGCCGCAAACCTGGAGGTCCCATGTTCAATCCCTGCATTGGCCAAGAAAGTTCATCAGAATTTTCCGGGATTGTTCCCCCATGTCAGTGGTGCAGGACCGAGGGCCTGGCAAGAGACAATGTATAGTTGTCTAATGGGATAAAAAACAAGGTCCCATGTACACATTGGTGTGCATGTAAAAGATCCCTTGGTAGTGAAAATTTGATATTAGAGTAGGCTGTAGCCCTGCTGTCTGGACACAACGCCCCTCATAGCACACTATATGCCCGTCTTCATTAGCCCAGTCGGAGTAAAACAGTAGGAAGTTAAACCTCATTTCATTTCCATTAGCTGGTGGACAGATATTGAAATATCTCTTAATTAAATGCATCATCTTTTTAACTTTGTTGTTTTCTTTACTATTTCAGGAATAAAGCATCTCCAAATGGCTTTTTTAGTAAGTTTATTAATTCAAATATTAAAAGCATAATATATAACCTCAGTTGTTTAGATGTGTTAAATCAGTGTTGAGTTTAGACCTAATAAGTCCATTACTAAAATTATAGATAGGTCTAATAGGTTCATCCCAACTGAGGGCAACGGAAAAGAGTATGTCCCAAAACTAACACAGTTTTATGGGACTACAATCACTGATATAAATAGCATAGCCGATCATCCCAACCACAATCAAAAAAGATTTAATTCTAAGGTATATTAAAAACCTTTGTGCATTGATGGCCTAATATTGAGCCGTTGAAAGCCTACCATACTAAAAGACAAAGTTTTACCATCCCCAAATAACAGGATTTGTGTAATTTTGATTGTATGACAGACGTTTAATTTTGTTTTTTTCTGTGTGTTTTTTATTTAGAAAATGTATCTACCACATCAAATGTGCGGTCAAAAGAATATGCTTTTGAGGTTAGTAAAATAAAAGATTTATCTCTACATGTAATTTGTTTAGTATCACTTGGAAGTTAAAACTATGATTATGATGACATTTTAAATAACTGAACTTTTTAATTCTAAGACTTTTTCGGGATTATAGATGTATTTATAATTCATTTCTATTTATTGTGCATCTACCAATTTTACTAGAATGCAGGTGTTCTATAAATTTATTATTATTACGGGTTACGGGACTTTTGACAAGAATGTCAGAGTGTTGAGAAGAACCGCTGTGATTCACTTGTCCCTGCTGGAATGGAAAGCAATCAAATAAGTGTAAACAGGAAATGTCCCTGATCAGGCAAAATTAACACACAAAATGGCCAAAGTAATATGTTATTATTATGGATACAGGATGCAGAAATATTGGCTACAATGGAACAGATAGAAAGTTGATGGAGAAAAGTACCAGAATTTCATGCAAAGGCTGGACCTTCTAGAGCCCATTCCCCTTACCATTCAAACCAATATACCACATCTTATTATCAGAACCATGGATTTTAAGGCAGTGCAAACAGTGCAGCTGCAAAGATCACCAAAATTTTCGAGGTCCTACACAAAGATAGATTATGTATATATTTGTAACTGTCGTTTGCTTGCTTGTCTGTTAGGGGTTGGTGGCTACACAAGGTCTGCCGTGAGGCTGCAATTTTGGGTATAAGTGCAACTCGAGCCAGGGTGTGACATAAGACTGGTAGCGTTGCACTACCACTTTCAGTTTTAGAGTAATACTACTTTCAATTTCACGAAACTCACTCCTCACGAAGTGTCTAAGGGCTCTATCCTTGCAACAAAGTGTAAATTTAAGATAATGTTTTGAATATTTCATTTTTGCTTTGATTTATTTAAAGATAATCAATAAATAGAATGGCCCCCAAGGAATGTTATACAATGTTAAATTCAGCCATGCCCCTTATCAACTGGAAACAAGTTTAAATGAAGATATTTTGATATGTTTTACAGATGGCGTGTTCTAGTGTACGATATGGTGCTGGTTGTACAACAGAAGTTGGCTTAGTAAGTATACCTACTTTTAATTTCTGTAAACAAGTAGAGAAAAATTCACATCAAAATGTCATGTATATATATGTGTTCAGTGTATAGGTATTAACTTTTCTGTTTTTTTTGGTATAGCGGGCCAATCTGTACCTCAGTATCTCACCTCGCCAAACATTACAATATCTGCTTAGTTGATTATTCTGTTTGATGTGTGAGATACTGGAGTATATATGACATGGGATACTGCAGATCAGTATAATAATACATATTACCATGAAAAGCAAAATCTGGTGAATATACTTATTTACATAATGTATATCATTATATTGCTGTTGATCAGCATTTGGAGTGACACTATAGGCTATCCTTGTCAATCCAGCAAGTGGGAACTGAAATTGATCACGAGTTAATTTGATATGCACATTATATATAGAGATTAAAAGAATCACTTTTAAATGAGTTAAATAAATTGAAGTTGAGTTTTTATCTTATTTTTTTCAGGATTGTCAGAATTTTAGAGCCAAGAAAGTTTGTGTAATGACCGACAGTAACTTAATCAAACTTCCGCCAGTTAAAACAGTTCTTGACTCATTAGATCGAGCGAATGTACCATATGAAATATATGATAGAGTTAGAGTAGAACCCACTGATGTCAGGTAAGTCCATGGGCCGTCGCAAAAGGTTGCCACCAGGGAAAAAAGACGATTAAATTGCCTTGCAATTTTTTATTCAAAACCCTGTTGTTTTAACTTACTGGCATAAAAAAACACATTCTGTCAAAAAAAAGCACATTCTGTATATGGAGGCTAAAAGAAGTCATGAGGTGAGCCATGAATAATGTACTGACATCATAGTAAAGCACCATACCTGAAAATAATAAAGGGGAAGTAACTGGTATCAGCTTGATAGTACAGGGGAAGTAACAGGTATCAGCGTGATAGTAATGCGCAAGTAACTGGCATTAGCGTGATATTAAGGGGAAAGTAACTGGTATCAGCTTATATAATTAATAGGTGATTGATTATAAAAAAGCATTTAATAAATAAATTATTAATGTGCTTTATTTCTAATTAAACTAACCAAATAAATACCATTATTTCAGTTTTAATGATGCAATAGATTTTGCGAAGAAAGGTGATTTTGATGTGTTTGTTGCCGTCGGTGGTGGATCTGTTATTGATACGTGTAAAGCTGCTAATCTTTATTCAACCAATCCCAAGGCAGAGCTCTTAGATTATGTTAATGCACCAGTTGGAAAGGGTCTACCTGTCACTCACGACTTAAAGCCACTCATAGCAGGTAGAAAATAATGATTAGATATCCAATTAACATATATTAAAGTACAGGGGGTCTTAACGACTAATGAATTGATGCAGGTGCAGAAACTTTTGGCTAATATTGTTTTTGGCTATTCGTCAAAACGGAAATGCTGGCAAAAGTCGGTTCAACACCCCCACCCCCACCCCCCCCCCCCGCTAAATGGAAAACTTTACACCGATTAAAAGGTTAAATTCTGTTAAATTTGCAGAATGGAGTGTAAAAAGACAACACATTTTTTCAGTTATTTAGAGACTAACATAGTGTTAATTTTTGTTGACTTTGCTCATATATATGTGAAAAGCTAGATAGAAAGGCTCGAATTTTACCTGTATCTATAAAGTAGTGATATACATTTGCCATACGCTATTGTTTTATATTTACAGTAACTACTACAGCAGGAACAGGAAGTGAAACAACAGGCGTAGCTGTCTTTGATTACCTCCCTTTGAAATCTAAAACAGGTATTTAAAATCCTCTTGACATAATCTTTGCGAATATTCAGGTACAGTCTAAAATGCCTTTCAACACAATCTACTTTAAAACAATGTTTGTTATTCATAATGGTAATGATATATATATATATATATATTACAGGTATTGGTAGTAGAGCTATCCGTCCTACACTAGGTATTGTTGATCCATTACATCTAAAATACATGCCAGAACGTGTGGCAGCCTATAGCGGTATAGATGTATTATGGTAGGTGGCATCATTTCAATATTAACTACCTATAAATAGGCTAATCAATGCATTGTGACTCATAAATACACTTTGTGTCTACTGACCAGGGAGCTGCGGTGGCTCATTCCGTAAGGCACTGGATTGCTTACTTGGAGTTTTTGATTTTGATCCTAGTTTTGTCTGAGAAAGGTGCTGTGTACAAATTGATGTGCACGTAAAAAGAACTCATTCAGTTTTCTAGGAAAATTTTCTCTCATACTATATCTTTATATACATGTTCATATTGTATGCTGTCCTTAATGGATGTCTTGATACAATAAAATCTTATCTTATCTTATCTTATCTTAGCACACTGTAATATGGCATATGTCTGTCTTCATTAATCCAGTTGGTGCAGACAAGTAGGACGTTAAACACCATTTCATTTGTGCTGACCAGCACCATTAACCAAACTAGTGTCTTCCTTATTTCTTCTTCTAATACCACAAATATTACATTGGCCTGACCAAACTAGCATTGTTAGATAACAAGTATACTATATCTAAAATATAAAGCTGTGTTATAGAACCAGAAGTTACCTGCCCTTTAAGACAGGTTTCAGTAAGTGGTTATAATAGTACAAAGCATAAATGTTATCGGTGCCATAGTCTGGGATACCAATTCTGGTAACATATTTTAACAAAATAAAGTCCCACAACACAAAACCACTTTTTTGTGTGGCCATAATTGTTTGTTCAAATTTTCACAACCGTTGATATGCTTGTTAATTAAAGTTTAATGTCTGCCTTCATATTGATTTGTGAAAAATATCATCTTTTGTCTGTATTTGATCATTTTATCAAACTACAACCACCAAGGATGATTGCAAATAATATTTTAAGTGAAGAATTGTAAGCTTGTGCCCATTTGACCAATTAGGATATATTGTTGTTAGTGGAATGCGATTTGATTAAGTATTTATTTCAGTCATGCATTAGAATCATATACAGCCTTACCTTACAATGAACGATCTCCATGTCCTGAGAATCCAAACCTACGTCCAGCCTACCAGGGTAGTAATCCTATGAGTGATATCTGGTGTGAACATGCCTTAAGGATTACCAGTAAATATATAAAACGGTGGGTTCTGCTTTTAAAATATTTTATTTTAAACTAAAAATTTAATTGCATAGTTCTTATCCCGTCATTAATCCATATAACCATTCAAACAAATTCAATACTTCACTTTGATCTAATTCAAAGAGGTTTACCTATTTTAATGTATAAGGGAGCCACAGTGACTAAGTGGCTAAGCCTGGAGGTCGCATGTTCGATCCCTGCATTGGCCGAGAAAATTCATCAGGATTTTCTGACGTGGTTTCCCCTTGGCAGTGGTGCAGGAAGGAGGACCTGACAAGGACAGCTGTCTAGTTGTTTGGATGGAATGAAAAAATGAGGTCCCATGTATACATTGGCCTGCAGGTAAAAGGTCGCTTTGCAATAAGAATTCAATATAAGAGTAGGCCATAGTGCCACTGCCAGGACAACATAGCACACTCTATGGCATAGTATAGAAACAGAACAGTAGGACGTTAAACCCCATTTAATTTTATTCTTTACTGTATAAATTTCACAAATTGAAATGGCAACGAATTCAACTAGTAATAACTTAATATTGTGTCATTCAAGAAATGTATTTTTATCTGTAAAAACTGGAATGATATAGCTCAGTGAAATTTTTTCAATAGAAATTTAATACAACCAAATGATTAAGAAATACCGCAAGGAAATTGAAAGTATTATGTCATTTGAATTCTTTTTTTGTCAAAGCCCACAATGTAAACCATGTATTTAACATTTAATAAATACTCGCAATTTTTTTATGGAGCTAGACAATTGAATATTTTTTTACGAAGCTATTTTCATAAACCTAAAAGAAACTAAAAAAAAAACCAAGTTTGATTTACGTGTTGTTTCAGTCAGTTTCAATATTTGAAGCAGAAGTCAATTTGTTTGCTAATTTAATCTTTGGCTTTAGATGTCAATGCATAATCAGTTTTTATACGCCCACATTAAAATGTGGTCGTATATTGTCGTCGTCCATTGACCAGGTGTGGACGCTCTAGAGGCTAAAGTTAATATCTGATTGAATTTAAATTTATACACAGTGTTTAAGGTCATAAGACGAAGAAGCCTATTGATATGAATTTTGATAACTTGAACAGCTAAATCCATGATACTAAATGTTTCATGTGCTAAAAGTTAGCATGGGGCAGAACTTTATAAAAACCAAACAAATTCTGATTATTTCCTGATAATTACTTAATGATTTGTTACTCTTAATCAGATTTTAGTGTTTTATAAATGTTTCATTACTGAAAGAAGTAAAAATATGCAACAACTCCTGTTGACTGCCCGGCCGTTTTAGCTGCTGTTGGCGTATATTTTGTTACCTGGCAACCTATCTTATTATCTCTCTCCATGAACCCAAAATTTTAGATATAGGCAGATACCCATTCCACAAAACAAATCGACACATAAAGTTTAATTAAATCGACACGTTTATATTTTACCAAAATCAAAGATATCCTCTGATTTAAATATCCGTTTCATAGAATCTTTATTATTGATAAAAGGGTCAACTGTTTATTCGAATACTATTTGGAATGTGTTTATTTATTTGTAGTGCTGTATATGATAATGATGATATGGAAGCCAGGTCAGCCATGCATCACGCTAGTTCATACGCTGGTATTGGATTTGGTAATTCTGGATGTCATGCTTGGTAAAAAATTATATTTATTTCCATCTTAAAGTATCAACTTAAATATGTGTATAAAGTTTAATATGGCAGCATATTTAAGATTACCAGATTTTCTATCTAATGTTTTCCCTGGAGGTCGGGCGTTCGATCCCAGCATTGGCCAAGAAAGTTCATCCAGATTTTCCGGCGTGGTTCCCCCCTTGTCAGTGATGCAGTTCCCCCCTTGTCAGTGATGCAGGACAGAGGGTCTGACAAGGACAGCTGTCTAGTCGTTCAGATGGGATGACAAACTGAGGTCCCGTGTACACATTGGCGTGCACGTGAAAAATCCCTTGACAATTGGAATTCGTTATAAGAGTAGGCCATAGTGCCACTGTCCGGGCAAAATTTCCCGTATAGCATATGTCTGTCTTCATTAGCGCAGTTCGGAGCAGAAGAGTAGTACGTTAAACCCCATTCCATTTCATTTATCTAATGTGTTCAGAGCTGTATCGTTGGGAGTTTCAATTGAGAGTACAGTGTAATGTTTTGACTGTTTTATCCAATGTTTTTGATAAATGTGAATGTGAATATTGATATAATTTATATTTTATGTAAATGCTATTAAATTGAAAATTTAGTTTTGTGAGACTACTATATGTGAGACAGTCTCTGTCATGATTTTGTGTAACTACTATGCGAGACAGTCTCTGTCATGATTTTGTGTAACTACTATGTAAAACAGTCTCTGTCATGATTTTGTTTTGTATGAATACTATGTAAGACAATCTCTGTCATGATTTTCTTTCGTATGAATACTATGAGATTTTATTTTATAGTCATGGTTTGTCGTATTCTATATCTGGTCTAGTTAAAGATTATAAAGCTAAAGGTTATACAGATGAACATCCTTTAATAGTAAGTAGGACTGTTTAAAAAACAATCAGTATATTGTAATATGTATTCTTTGCAATACGTATCATAGTGCAAACTCTGGAGCAGTGACTGCTCTAGACATTCGCTAATGGCGATAATTCTTTTTATTGCCGATCAAATTGATGATACTGGCAAAATTATTGGCAAATGAATTTTAGAGAGTGTAATTTAGAAAATCTTCTAATTTTAATCTTGAAATTGTCTAGTTCAACACTTCTTTCGATTGACTTGATGTAGTGTCTATTTTTAGTATATTAATTGACTCTAGTCTCAATCTTGCAAGTGACAAATTAGTCAATGGTTATGCATTTTAAAAACAAACTAAAGATCGAGTCTGTCAAAGACAGTTACGTCCCTTTTGTATGGCGCTGCTGTGTTTTACTTTCGCTATAATTTTTGCAATTTATTTTCAAATTATAATAATGAATAATGATTACTAATATTTATTTACCGAACCGAAAATAAGGATAGATTCATTTTTACTACCTTCATCCGCGAAGCACATTATTAATGAAACTGCAGATACAACTTCTACTTCTTCCAAAAAGTTACTGACAGCGACAATATGAATGTGATTGATGTGATGAGGAGTGTACGAGTGACACTTGTATGACAGAATCTCATTTTTTGGTTATTGCATCCTCGCAAATTTGAACTTTCAGACAGTCCAGGGAAGAAAATAATACTAAGTACATATTAAATATTTATTTTTAATTAGCAAACACTTGAATAGAAGTATATTTGGCTACAAGTTTCTGATTTGGCTAATAACATTTTGATTTGGCTAAAAATTTGCCTAAAGCTTTCAAGATTCTAGGGCAGTCACTGCTGGGGTATCAATTTTTTCACTTTACTTTCATTTTGTTTGGATGGTCATCTTCATGTATGTATGAAAAAACACTTTCTATCATTTAATTCATTAAAAGTAAACCATAACCATAACATAAAATTTATATAAATTATTGTCGTACTGAAATATTAGATTTATGTCATACAATGACCATCGACATTCTAATTCCAAAATTTCATTACAAAAATTACACAAATATTTGCAAAATTGTTTATTTACAGCCCCATGGATTAACTGTAACTATAACAGCACCAGCTCTCTTTGATTGGACTGGTGTAGCTTGTCCAGAACGTCATATCAGAGCCGCAGAAATGCTTGGTGAGAACATATTTATTTAAACTGGCACTGTTTTAATCATGTTCCTATTGTCACTCATCTTTTCATTATGCTTGACTCGGAGAGTTAAATTATAAGGGACATAATTAAAACAATGAAATAATATTTATTTAAAGAAAAAACTAGAGAGAATAAATTGACAATCTGATCAATACTCAAAACTTTTTAGGATTTACACTACATGTAAGGATGATTTATAACAGTCAATTTATTTTTAATTAATACTTTCTCAATCAATGATTATTGAAGTACATGTGTATGGTTCTGTTTTATGTTATGCCGGTATATTAAAGTCACTGGCATTTCTCAGACAATATCACACATGCTAAAATATACTTAAATTAATTATTTAACATTTAATTAAGCAAAAAAAAAAATCACTTGGCTTGAATTAAATTTGTTTAAAAAAAGGCTCATTAAAAGATTTTAGCAAAGGTGGTGCTCGCTTGTTTATAAAAGTTGTCTAATTTTTATTACCTTAGAGTACACACAGGGATCTTTTCCCTGGGAGAAAACCGTAGTAAACCCACGAGGTTGAGAAGGCACCCCTATCTCCAAGCCACATTAATTAGCTCACACCAGGGATCGAAACCACAACCTCAAGCCAGAGATGACTGGTCAGCTAGAGCTCAAAACGCAACACTCTAGACCACATACGCCATTTTAAAATGCACCATCGATCCAAATTGAGTCTATAAGAATAGTTAAATCAACATTCGATGTAACCACTATCTAAGGGTTTGAATAAGTTTATAATTGAACATCAGTTAGCAGTTATTCCAAGAATCCTTAAAATTTTGCAGGTCGTGATGTGACCAATGTAAAACGAGATGATGCTGGTAAAGTATTATCAGAGACTGTTCTCAACATCATGAATGAAATAGGTGTACCTAATGGACTGGGTAGTCTGGGCTACACTAGTCAAGATGTACCAGGCTTAGTTAAAGGTGCCATACCACAAGTAAGTTATTAATATTTCTGCTTAGCTTTGTTTCAAAAATATAAGAGCACATAGAAATTGGGATTGACCCAAGCTAACATAAATATGTAGAAGTGATATTCATGACTGCTTTACATTGGTCTACATATTACATTATTGCTATGAAACATATCTAGGCTTCAAAACATTATTGCAGGAATTAAGGTCATGACAATTAGGTTTATGGTTCCGGAGTCTTCAGTGAAATGACATATAAATAGTCATCGTGGTTGAACAACTTTCTGAAAGATGTCACATTGTCACATGATGTCAATATTATTTATGTTCCTAATATCCCTGTCTTAGTTCCCACTTGTCGTATTGTCTTTCTTTATTATAGAACAACAATGCTGTGTAATTTTGTTGTTTAATAATTGACATTAAATGTGCTAAAATTGGGCTGGCACTAGTTAATTTCCTATGCACAAACATAGGCTAATGTCATGTGACACACAATACATTTGTCATGAGAATTAGAACCTTACATCATATTGGTCCAAATTAAAGTGGCTGTATAAATATGAAGCTGGCTCACTTATCGCTGAGATAATTTCTCAGGATTTTTGAATCTAGTTTTCCCTTATCAATGGTCCAGCAAGGAAAACCTTTTATTCATTCGAATGGGACAGAAATCAAAAGTTTCCATATATACCATTGGCAGTACGTTAAAGATCCCCGGACAGTTGGAAATTGAAACAACAGTAGGCCATAGAGTTGCTGTCAGGGCCAAATTTTCCTCATAAACAACCCCATCTTTCATCCAGATTTTCCGGCGTGGTTCCTCCTTGTCAGTGATGCAGGACGGAGGGCCTGACAAGGACAGCTGTCTAGTCCTTCGGATGAGACGAAAAACCGAGGTCCCGTGTATACATTGGAATGCACATAAAAGATCCCTTGGCAGTTGGAATTCGATATAAGAATAGGCGATAGTGCTGCTGCCCGGGCAAAATTTCCCTCATAGCACACTGTATGGCGTATGCCCGTCTTCATTAGCCCAGGTTAGGAGCAGAACAGTAGGACGTTAAACACCATTTCATTTCATTTCATTAATTTTTTATTTTGTTATTTTTCTATTTATTTCCAGCAACGTGTATTAAAGCTAACACCAAGGAAGATCGAAGCCGATCATATGGCTGAAATATATGAAAAATCGATGAGCATTTATTAAATATTGGTATAATATTATACAGTTTTATAATCAACACAAATTTGGCCATAAAAAAAACAGACAATTCCTACCAAAAATCTGATGCCGGAGGGACATGTTAATTTTATGTTTTTATTTTGTCAAAGAATCACTACTTGGCTAAATGACTTCTATGCACATCAAATTGTTGTTTATAGGAATGTATGATTATCCAGTATCATTTTTGATTGTAATTAACATTTATTAGGGTTGTGTACTTGATAAATGAGCCTGGATTCATTCAAGTTGTTTTATAGATTTATTTTATGTAACCAGGATAAAATGATTAATGAAATAAAACAGATGAGACCCTTTGAAGTGATGTAGGATTATCTGTGAACCAGAATTTTTTTTTTTTTATATGACCTTTATATTATGGGATTTAAGGGCATTCAGTCTTTCATTGAATGGAGAGAAAGAATTAACAGTTGGGCAGTGATGCATTATAAACATCAGGGGTATTAAATACATGTCTTCATTTTCTCTAGTCTAATTAAAGATACATTATGGGAGATTAGATAAAGAGCTGGTAGTTCTCACTATAATAGTTAAAAACTAGATAATGTAAAGGCAATTTGCTGAAAATTTCAGTCAAATTGATCCACTATGAACCGAGAATTAAGCAATTGAAATTTCAACCTAGCCTCGATCATCATCACTAAAGTCTGTACAATAAAAAAAAATCTTGATTATCCATTTCATGATTAAATCAGAAGCAGCAGATTGGGGTGTAATCCAGTAAATATCGCAGACTAGCGATGCCATCGAGAGTTGATTATGGTCTGGATAAGTTAATTAATGTCTAATTAATAATTTAGATAACATTTCTGGCCTAAAGAAAGACCTGCAATTGGCAGATTTAGCTCTTGCATAATGTATGTTTAAAACTAAATGTTTTTTTATATTCTGTGTATTCGGTTGGCCCATTAACATCCAAAGATATTTTTAAGAAAAGCACCTTTGACCTTTAATAGACAATGAATCTGGTGATGAAATATTTGAACCAATTTGAAATATATGTTATGTGATTTTTATATATAAAAATAGAGAGAGAGGAAGATGGGATCAATTCCACTTGATTTCCAATGACCAGACTTATGATCTAAAGTCATAACTGTAAGGGAGGTAACCTTTAGCTGAATGGGTTAAAGTGGTGCACTACAAATGTGTTAGTTGTGCAATCTGTTACTGTTCATTCAGTTCTGTAGATTGTACATGATTACAAAGCATAGAGTCGTCTGTTTAACCTCATACAAGGTGCTATGACTTGCCTCTACTGTCAATAAATAACATACATTCAATCAAACTATTCTCGCTCTTTCTCTCTCTTTCAAGAAAATGTATTTCTGAATAATATTGTTATTGTTACTTGATTCATAAAGAACTTTTGATAACTTTTTAATGAACTATTTTTTAAATGAAAATTGCTATGTATTATTTTATAACACTGTAAATTGATACTGTTCACTTTTGAACAATAACTATTACTGACAAGATCTAAGATTTCATTTGATATGCACAAAGGTTTAATAGTCCGTAATCAGACAATAGTTGTAGGTGTTATGGTGTTAAAACCGTGACTGTTAAATTACGTACATCACTGTTTGTTCCATTTGCGTATTCAATAGTGATGAATATCAGAATTAATTACTCTTTCACACTATTAATGACATGTTTTACAGCTAGTTACACACCAAATAATGAATGGTTACTGTAGAATTTCTAACCACTTTCTGTTGATACTATTGTCTACGATATCACCCATGGGGAAAGTGGACGTAAAACTTGAGGAACGAACGAATGTTGATACTAAACTCAAGTTTAAAGAGATGATGACTTGTATAAATTTGAAGAAGTAAAGTTCTGATTAGAACACAGATCATATTTCCATTACATTTTTTATTGTTCAGCTTTTGTTTTATTTGTCTTTAACAGTAGGATCTAGAAGAGTTTATAAATGCAATGTGTTTAGTTTGATATAGGGGATTAGCCAATGAAAAGATCTGTTTGGTCCAGTGATATGCAGATTTTCATAGAATTATGGGAGCAGGTATGACTCAGTAGGTAACAAAACCGTTAAATCATTCAGGGACACTTGACATGACCTCCCTCTCAAATGAGTCATATCTGTGTGAGGAGGGGTGGATGGCCAAATGGTTTAACCTATGCCCTTTAAATCAGAAGGTTTGTCATTGAGTAAGCTGTTGTTTGCCCGCTTGTACGTGACAAGGAATAGAGCCGACTGTCCAACCTTGTGGGTTTTTTCTGGAACCCCCCACTGCTAAAGACACTACCGCACTAGCGATTTTATTGAAATGAAATTGAACTATATCTGTGTGGCGTTTAGGTTATCAAAACCATAGGATAAAGAAATTTAGATCTAATTTTCAATTCTATTGAAGTGAACAGTATGAGATTTACAGTGGGAGTATATTATATACTTTAAAGACAACTATATATTATATTGTTAATTATCTACAATAATTGTTACATAAAGTTTTATACATAAAAGTTGATTTGTTATAATTTGCTCATTTACACCCAATATACCGGTATTTCCTGTAGGATTGTTACAGTAATTAATACCAGTTTTATAATAATATATCTCTTGTTAAATATTTTATAATAAATGTTGTAGAGAGGGAATAAAAATAGATTTTAAATGAAAAGAAATTTAATACGTTTGTTTTGTCTTTATTCATTCTCAGTGCCAGATTTACCTATAGGCTTGATAGCCTCAAAATCCATAGGGTCTCGCGTCAAGGTGTATGATATTTTTTACACTGTTATAAGAGACTTGCTTAAACACACGTAGTCTTAAACATCATCGGCCATCCTGGCCATCCTCTAGTCGTGAGTGTGGAAAATTGTGAGGGGCCTCATAAATGGAATAACCTAAGACAAGACCTCTCTTCATCTATATCCGACACCTATCAACATTTATTTATTTAAAAGGCCTAGTCCTGTTTGACAAGAAAACCACCAAATCCCTAATAATGATATCATAAAATCTATGGGTGTGTGAGAGATCCACTTTTCATGTTAATAAAATGTACTTAGTCACAGAGTACAATTATACTATCTTGAAAATGGTTGTGGTGGAGGGGAGCTTTAGTTGTATGGATAACCATATCTACCAAAATACTTAACATTTTTTATACAGCAGTGGTTCTCAACCCTCTTTTGCCAATGGCACACCGTGGAACTCATGAAAAAATAGCGGCACTACTTGCTAAGTATATATGAAAAATATTTGAATTTTGCAAAATAAAAACATGGTATAAGTCAGACTGCATGCAACCGTATACATAGACACAGAATGACTCAAACTAAATAAAGAAAAACACAGCTATGAACTTTAAAGTTTAATTAATTATTAGTAAACATTATTGAATACTGATTTGGGATCACGTGGTTTTTCGCATTTTCGGGGGATTGGATGGCTGAATGGTTAGCGTGCGCGCGCTGTATCATAAAGTCTGTCATTAAGTCGACTGGCGTGGTTTCGAATCCCCGGTTGTACGTGACAAGGAGTGGGGTCGTCTGTCCAACCTCGTGGGTTTTCTCCGGGTCCTCCCACTGCTAAAGACCCCTATGCGCAAGCGAATTATTGAAATAAAATTAAACCATATGTTAGTCCCGAAATGACCTAGTTGTGTCGAGTGGATGTTAAACCCCATTTCTCTCTCTCTCTCTCTCTTTTTTCGCATTTTCTTATTTTTCTGTTCAAAATTCCGCAGCACACTTAGGAAGATCTCGCGGCACACTGGTTCTGAATAGTTATACAGCAATGTTTCGACAGGTGAAACTTGCGATAATTTTATTTATACAACGCGTCATATCTAGACGTGGCAGGGTGGTGGTGGCCGTATGTTTCAACGTGTGCAACTCGATCATAAGGATTGTCGTTGAGTCATGTGGCGTGGTTTCAATTCACCGCTTACAAGGAGTAGGGTCACCTGTCCAACCTTGTTCGGTTTGGTCCAGTTTCCTCCTACAGCTAAAGACCGATACGCGCATGCGAATTATTGAAATAAAATTGAACCATATGTTACTCCTAAAACGACCTAGTTTGTGTCCTGTGGACATTAACACCGTTTCGTTTTATACGCCCACATTGGAATGTGGTCGTATATTGCCATCACCCAGTCTGGTGCCACAATTGCTTGTGGGCACTCTAGAGGCTACAGTTAATATTCGATTTGCTTTAAATTTATACACAGTGGTTAAATCGTAGGACAAAGAAGCCTATTGATTTTCAACGATTTCCGATAATAAGTGCTAGAGTTATGGCCCTTGATCACTTTGAAAAATCTTGTGGATGCTCTAGAGGCTACATTTAAGATCCGATTGACTTTAAATTTAAACACAGTGTTTAAGGTAAGGAGACGAAGAATTTTATTGATTTTCAACGTTTACCGATAATTATTGCCAGAGTTATGGCCCTTGAACACATTTGAATTATCTTGTGTACGCTCTAGAGGCTAAAGTTAATATCTGATTGACTTTACATTTATGCACAATAATTACTGCCAGAGTTATGGCTCTTGATCACTTTGAAAAATCTTGTGGATGCTTTAGAGACCATAGTTATCATCTGGTTGATTTTAAATTTATGCACCGTGTTTACGGTTATGAGATGAAGACACCTATAGATATACTCGTTTCGATTGACTTTAGATTGATATACAGAGTTTAAGGTCTTGAGACAAACAAGTATATTGATTTTCAATGATTTTTGATAACTTGAACAGCTAAATCCATGACATTAAATGGTAGTGGCTAAATACCACGCTTCAAAATACACACATTCATCCCAGCATTTAAGTGTTTGTCGGGTCCTTGATAGTAACCACACCATCCCGTAGCTAGCCCAAAAATATTGGGGGCAAAGGCTTCTGTTGGCGCAGATGGAACTTAACTGGGAGCGGCGATGTACCTACACTTGACATTCCACGCCTCTCTTCGGATTTTGAGGCTATCAAGCCCATAGGTAAATCTGGCACTGAGAATGAATAAAGACAAAACAAACGTATTAAATTTCTTTTCATTTAAAATCTATTTTTATTCTCTCTCTACAACATTTATTATAAAATGTTTAACAAGAGATATATTCAATCAACTTTTATGTATAAAACTTTATGTAACAATTATTGTAGATAATTAACAATATAATATATAGTTGTCTTTAAAGTATATAATATACTCCCACTGTAAATCTCATACTGTTCACTTCAAGAGAATTGAAAAATAGATCTAAATTTCTTTATCTTATGGTTTTGATAACCTAAACACCACACAGATATAGTTCAATTTCATTTCAATAAAATCGCTAGTGCGGTAGTGTCTTCAGCAGTTGGGGGGTCCAAACAAAACCCACAAAGTTGGAAAAGTCGGCTCTATTCCTTGTCACGTACAAGCGGGCAAACAACAGCTTACTCAATGACAAACCTTCTGATTTAAAGGGCATAGGTTTAACCATTTGCCCACCCACCCCTCCTCACACAGATATGACTCATTTGAGAGGGAGGTCATGTCAAGTGTCCCTGAATGATTTAACGGTTTTGTTACCTACTGAGTCATACCTGCTCCCATAATTCTATGAAAATCTGCATATCACTGGACCAAACAGATCTTTTCATTGGCTAATCCCCTATATCAAACTAAACACATTGCATTTATAAACTCTTCTAGATCCTACTGTTAAAGACAAATAAAACAAAAGCTGAACAATAAAAAATGTAATGGAAATATGATCTGTGTTCTAATCAGAACTTTACTTCTTCAAATTTATACAAGTCATCATCTCTTTAAACTTGAGTTTAGTATCAACATTCGTTCGTTCCTCAAGTTTTACGTCCACTTTCCCCATGGGTGATATCATAGACAATAGTATCAACAGAAAGTGGTTAGAAATTATACAGTAACCATTCATTATTTGGTGTGTAACTAGCTGTAAAACATGTCATTAATAGTGTGAAAGAGTAATTAATTCTGATATTCATCACTATTGAATACGCAAATGGAACAAACAGTGATGTACGTAATTTAACAGTCACGGTTTTAACACCATAACACCTACAACTATTGTCTGATTACGGACTATTAAACCTTTGTGCATATCAAATGAAATCTTAGATCTTGTCAGTAATAGTTATTCTTCAAAAGTGAACAGTATCAATTTACAGTGTTATAAAATAATACATAGCAATTTTCATTTAAAAAATAGTTCATTAAAAAGTTATCAAAAGTTCTTTATGAATCAAGTAACAATAACAATATTATTCAGAAATACATTTTCTTGAAAGAGAGAGAAAGAGCGAGAATAGTTTGATTGAATGTATGTTATTTATTGACAGTAGAGGCAAGTCATAGCACCTTGTATGAGGTTAAACAGACGACTCTATGCTTTGTAATCATGTACAATCTACAGAACTGAATGAACAGTAACAGATTGCACAACTAACACATTTGTAGTGCACCACTTTAAACCATTCAGCTAAAGGTAACCTCCCTTACAGTTATGACTTTAGATCATAAGTCTGGTCATTGGAAATCAATTGGAATTGATCCCATCTTCCTCTCTCTCTATTTTTATATATAAAAATCACATAACATATATTTCAAATTGGTTCAAATATTTCATCACCAGATTCATTGTCTATTAAAGGTCAAAGGTGCTTTTCTTAAAAATATCTTTGGATGTTAATGGGCCAACTGAATACACAGAAAATAAAAACATTAGTTTTAAACATACATTATGCAAGAGCTAAATCTGCCAATTGCAGGTCTTTCTTTAGGCCTGAAATGTTATCTAAATTATTAATTAGACATTAATTAACTTATCCAGACCATAATCAACTCTTGATGGCATCGCTAGTCTGCGATATTTACTGGATTACACCCCAATCTGCTGCTTCTGATTTAATCATGAAATGGATAATCAAGATTTTTTTTTATTGTACAGACTTTAGTGATGATGATCGAGGCTAGGTTGAAATTTCAATTGCTTAATTCTCGGTTCATAGTGGATCAATTTGACTGAAATTTTCAGCAAATTGCCTTTACATTATCTAGTTTTTAACTATTATAGCGAGAACTACCAGACTCATTTATCAAGTACACAATCCTAATAAATGTTAATTACAATCAAAAATGATACTGGATAATCATACATTCCTATAACAATTTGATGTGCATAGAAGTCATTTAGCCAAGTAGTGATTCTTTGACAAAATAAAAACATAAAATTAACATGTCCCTCCAGCATCTGATTTTTGGTAGGGATTGTCTGAATTTTTTTTATGGCCAAATTTGTGTTGATTATAAAACTGTATAATATTATACCAATATTTAATAAATGCTCATTGATTTTTCATATATTTCAGCCATATGATCGGCTTCAATCTTCCTTGGTGTTAGCTTTAATACACGTTGCTGGAAATAAATAGAAATATAACAAAATAAAAAATTAATGAAGATGGGGTTGTTTATGAGGAAAATTTAGCCCTGACAGCAACACTATGGCCTACTGTTATTTCGATTTCCAACTGTTCCGGGGATCTTAAACGTACTGTCAATGGTATATATGGAAACTTTTGTTTTCTGCCCCATTCGAATGAATAAAAGGTTTTCCTTGCTGGACCATTGATAAGGGAAAACTAGGCTCGAAAATCCTGAGAAATTATCTCAGCGATAAGTGAGCCAGCTTCATATTTATACAGCCACTTTAATTTGGCTTGTAAATGTTTTTTGGACCAATATGATTGTAAGATTCTAATTCTCATGACAAATGTATTGTGTGTCACATGACATTAGCCTATGTTTGTGCATAGGAAATTAACTAGTGCCAGCCCAATTTTAGCACATTTAATGTCAATTATTCAACAACAAAATTACACAGCACTGTTGCTCTATAATAAAGGAAGACAATAAGACAAGTGGGAACTAAGACAGGGATGTTAGGAACATAAATAATATTGACATCATGTGACATCTCTCAGAAAGTTGTTCAACCACAATGACTATTTAAATGTCATTTCACTGAAGACTCCGGAACCATAAACCTAATTGTCATGACCTTAATTCCTGCAATAATGTTTTGAAGCCTAGATATGCTTCATAGCAAATATGTAGACCAATGTAAAGCAGACATGAATATCACTTCTTCTACATATTTATGTTAGCTTGGGTCAATCCCAATTTCTATCTGCTCTTTTATTTTTGAAAGAAAGCTAAGCAGAAATATGAATAACTTACTTGTGGTATGGCACCTTTAACTAAGTCTGGTACATCTTGACTAGTGTAGCCCAGACTACCCAGTCCATTAGGTACACCTATTTCATTCATGATGTTGAGAACAGTCTCTGATAATACTTTACCAGCATCATCTCGTTTTACATTGGTCACGTCACGACCTGCAAAATTTTAAGGATTCTTGGAATAACTGCTAACTGATGTTCAATTATAAACTTATTCAAACCCTTAGATAGTGGTTACATCGAATGTTGATTTAATTATATATATTCTAATAGCCTCAATTTGGATTAATGGTGCATTTTAAAATGGCGTATGTGGTCTAGAGTGTTGCGCTTTGAGCTCTAGCTGACCAGTCATCTTGGGCTTGAGGTTGTAGTTTCGATCCCTGGTGTGAGCTAATTAATGTGGCTTGGAGATAGGGGTGCCTTCTCAACCTCGTGGGTTTACTCCGGGTACTCCGGTTTTCTCCCAGGTAAAAGATCCCTGTGTGTACTTAAAATAATAAAAATTAGACAACTTTTATAAACAAGTGAGCACCACCTTTGCTAAAATCTCTTAATGAGCCTTTTTTGAATCAAATTTAATCCAAGCCAAGTGATTTTTTTTTTGCTTAATTAAATAAAATGTTAAATAATTAATTTAAGTATATTTTAGCATGTGTGAAAACTTAAGAAGATATTGTCTGAATCAGCGGCTGCCAGGCAGGATACGCCCACATTTTTCAAGAGATGGATAGAGAACAAGCTAAACAAAAGGCAATTTTTCGTAACATCAAGGGCCATAATTCAGGAAGGTACGATCAGATATGTGCGAATATCGACAGGAACCAAGATCTTTGGGTTATTAACAATGCATTTCAAGTTTCATTAAAATCGGATCAAAATTGTGACATCTAGATGGTCCACAACCTTGGCAGTTTTGGTCCGATTTTCATGAAATTCGAACTCAACCAACAATATGGTGTAACGGTGACATATTCGAATGTATTTTTAAATCAGATAATAATAGTGACCACAAGCTAAAAACACTATTTTTCATACGATCAGGGGCCATAATTCAGGAAGTTACTGTTATATCTCCCCGGTCATATATCTCAAGGATTGCATCAGATTTAATTCAGATTAAAATACACACATACGAATCTAATCAAACACGTTTTATTCATCTCTTGTATACACGCAACTCTAATTAACAATAGAGGGGTACAACAATTGAAATGGTGATCATGTGATTAATAAGTAACCTTATATAGAATACATACATATTCATCAGACACTACAATTCCTCCCTTTGTACTTTAAAAGTAATCTACATGTATTCCTTTTAAATCTACAAATATTATACCTATGAATAATAAAAAGAAATCAAAACAAATATTGTAATTATAATGTAAACACTACATGCATAATGATAAAATATAAAGTTTCAATAAATGAATATTGTAGATAAATCCTTGCCTTGGATTAAGAATTATTATAATACTATAATACTATTCAAATACAAACATGCAACAAAGAAATTAACAATCGTCATTTGACCATATCAAAATCTTGATACCTATTAGGCATTCTTCTCAATCTAGTACTAGTAGGACGTAAATTACATTCAAGTTCTGACTTATTCTTATTATGTAAATCGGTAGAAGATTGAGTACTATCTTGATTAGGTATACTATCTTGATGTACAACATTTTCATTAACATCACTCTGATCTAACACAGTATTACTGCTATCATTTTGACCAGTTGTCTTTTCAACAATAATATCATCAAAATCAAACATTCTATTATTTTTAGACTCAGAGCTTGTAGAACTTTCACCATTATTGAAATCATTAGTACTTTGATTCAACTTATCAATAAACTTTTTAACATGCGTAGAATTTCTCTTATACCTCACACCTTGTTCAATTTCTACAGTTACACTATTACCATGTTTAGATATAACATGATATGGATTAGCTTCAAAATTTGCCATTAACTTATTCTTAGGCTTTTGTTTCAATAAAACTAAATCACCCTCTTTAACATTACTTTCACAAGCTTTTCTCTTACAGTCAGTATATATTTTCCCTTTCCCTTTACGCTCGGAATCATAATCCCTTTGGCTAAATCACCAGGGGAATAATCAAAATCATCCAATGCTGGCAATTTTGTTTAAACATTAATTCTGCAGGGCTAACACCAGTAGTACTATGAGATGTGGTTCTATACATCATAAGATATTTACTTAATTCCTCATGCCACTCTCGCTGTTCAATTTGTGCAATTTTCAGTCGCTTAAGCAATGAACGATTCTGTCGCTCAACCTCCCCATTTGCCTGAGGCCATATTGGTGTGGTGTGCCTATGCTTACATTCTAAATAATCCTTAAATTGGTCACTAATAAATTGAGGACCATTATCAGTGGTAACAGATAATGGTAACCCATACATAAGAAACATTCTCTTAAGACTAGCGATAATTTTATCAGATGTTGTGGACTTCATCCATTCCACTTCAATATAACAACTAAAATAATCTACGACAACAATTAAATGATCACCTGAAGGTAAAGATGGAGTCATCAAATCTGCTGCTATATGTTGCCAAGGTCCATTAGGTAAATCAGTAGTTTTCAATGGTTCCGGAGATTGTGTTACGCTAACAATTTGACATGACTTACATGATTTACAAAAATTATCTACATCTTTATTTATACCTGGCCACCAAACCTTAGATCTTAAATGTCTCTTCATGACAACAATACCAGGATGTCCTTCGTGTGATAATGCTAAGACAGTATCTCTTAATTTGTTAGGAACAAGAATTCCAGTACCTCTTAATATTAAATATCCTATTTTTAATTGCTAAATAAAATTTATTCTTAAGCTTATGCCATTCACCAGTTTTAATACAATCTCTTAAATTTAACAATTCTTCGTCCTTAGAAGCAATGCGTTCAATTTCACAAGTAGATAGAGCTTTTGGTGAAGACATTTCTGCAACAAATTTAACATTAAATAATGATCTTCAGTTGAGCTATTCTTAGAATTATGGTTTTGAGTTAACCTTGATAGACAATCAGCAATATTGTCTGAGCCCTTAATATAATGAACATTATTATATATGTATAATAAGGTTGGAGTCTTAATACCCAACGTTCTATTCTTGCGCTTGGCTTAGATCGTTTGGATTAAATAAATTCAAGAGGCTTATGATCAGTTAGCAAATCAAAATTGGTACCATATAAATATATATGAAAACGTTCACATGCCCAAACTATACCCAATGCTTCTTTTTCAGTTTGCGAATATTTCTTTTCGACTTCGGTAAGTGATCTACTTGCATAACAAAAAACCTTATGTTCACCTTGCTGTTCTTGAATCAAAATTCCGCCAGCGGACTAGCATCAGTAATAACAAAAGTTCTATCATGCCTATTAAAAAAACCTAATAGACATGCACATGCCAAAGATTGCTTTAAATTATTAAACGAATCTTCCTGTTCATATTCCCAAACAAAAGGTTCATTTTTCTTAGTTAATTTTCTCAAAGGTTCTGCAATAGTTGATAAGTTCTTAATGTAACGGGCACTATAATTAACAAGACCTAAGAATGAAGCACCTCTGAAGCACTCTAAGGTCGTCTCGCTTCAGTCACAGCTTCAATTTTAGATTTTGTAGGGCCAATACCTCGCGCTGATAATAAATGTCCCATAAATTCTAATTGTGGCATATTAAATTTACATTTCCCTTTATTCAAGGTAAGTCCAAGTTCCTCGATTCTTTGTAGAAGTTTTTCAAGTCTCTCGTCGTGTTCCTTTTCTGTTTTACCATGCACAATAATATCGTCAAAAATGTTCCTAACTCATTCCAGGCCTTGGAGAGCTTGTTGAATAACCCGTTGATACATTTCTGGAGCACACGATATCCCAAACATTAATCTTTTGTATCTATAAAGTCCCAAATCGATTACAAATGTTGTTATCGGCCTTGAATCCTTGTGTAATTCTATCTGATGGAACACAGATAAAATATCAAGCTTACTAAATACAGTACTTTTATTTAAATTGTGTAGAATTTCGTCCACCGTCGGTATCGGGTATCTCTCTCTAATAATTGCGGTGTTTGCCTGTCTCATGTCAATACACAATCTAATTTCTCCATTAGATTTAGGTACAACAATACATGGAGAAATCCACGGTGTTGGGCCTTGAACTTTTTCGATAACATCTAAACGTTCGAGTTCTTTTATTTTAGCTTCCAGTTTAGGTCTAATGTTAAATCCCTCTCTTCTCAACGGTTGTGCCACAGGTTTCATTGTGTTATCAATTGGTAACATTAACTGAAAGTTTTTTAGTTTTCCCAAAACCCCAAAACATGATTTGTATTTATCAAAAATGTTAACCTTTCCCCTTTCAGAGTGAACATAATTAAGTTGTAACACATTCAGTTCTATGGCTGTGTCTCTTTCCCCTTTCAAAGTGAACATAATTAAGTTGTAACACATTCAGTTCTATGGCTGTGTCTCTTCCCAATAATGTCTGACCCTTTTCTTTTATTACATAAATTGTTGCTTCGGTTGATTTATTTCCAACTCTCAACAAAGTTGTAAACACCCAATCACTGTCAATGGTTGGTCACTTCCAAACGGATAAAGTTTCTTATTTGAAAATGATTCTCGACACTTAATCTTCTTATGTTTTAATTGCTTCCAATGTTCTTGATTCATAACATTACAACTAGCACCTGAATCCGGAATCATTTCAACACTTGGAATGTTGCCAATATCAACTAAAACTTTTGGCTGTTTATTATCCTCAAAACTAAATATATAATCATCTTCTTCGCATACTCTTAAATATCCAAATTCGTCTGTCAGCCTATATTCTCTGTCTCTTGCTTTTTCCGACTGAACGAATTTTAATCGGTATTTGTTGGTTGTGTCATCGAAATAATTCCTGTATTTATAGTCGCAACAACCTTGACCTGAACACGTTTTTTTAAAATTGGATAATAATTGTGACCTCTAGCGGGACCACAAGCTAAAAACGTGATTTTTCGTACAGTCAAGGGCCATAATTCAGAAAGTTACAATCCGAAATGCACAAATATCGAAAAGAAGCAAGATCTTTGGGTTATAAACATGTATTTCATGTTTCATCAAAATCGGATCAAAATTGTGAGCTCTAGAGGGTCAACAACCTTGATATACCATATTTTTACACTGTTTGCGTTCGAGGGGCGGCCATTTTGTCCAGCAGTTTTGATCCGATTTTCACGAAATTCGAACTCAACCGTCATTATGGGTAACGGTGATCTATTTAAATCGGAATAAAATTGTGACCTCCATAGGGTCCACAAGCTAAAAAATGTGATTTTTCGTACAATCAGGGGCCATAATTCAGGAAGTTACAGTTCGATATGCGCGAATATTGAAAGGAACCAAGATCTTTGGGTTATAAACCTCTATAGGGTTACAAGCTAGATCTTTGGGTTATAAACCTCTATAGGGTTACAAGCTAAAAATGCGATTTTTCGTATAATCAGGGGCCATAATTCAGGAAGTTAGGATCCGATATGCGCGAATATCGAAAGGAACAGAGATCTCTGGGTTATAAACTTACATTTCAAATTTCAACAAAATCAGATAAAAATTGTGACCTCTATAGAGTCCACAAGCTAAAAACACGATTTTTCGTACAATCTGGGGCCATAATCCATGAAGTTAAGGTCCGATACATGCCAATATAGATAGGAGATAAACCTATATTTCAAGTTTCGTTGAAATCAGATAAAAATTGTGACCTGTAGAGTGTCCACAAACAATATACATCAACATGAAAATGTGGGCGTATAAAAATGCCAGTGATGATCAGCGGCTAAATATATACTGGCATAACATACCAGCGGCTGCCAGGCAGGACATGCCCACATTTTCGAGAGATGGATAGAAAACAAGCTAAACGAAAGTGATTTTTCCTACAATCAAGGGCCATAATTCAGGAAATTACAATTCGATATGCGCAAATATCGAAAGGAACCAAGATCTTTGAGTTATAAACTTACATTTCAAGTTTCAACAAAATTGGATAAAAATTGTGACCTCTATAGGGTCCACAACCTTGATATACCATATTTTTACGCTATTTGAGAACGAGTGGCGGCCATTTTGTCTGTCAGTTTTGGGCCAATTTTCACGAAATTCGAACTCGGTTGTAATTAGGGTGTAACGGTGATATAATAATACGTTTTGTTAAATCGGATAAAAATTATGACCTCTATAGGGTCCACAAGCTAAAAACGCGATTTTTCTTACAATCAGGGGCCATAATTCATGAAGTTACGGTCCGATGTGCGCGAATATCGAAAGGAATCAAGATCTTTGTGTTCTAAACTAACATTTCAAGTTTCAAGAAAATCGGATAAAAATTGGAACCTCTATAGGGTCCACAACCTTGATATACCATATTTTTACGCTATTTGAGAACGAACGGCGGCCATTTTGTCTGTCATTTTGGGCCGATTTTCACGAAATTTGAACTCAGTCGTCCTTATGGTGTAACGGTGATATAATAATACGTTTTTTTAAATCGGATGAAAATTTTGACCTATATAGGGTCCACAAGCTAAAAACGCGATTTTTCGTACAATCAGGGGCCATAATTCTTGAAGTTATGGTCCGATATGCGCGAATATCGAAAGGAACCGAGATCTTTGGGTTATAAACTTACATTTCAAGTTTCAACAAAATCGGATAAAAATTGTGACCTCTATAGGGTCCACAACCTTGATATACCATATTTTTACGCTATTTGAGAACGAACGGCGGACATTTTGTCGGTCAATTTTAGGCCGATTTTCACGAAAATCGAACTCAGTCGTCCTTATGGTGTAACGGTGATATAATAATACGGTTTTTTAAATCGGATAAAAATTATGACCTCTATAGGGTCCACAAGCTAAAAACGCGATTTTTCGTACTATCAGGGGCCATAATTCAGGAAGTTACGATCCGATATGCGCGAATATCGAAAGGAACCGAGATCTTTGGGTTATAAACTTACATTACAAGATTCAACAAAATCGGATAAAAATTGTGACCTCTATAGGGTCCACAAGCCAAAAACGTGATTTTTCGTACAAACTGGGGCCATAATCCATGAAGTTTCAATCCGATACATGCCAATATCGAAAGCAGCCGAGATCATTTGGAGATACACCTATATTTCAAGTTTCGTTAAAATCGGATAAGAATTGTGACCTGTAGAGTGTCCACAAACAAATTGTGGACGGACGTCCGGACGGACAGGGGTGACGGCATAATACGTCCACATGAAAATGTGGGCGTATAAAAATTGTGACCTGTAGACTGTTCACAAACAATTGTGGACAGACGGAGGTCCGGACGGACGGACAGACAGGGGCGACGACAATATACGTCCACATGAAAATGTGGGCGTATAAAAACAGAACAATACATATGTACGTACATAATTATTGATTGAGAAGGTATTAATTAATGGTGATGGCCCTAAAAATAAATTGACTGTTATAAATCATATTTACATGTAGTGTAAACCCTAAAAGTTTTGATCACATTGTCAATTTATTCTCTCTAGTTTCCTCTTTAAATAAATATTATTTCATTGTTTTAATTATGTCCCTGATAATTTAACTCTCCGAGTGAAGCATAATGAAAAGATGAGTGACAATAGGAACTTGATTAAAACAGTGCGAGTTTAAATGAATATGTTCTCACCAAGCATTTCTGCGGCTCTGATATGACGTTCTGGACAAGCTACACCAGTCCAATCAAAGAGAGCTGGTGCTGTTATAGTTACAGTTAATCCATGGGGCTGTAAATAAACAATTTTGCAAATATTTGTGTAATTTTTGTAATGAAATTTTGGAATTAGAATGTCTGATGGTCATTGTAAAACATAAATCAAACATTTCAGTACAACGATAACTTACATAAATTTTATGTCATGGTTATGGTTTACTTTTAATGAATTAAATGATAGAAAGTGTGTTTTCATACATACATGAAGATGACCATCCAAACAAAATGAAAGTAAAGTGAAAAAATTGATACCCCAGCAGTGACTGCCCTAGACTCTTGAAACCTTTGGCCAAACATTTAGTCAAATCAAAATGTTATTAGCCAAATCAGAAACTTGTAGCCAAATATACTTCTATTCAAGTGTTTGCTAATTAAAAATAAATATTTAATATGTACTTAGTATTATTTTCTTCCCTGGACTGTCTGAAAGTTCAAATTTGCGAGGATGCAATAACCAAAAAATGAGATTCTGTCATATAAGTGTCACTCTACACTCCTCATCATATCAATCACATTCATATTGTCGCTGTCAGTAACTTTTTGGAAGAAGTAGAAGTTGTATCTGCAGTTTCATTAATAATGTGCTTCGCGGATGAAGGTAGTAAAAATGAATCTATCCTTATTTTTGGTTCGGTAAATAAATATAAGTAATCATTATTCATTATTATAATTTGGAAATAAATTATAGCGAAAGTAAAAGACAGCAGCGCCATACAAAAGGGACGTAACTGTCTTTACGTCCCAAGATTCGATCTTTAGGTCGTTTTTAAAATGTATAACCATTGACTAATTTGCCACTAGCAAGATGGAGACTAGAATCAATTAATATACTAAAAATAGACACTACATTGAGTCAATCGAAAGAAGTGTTGAACTAGACAATTTCAAGATTAAAATTAGAAGATTTTCAAAATTACACTCTCTAAAATTCATTCGCCAAAAATTTTGCCAGAATCATCAATTTGATCGGCAATAAAAAGAATTATCGCCATTGGCGAATGTCTAGAGCAGTCACTGCCCAGAGTTTGCACTATGATACGTATTGCAAAGAATACATATTACAATATACTGATTGTTTTTTTTAAACAGTCCTACTTACTATTAAAGGATGTTCATCTGAATAACCTTTAGCTTTATAATCTTTAACTAGACCAGATATAGAATATGCCAAACCATGACTATAAAATAAAATCTCATAGTATTCATACGAAAGAAAATCATGACGGAGACTGTCCCATATACTGATACTAGTCACACAACAAGAAAATCATGACAGAGCTGTCTTACATAGCATTCATACAAAACAAAATCATGACAGAGACTGTCTCACATATGGGTCTCACAAAACTAAAGTTTCGATTTAATAACATTTGCATAAAATATAAATTATATCAATATTCACATCTAACTTGAAACATTACATGGATCTCTGAAAACTGTGGTCTCAATTTAAATATTACAAAGAACTCTCAAAGATACAGCTCTGAAAACATTAGACAAAATATCTGGTTATCTTAAATATGCTGCCATATTAAACTTTATACACATATTTAAGTTGATACTTTAAGATGGAAATAAATGTAATTTTTTACCAAGCATGACATCCAGAATTACCAAATCCAATACCAGCGTATGAACTAGCGTGATGCATGGCTGACCTGGCTTCCATATCATCATTATCATATACAGCACTACAAATAAATAAACACATTCCAAATAGTAATCGAATAAACAGTTGACCCTTTTATCGATAATAAAGATTCAATGAAACAGATATTTAAATCAGAGGATATCTTTGATTTCGGTAAAATATAAAAGTGTTGATTTAATTCAACTTTAATTGACTTCTGCTTCAACTTTTGAAACTGACTGAAACAACACTTTAGGTTTATGAAAATAGCTTCGTAAAAAAATATTCAATTGTCTAGCTCCATAAAAAAAATTGCAAGTATTTATTGAATATCAAATACATGGTTTACATTGTGGACTTCAACAAGAAAAGAATTCAAATGACAATATTTTTTTTATAATTAATCATCTGGTTGTATTAAATTTCTGTTGAAAAAAAATTTCACTGAGCTATATCATTCCAGTTTTTACAGATAAAAATACATTTCTTGAATGACATAATATTAAGTTATTCAGGGCCGGCGGAAGCAATTCTTGATTTGGGGGGGGGGGGGGCTTCCATCCTAGGTCCTTATAGGCGTGGGTCCAGGGGTCGCAATAACCTGGAGAAAAGAGTACTTGCGGCCAAATTATGGGGGGGGGGGGCTACTACCCCCCCCCCTTCCGCCCCTACTCTGCCGGTCCTGTTATTACTAGTTGAATTTGTTGCCATTTCAATTTGTGAAATTTATACATTAAAGAATAAAATTAAATGGGGTTTAACGTCCTACTGTTCTGTTTCTATACTATGCCCTATGTTGTGCTATGTTGTCCGGGCAGTGGTACTATGGCCTACTCTTATATCGAATTCCTACTGCAAAGCGACCTTTTACATGCACATCAATGTATACATGGGACCTCCTTTTTTCATTCCATTCGAACAACTAGACAGCTGTCCTTGTCAGGCCCTCCAGCCAGCACCACTGCCAAGGGGAAACCATGTCAGAAAATCCTGATGAACTTTCTCGGCCAATGCCGTGATCGAACATGCGACCTCCAGGCTTACCCATACATTACTCCCTCATACATTAAAATAGTTAAACCTCTTTGAATTAGATCAAAGTGAAGTATTAAATTTGTTTGAATGGTTATATGGATTAATGACAGGATAAGAACTATGCAATTAAATTTTTAGTTAAAAAAAAAAAAATTTGTAAAAGCAGAACCCACCGTTTTATATATTTACTGGTAATCCTTAAGGCATGTTCACACCAGATATCACTCACAGGATTACTACCCTGGAAGGCTGGACGTAGGTTTGGATTCTCAGGACATGGAGATCGTTCATTGTAAGGTAAGGCTGTATATGATTCTAATGCATGACTGAATTAAATACATAATCAAATCGCATCCCACTAACAACAATATATCCTAATTGGTCAAATGGGCACAATTCTTCACTTAAAATATTATGTGAAATCATCCTTGGTGGTTGTAGTTTGATAAAATGATCAAGTACAGACAAAAGATGATATTTTTCACAAATCAATATGAAGGCAGACATTAAACTTTAATTAACAAGCATATCAACGGTTGTGATAATTTGAACAAACAATATGGCCATACAAAAAGTGGTTTTGTGTTGTGAGACTTTATTTTGTTAAAATATGTTACCAGAATTGGTATCCCAGACTATGGCACCGATAACATTTATGCTTTGTACTATTATAACCACTTACTGAAACCTGTCTTAAAGGGCAGGTAACTTCTGGTTCTACACAGCGTTATATTTTAGATATAGTATACTTGTTATCTAACAATGCTAGTTGGGTCAGGCCAATGTAATATTTGTGGTATTAGAAGAAGAAATAAGGAAGACACTAGTTTGGTTAATGGTGCTGGTCAGCACAAATGAAATGGTGTTTAACGTCCTACTTGTGTGCACCAACTGGATTAATGAAGACAGACATATGCCATATATACAGTGTGCTATGAGAGAAAATTTTCCTAGAAAACTGTTATGAGTTCTTTTTACGTGCACATCAATATGTACACAGCACCTTTCTCAGACAAAACCAGGATCGAAATCAAAAACTCCAAGTAAGCAATCCAGCGCCTTACGCAATGAGCCACCGCAGCTCCCTGGTCAGTAGACAAAAAGTGTATATTCACGAGTCACAATACATTGATGAGCCTATTTATAGGTAGTTAATATTGAAATGATGCCACCTACCATAATACATCTATACCGCTATAGGCTGCCACACGTTCTGGCATGTATTTTAGATGTAATGGATCAACTATACCTAGTGTAGGACGGATAGCTCTACTACCAATACCTGTAATATCAATAACAAACATTGTTTTAAAGTAGATTGTGTTGAAAGGCATTTTAGACTGTAAATATTAGCTTCAGAACCTGAATATTCGCAAAGATTATGTCAAGAGGATTTTATTACCTGCTTTACATTTCAAAGGGAGGTAATCAAGGACAGCTATGCCTGTTGTTTCACTTCCTGTTCCTGCTGTAGTAGCTACTGTAAATATAAAACAATAGGGTATGGCAATGTATATCACTACTTAATAGATACGGGTAAAATTCGAGCCTTTCTATCTAGCTTTTCACATAGCAAAGTCAACCAAAATTAACACTATGTTAGTCTCTAAATGACTGAAAAAATTTAACCTTTTAATCGGTGTAAAGTTTTCCTTTTAGGGGGGTGTGTGTGTGAAACGACTTCTGTCCGCATCTCCGTTTTGACGAATAGCCAAAAACAATATTAGCCGAAAGTTTCTGCATCTGCATCAATTCATTAGTCGTTAAGACCTCCTGTACTTTAATATATGTTAATTGAATATCTAATAATTATTTTCTACCTGCTATGAGTGGCTTTAAGTCGTGAGTGACAGGTAGACCCTTCCCAACTGGTGCATTAACATAATCTAAGAGCTCTGCCTTAGGATTGGTTGAATAAAGATTAGCAGCTTTACAAGTATCAATAACAGACCCACCACCGACGGCAACAAACACATCAAAATCACCTTTCTTCGCAAAATCTATTGCATCATTAAAACTGAAATAATTGTATTTATTTGGTTAGTTTAATTAGAAATAAAGCACATTAATAATTTACTTATTAAATGATTTTTTATAATCAATCACCATTAATTACCTATTAATTATATAAGCTGATACCAGCTACTTTCCCCTGAATATCAAGCTAATGCCAGTTACTTGTGCATTACTATCACGCTGACACCTGTTACTTCCCCTGTACTATCAAGCTGATACCAGTTACTTCCCCTTTACTATTTTCTGGCATGGTGCTTTACTATGATGTCAGTACATTATTCATGGCTGACCTCATGACTTCTTTTAGCCTCCATATACAGAATGTGCTTCTTTTTGACAGAATGTGTTTTTTTTATGCCAGTAAGTTAAAACAACAGGGTTTTGAATAAAAAATTGCATAGGATTAGGTGCAAGGCAATTTAATCGTCTTTTTTCCCTGGTGGCAACCGTTTGCGACGGCCCATGGACTTACCTGACATTAGTGGGTTCTACTCTAACTCTATCATATATTTCATATGGTACATTCGCTCGATCTAACGAGTCAAGAACTGTTTTAACTGGTGGAAGTTTGACTAAGTTACTGTCGGTCATTACACAAACTTTCTTGGCTCTAAAATTCTGACAATCCTGAAAAATAAGATAACAACTCAACTTCAGTTTATTTAACTCATGTAAAAGTGATTCTTTTAATCTCTATATATAATGTGCATATCAAATTAACTCATGATCAATTTCAGTTCCCACTTGCTGGATTGACAAGGATAGCCTATAATGTCACTCCAAATGCTGATCAATATAATGATATACATTATGTAAATAAGTATATTCACCAGATTTTGCTTTTCATGGTAATATGTGTTATTATACTGATCTGCAGTATCCCATGTCATATATACTTCAGTATCTCACACATCAAACAGAATAATCAACTAAGCAGATATTGTAATGTTTGGCGAGGTGAGATACTGAGGTACAGATTGACCCACTATACCAGAAAAACAGAAAAGTGAATACCTATACACTGAACACATATATACATGACATTTCGATGTGAATTTTTCTCTATTTGTCTACATTACAAAACACAGTAAAAAAAAGTAGCCATACTTACTAAGCCAACTTCTGTTGTACAACCAGCACCATATCGTACACTAGAACACGCCATCTGTAAAACATCAAAATATCTTCATTTAAACCTGTTTCCAGTTGTTAAAGGGCATGGCTGAATTTAACATTGTATAACATTTCTTCGGGGCCATTCTATTTATTGATTATTTTCATATAAATCAAAGCAAACATGAAATATTCAAAAAATTAACGCAAATTTAAACTTTGTTGCAAAGATAGAGCCCTTAGACACTTCGTGAGGAGTGAGTTTCGTGAAATTGAAAGTAGTATTACTCTAAAACTGAAAGTGGTAGTGCAACGCTACCAGTCCTATGTCACACCCTGGCTCGAGTTGCAGTTATACCCAAAATTGCAGCCTCACGACAGACCTCGTGTAGCCACCAACCCCTAACAGACAAGCAAGCAAATGACAGTTACAAATATATGCATACATAATCTATCTTTGTGTGGGACCTCGAAAATCTTGGTGATCTTTGCAGCTGCACTGTTTGTGCTGCCTTAAAATCCATGGTTCTGATAATAAGATGTGGTACATTGGTTTGAATGGTAAGGGGAATGGGCTCTACAAGGTCCAGCCTTTGCATGAAATTCTGGTACTTCTCTCCATCAACTTTCTATCTGTTCCATTGTAGCCAATATTTCTGCATCCTGTATCCATAATAATAACATATTACTTTGGCCATTTTGTGTGTGAATTTTGCCTGATCAGGGACATTTCCTGTTTACACTTATTTGATTGCTTTCCATTCCAGCAGGGACAAGTGAATCACAGCGGTTCTTCTCAACACTCTGACATTCTTGTCAAAAGTCCCGTAACCCGTAATAATAATAAATTTATAGAACACCTGCATTCTAGTAAAATTGGTAGATGCACAATAAATAGAAATGAATTATAAATACATCTATAATCCCGAAAAAGTTTTAGAATTAAAAAGTTCAGTTATTTAAAATGTCATCATAATCATAGTTTTAACATCAAGTGATACTAAACAAATTACATGTAAAGATAAATCTTTTATTTTACTAACCTCAAAAGCATATTCTTTTGACCGCACATTTGATGTGGTAGATACATTTTCTAAATAAAAAACACACAGAAAAAAACAAAATTAAATACAATCAAAATTACACAAATCCTGTTATTTGGGGATGGTGAAACTTTGTCTTTTAGTATGGTATGCTTTCACCGGCTCAATATTAGGCCATCAATGCATAAAGGTTTTTAATATACCTTAGAATTAAATCTTTTTTGATTGTGGTTGGGATGATCGGCTATGCTATTTATATCAGTGATTGTAGTCCCATAAAACTGTGTTAGTTTTGGGACATACTCTTTTCCGTTGCCCTCAGTTGGGATGAGATGAACTTATTAGACCTATCTATAATTTTAGTAATGGATTAGGTCCTAACTGAATACTTTCTGAAGTATTTGAATTATTGGCGTAGATGATGTATGTTTTGAAAGATTATATAAGCAGATATTATTTTATTTGCTAATTTGAGTTTTATTTTATGATTTAACTGTTGATCAGCACATCAGTTACATGTATATGCCAATATACAGACCCAATATGTAGACACCCTATTTTAAAACTGAATCAACAGTGAGCTAACACATCCAAACAACTGAAGTTATATGCTTTTAATATTTGAATTAATAAACTTACTAAAAAAGCCATTTGGAGATGCTTTATTCCTGAAATAGTAAAGAAAACCAACAAAGTTAAAAAGATGATGCATTTAATTAAGAGATATTTCAATATCTGTCCACCAGCTAATGGAAATGAAATGAAATGAGGTTTAACGTCCTAAACTCCTACTGTTCTGCTCCGACTGGGCTAATGAAGACTGGCATATACGCCACACAGTGTGCTATGAGGGGCATTGTGTCCAGACAGCAGCGCTACGGCCTACTCAAATATCAAATTTTAACTGCCAAGGGATCTTTTACGTGCATGCCAATGTGTACATGGGACCTTGTTTTTTTTTTATCCCATTAGACAACTATACATGCTTCTTTGATGTGCACGATTGTACCCCAATGTCCCATTCGAATGACTAGGCAAGATCTTATTTGTCAGTTACGTAGCTGCCACCCTTGACAATGGGAGCTATGGTGGACAGATTGTGGTATCTAGTAAATAATTGTACAGGGGTTCGTTTCACAAAGCGTACCCTTACATGCAATAGTGTTGTACACTTATCTCAACCCCTTACCTAGCTAGCCATATGTACTTGTAGTTTGTAATATGTACAATCATTTGAATAACCAGATTTAGGCTTACCCATCAATTTGATACATTTGGGTGTTAGCTATACAGGATTAAATGAAATATGAATACATTTTTTTCAACTAATCTGACAGCTTTATCCCACTTTATGAGCTTTAACTATGGCTGCGGATGATGGTTGGGTGATTATTTCAAAATCAACTGACATATCTGGGAAACGCTTGATGTGGGTGTTGTAAAGTAAATTGTTTGATTTACATAGATGTAAATATTAGACATTGCTTTCTTTCAATTCTCTTATGCTAATAATAACCACCAACAACAAAGAGAACAAAAGGAAATAACCTTCTTTAACTTGTTAATAAAAAAAAATCACTTCAATCATATTATTTATATAAACTAATACAGAACAAGGAAATCAGTGGAAAATAGATGTCGGTTAAAACATCTTAATATTAATCAACATATAAAGATATTTCTACCATTTTAACAGTAAGTACAGTGTAGTAGTATTAAGTACATGCTCACACAAATATTCAAATATGTCAAGTTTATTCAAACTGATTTTTTTCTATTCAATTTCTATTAAAACTAATATTAATTCAATGACATCAACTAATGTTAAAAACAAAATAATTGAAAATATATTGATCTGAAAATTTTTTAGCTCTAGAAATCATTAAATGCATAAAAAACGGTCCCAAAATTTATCATGACCTATATATCTCAATATTGGAGTTGCCCTTTTGACTGCTTAGGATGCAAACTTTGAAGAATTTTGACATTATCTGCATGATTATACAGTACAGCTCATTCGTGACAAAACTAATCAACAGCATTGATGACTGTGTTATGTAAGTAGGTATATATTCAACAGAAATAGACAATTAATTTATATAGATAATATGTAAATTTAGAATTGATTTTTCCTTGTATCAGGGGCAGATCCAAATTACGTAGGCATACATACACACTGAGCTTTTTAGAAAGAAATCAAAGACTCTGTTGACGTCAACTTTTATTATAATTAATAGTATCACATTGTGATTCAATTTTATTGATGCAAAGCATTAATTGTGATATCACATATGTCTATATCATTATCTCGCGCTTTGAATGCCCATCCCATCCCACCATCTGATGATAAAGGACTAAGCACATGACTGTGACACCTTTCTCATAAAAAGTGTTGTTTTACAATTTTTTTTATGTAGCTGAGCAGAGAGGAGTTTGGACCCTGCAAAACCCCACTCTGTATCCTCCCCTGTGAATGTGTCATCATATTGATCCCTGGTACCACATGTCATTCACAACATGTTCACATACGACAATATCTTTATCATATGTATATAGATTACACAGAAGTTATTGACTCCAATAGTCATTATATAATGACCATCAGTCGATAATCAATCAGATTAAAAAGAGGCCAATCAAAAGATTTCATCAAGACTTAAGGATGCCGCCAGCTTCAAGATTTGTAGAGGATAAAGTTCCAACAATTTGGTCAAAAAGCACATAGCTTTGTCATAACGACAATAGATCGGTCATTCATTATGCCTATTAGAGGGTCCACAACTTTGATATTACATACTTTAACATTATTTGTGTACCTAGAGCGACCATTATGTCTGAGAGTGTCGATCTGATTTCCACAAAACTCAGTCATCAATCATTATGGTGTAATAGTGATATATTTAAAGATTATTTTTTAAATCAGATAAAAATTGTGACCTCTAGGGGAATCACAAGCTAACAGTGATATATTTAAACATTTTTTTAAATCAGATAAAAAATGTGATCTCTAGGGAGAGCACAAGCTAAAAATGTGATTTTTTTTTAAAAATCAGGGGTCATAATCCAGGAAATTGTGGTCCGATATGCACGAATATTGAAAGGATACAAGATCTTTGAGTTATAAACATACATGTACATTTCAAGTTTTATCTAAATCGGATAAAAAATTGTGACCTCTAGAGTGTCCACAAGCTAAAAACATGATTTTTTGTACAATCAGGGGTCATAATCCATGAAGTGTCGATCCAATACATGCCAATATCGAAAGGAACCAAGATCTTATGGAGATAAACCTATATTTCAAGTTTCGTCAAAATCGGATAAGAATTGTGACCTGTAGAGTGTCCACAAACAAATTGTGGACGGACGGACAGACGGGGGCAATGACAAATGTGGGGGTATAAAAATCCTGGATTGATGCTTGAAGAGGATGTGTCAAGGCCAGCTTAATGCTAGTGCTATAAAGTACAGTTTAATGGGGTAAAGTGCCTTATGATAATGTAATAAAATCTTTGTTAATAAACTTCAACCTTTTGAATCTTAATCTGCTTACCTGACTCAGTGACAGGTATTTGTATTCACATATATAGTTCATTTATACTTTAAAAACAGCCTACACAGCAAAGACAACAAGTAATTAATTATCAATTGTTATTTCTAAAAACCTTTCTAATGTAGTAGCAGTAATTTAGAAATACTTCAATTTGAGTACAATACAGAAGATAACAACACGGGTTGCATTTATGAACCAGCGGTTGCCAGGCAAGAGAATCCAGAACTTCAAAACATGCAGGAAGTTACGATCTGATATGCGCAAATTGCGAAAGGAACCAAGTTTCATCAAAATTGGATAAAAATTGCCGCCTCTACTCCAAAACCTTGATATACCATATTTTTACACCATTTGCGTCTGATTGGCGGCCATTTTGTCCGGCAGTTTTGTTCTGATTTTTACGAAATTTGAACCCAACCATCATCAGGGTGTAATGGTTATATATTCACACATTTTTTTTAATTGGATAAAAATTGTTACCTCTAGATGGACCACAAGCTAAAAATGTGATATTTCGTACAATCAAATATCGAATAGAAACAGGATCTTTGGGATTTAAAAAAGTTTCATCAAAGTCAGATGAAAATTGTGACCTCTAGAGAGTCCACAAGCTAAAAACATGATTTTTCGTACAATAATCAGGGGCCATAATCCATGAAGATATGGTCCAACATATCTTTGGGAGATAGCCATGGTTTTCCCTTGTCAGTGGTGCAGGACAGATAGCCTGACAAGGACAGCTGTCTAGTTGTTTGGATGGGAAAAAAGCACGCAGTCTCGTGAACCCTTTTGGCGTGCACGTAAAAGATCCCTTGGCAGTTGGAATTCAATATAAAAGTAAGCCATAGTGCCACTGCCGGGGCAAAATTTCCCTCATAGCACACTGCATGGCATATGCCCGTCTTCATTAGCCCAGTCAGAGCAGAACAGTAGGAAGTTAAACCCCATTTCATTTCATTTCCATTAGCTGGTGGACAGATATTGAAATATCTCTTAATTAAATGCATCATCTTTTTAACTTTGTTGGTTTTCTTTACTATTTCAGGAATAAAACATCTCCAAATGGCTTTTTTAGTAAGTTTATTAATTCAAATATTAAAAGCATATATAACCTCAGTTGTTTAGATGTGTTAAATCAGTGTTGATTTAGTTTTAAAATTGGGGTGGGGGAGTGGGAGGGGTGGATGACCGTATGGTTAGCACGTGCGCGCTGTATCATAAGGTCTGTCATTGAGTCATCTGGTGTGGTTTTGATTCCCTGGTTGTACGTGACAAGGAGTAGGGTCGCCTGTCCAACCTTGTGGGTTTTCTCTGGGTCCTTCGGTTTCCTTCCACTGCTATCGAAAGGGCGTTAGCGTATGTGTACAACTTTGATACAAGCTATAGATTTATCATCCATTTTTGCCACATTCGAAACACGCGTAGGTCTAATTTGCAAACACTGTCCTATAGTTATAGTTAATATGAAAAAGTAAACAAATAACAGTGAATAGATTCCATTTAAAACACAGCATTATCATCCATTTTTGCCATATTCGAAACATGTGTAGGTCTAATTTGTAAACATATGAAAAAATAAACAAATAACAGCGAATATGTAAGAAAGGCCTTTGTCCTAATTTTTCTAGCTGTTTAAATTATAGAATTTATTTGTATTGTTATTATATCTCGAGCTTAATTTCTGTTTCATGCAACTAATTACTGTAAACACAACAGGGGCCCACTTCCACTCGTGGAGAGTCTACTTATGATTTCTAATCTATGGTCTGTATCAAAGTTGTACACATACGCTAACGCCCTCTGGTGTAATAATGTTGATAATTCATTATATTTTTCTGGACATTTTCATTTCAAGATTTTAACTTCAAGACGTTTTGAAATGTAGAAAATATTTTCATAAGAGTTCAAATTCCAGATTTTTGTTTAGATACTTTCAGAAACCAATGAATTGATTTCTTTGACGTGTAAAATTAAGAAATTATTTTTTAATTTTAATATTTAATGATATATAAAAGTTATCGATAAAATGCCGAAAATGAAACATAAAGTCAATTTTTTGTTTAAAATGTTGATTTTGTGCATGAAATGTTGACATAAGAATGTAGAAACAAGAATCATTAGTTTAGAATGTTGCGTTCGTGTCTAAAATGTTCAAACTGGAATGTAGAAACAAGAATCATGAATATTGTCCCATTTGGTCTTCCATAACAGTGAGGCTGATGTCCCCTGCCGAAATACCCAAATAAATAGATGACACATATTAAAAGTATCGAGCAATCAAACTGATTAAATAATCGCATATCTATTTTTTTCAAAAGTATCAAGCAATCAAACTGATTATCAACTATACACTAAGTTTTGTCAATCTCTATCAGATAGAATCAAAGTTATCTTGTCCCAAAGCATCGACCAAGGAAATTGCTTATCTCTGCTTAGCTTTAGCTCGATATGTTAATCCTTGAACTCAGTCAAGACGAACATCTACATCAATTTTAAACATTCTACCTCAATAAGAAGGAGAGTTGTTATGTTCCAAAGTCTTGATTAATCAAAATGCTTATTGCTCCTTCTCATCATCGAACTATTGATGTAATGAAACTATACACCAAGTGTCATCACTCTCACTTAATTAAAACTAAAGTTATCGTGTCCCAAAGCATCAACCAATCAAATTGCTTATCTCTACTTTCCCTAAGCAGAAAATGCTCATCTTCACACTCCATCAAGGCATTGACCTAATAAACAGCTACACCAAGTTTGAACATTCTAGGTCAATTAGAAGGAGAGTTATTGTGTCCCAAAAAGTGTGAAGGACAGGCGGACGGACGGACAGACAGACAAACCCATTTTAATAGTCCCCTGCTTTCTTCGAAAGGCGGGGGACAAAAAGTACAGTCAAAATGTTAGTCTCGAGATGACTGAAGTATTATGTTGGCAAGAGGTAATGATATTGATATTAACGGGATGTGTAATTGTGAACCAACTGCTCATGAAGCCATATAAATAGTATTATAATGCAACTTCAGAGCAGCTATACGTCCCTAATGCAGAGCCGCTTTAAAACAGTTATTCATATACACGAAGGAAACTAGCAGAGATGGATTAAATTTATTTATCTGACCAATATTTGAATATTATATGTATCATAGAAACGACCACATTGTAAAAAAGGAATATAAAAGCTATTCATGTGTACTGGTACCTTGATTTGAGTCAAACTAAAGTAGATTAATGAATTGGGTGGATGTGATAAAAAATGTTATTTCTATAAGTGCGGGGACAAGTTCTACATTATTAAAATTTTGTTTCAAAAGATAAAATATTCTTACTATCGGTACTTTTAGTTTCAAGTTTGGCTAACATACCCTTCCATGGACAGTGAAACACAAAATCGACTATATATTTTAATACCGGTTTCATCCATATAAACATGAAATTTTCAATGTAGACACACCTTATCCAAGAAAACACAAAATCTAATCTTATCTATGAAAGAATTCAAAGAGATTTTAAAGGACAGTGACCTGACCTTTATCAGACAAATCTTGCTAGTCATAATTAAATAACTCATAAAGCCCATTTCATTTCAATTCATGTGTCTCAAATTTTTAAAACATCTGAATTTGAACACCTATTACATGCATGTAGTGTAACCTTACGTGTATTGTAAAATCATATTAAACTTAAACTTATGATTATTTTCTGATTATTTTTTACCAGCATTATCAAAAGTGTTAATGCAGAAAATATTTTCAATTTTTTGCATTTTTATTTTATACATTAGGCTATTCCATATGTTGACTGCAGATTTCACAACACAGACAGATTACTCTTGCACATCCGCGAATTTCTGTGTAATTTACCGTTGACTAATCCAGGGTGTTTAATGGATTACCGCAATGATAATCAGCCTACATGTATTTATGTCAAGTTGCTTAGCAGTGGGAGGAAAACGAATGTACCAGCAAAAACCCACGAGGTTGGACAGGCGACCCTACTCCTGTCACATACAACTGGGGAATCGAGACCATGCCAGTTGACTCAATGAGAGACCTTACAACGCGCATGCACTAACCATTTGGCCATATCCAACCCCCCAGTTTTGCTTGGTGAATACAAACAAATCTAGATATTCAGTTAAATAACATGCCATATACATGTACATTAAGTTATTAGACGAGTTGCAAGAAAACTATATAGGGCATGGGTTTGTAAGTGAGACACATATCATGCGGTGGCGTTTTCACGAACTTTATTTTTCTATGACACCCATAAAATTCTGTACCCACACACGTCAAATTGCAAAATTTCAATGTGCCCTACGAAGATAATTTAACAACATTTTAATTTATACTCACCATGCACTGAATGCCTGGTTGAACAATCTTCTTCGATACGCCATTTCAATCAGCTGACACAGACTACTTCGTCAACAAAAAAAAACCTAATGGAAACGAATAAAAAACAAACCTGGCTGCTTAGAGTAGCCTATTCAGAAAGCCAGTGGTAACGAGACACACTGATCAGCAGTGAATTTTCGCTACAATCACCGATAAGGATGACATCGATGCGACTTAATGAGCCAGAAATATTAATGCAACTTCAGTGCAGCTATACGTCCCTAATGCAGAGCCGCTTTAAAATAGTTATTCATATACACGTAGGAAACTAGCGAGATGGAATAAATTTATTTTATCTGACCAATATTTGAATATTATATGTATCATAGAAACGACCACATTGTAAAAATAAAATATAAAAGCTATTCATGTGTACTGGTACCTTGATTTGAGTCAAACTAAAGTAGATTAAACATACATTATGCAAGAGCTAAATCTGCCTATTTCAGGTCTTTCTTTAGGCGTGAAATGTTATCTAAATTATTAATTAGACATTAATTAACCTATCCAGGCCTAATCAACTCTAGATGGCAGCGCTAGCCTGCGATCTTTAGTGGATTGTAAGCCGATTTACTGCATAACTTTCCCGAATCTCCCATAATGTATCTTTAATGAATTGGGTGGATGTGATAAAATATGTTATTTTTATAAGTGCGGGGATAAGTTCTACATTATTAAAATTTTGTTTCAAAAGATAAAATATTCTAACTATCGGTACTTTTAGTTTCAAGTTTGGCTAACATACCCTTCCATGGACAGTGAAACACAAAATCGACTATATATTTTAATACCGGTTTCATCCATATAAACATGAAATTTTCAATGTAGACACACCTTATCCAAGAAAACACAAAATCTAATCTTATCTATGAAAGAATTCAAAGAGATTTTAAAGGACAGTGACCTGACCTTTATCAGACAAATTTTGCTAGTCATAATTAAATAACTCATAAAGCCCATTTCATTTCAATTCATGTGTCTCAAATTTTTAAAACATCTGAATTTGAACACCTATTACATGCATGTAGTGTAACCTTACGTGTATTGTAAAATCATATTAAACTTAAACTTATGATTATTTTCTGATTATTTTTTACCAGCATTATCAAAAGTATTAAAGTAGCTAAGTCTCTCACTCAATATCATCCAAAATCTTCGACATTGAAAACACGATTTATTTGTCGCTTTAAATCAACATTGATGTTGTGATCTTACCGGGAAAAGATAACCTTCTGATATCCAATATTTAAGACAAAATAAACATTTTACAATTGGTACACGAATCGTGTACCCTAATGCGTTTCAGCTTTATTTGTAATTAAGGGACTCGAAAAACGAGGCTAGGCATATTCCACAAGTGGTGTCAATTGGTGACGCTATATATATAGAGATTGAAATTTGATTGAGAATACTGGCATATTTCGCCGAACCTAACTGATTAGAAATTACAGTAAAAACAAACGATTGAATGTAAATCAATTTATATACATTCATATTACATTATTGTATGCGTTTGACCCATTTGTGTCAATTTCTAGGTCCCAAATATTAGCGACTTAGCTCCTTAAATGCAGAAAATACTTTAAATTTTTTGCATTTTTATTTTATAGATTAGGCTATTCCATATGTTGACTGCAGATTTCACAACAGGGACAGATTACTCTTGCACATCCGCGAATCTCTGTGTAATTTACCATTGAATAATCCAGGGTGTTTAATGGATTACCGCAATGATAATCAGCCTACATGTATTTATGTCAAGTTGCTTAGCAGTGGGAGGAAAACGAATGTACCAGCAAAAACCCACGAGGTTGGACAGGCGTCCCTACTCCTGTCACATACAACTGGGGAATCTAGACCATGCCAGTTGACTCAATGAGAGACCTAGTCCTTACAACGCGCATGCACTAACCATTTGGCCATATCCAACCCCCGAGTTTTGCTTGGTGAATACAAACAAATCTAGATGTTCAATTAAATAACATGTCATATACATGTACATTAAAGGAGCTAAGTCTCTAACTCAATATCATCCAAAATCTTCAACATTGAAAACACGATTTATTTGTCAAATTAAATCAACATTCATGTTGTGATCTTACCGAAAAAAGATGGGCTTTTGATATCCAATATTTAAGACAAAATAAACATTTTACCATTGGTACACGAATCGTGTACCATAATGCGCTTCAGCCCCAGTTGTATCAAGAGACTCAAGGGACGAGGCTAGACACATTGCACCAAATCAAACGGCGTATGTAGACTGGAGTAACCAGACACTAGAAATTTGCACTCGCTTGAGACTGCTGGCTTATTTCACCGAACATAACTGATTTGAAATTGGAGTAAAAACGGAAACCATTGAATGTAAATCAGTTTATTAATATACATTCATATTACAGTATTATATGCGTTGCGACCCACTTTTGTCAATTTCTAGGTCCCAAATGTTAGCGATTTAGCTCCTTTTAGACGAGTTGCAAAAAAAATATATAGGGCATGGGTTTGTAAGTGAGACACATATCATGTGGTGGCGTTTTCATGAACTTTATTTTTCTATGACAGCCATAAAATTCTGTACCCACACACGTCAAATTGCAAAATTTCAATGTGCCCTACGAAGATAATTTAACAACATTTTAATTTATACTCACCATGCACTGAATGCCTGGTTGAACAATCTTCTTCGATACGCCATTTCAATCAGCTGACACAGACTGCTTCGTCAAAAAAAAAACCTAATGGAAACGAAGAAACAAACCTGGCCATGCTTAGAGTAGCCTATTCAGAAAGCCAACGGTGACGAGACACACTGATCAGCAGTGATTTTTCGCTAGGCCTCTACAATCACTGATAAGGATGACATCGATGCGACTTAATGAGCCAGAAATATTAACTTTTTTCCTGCGACAAATTAAATTATAAAACATTTTTTTTATGTATTTGAAAAATAAATAAAGGCGTTTGACGTATTTGTAGGTAAAAATCATTTCCTATTTAGTGTAAATGGGTATTAAAATGACTAAAAAAAGGCAGCATTCCGCCCGAATCAGTAATGTCTTATGTAAACATTGCACGCGCCCTTCAGCCAATGATTTACACCGCGTGCTGTGACGGCACGTGTTAAGGCAGTCATCTTTGACAGAGATATTACTAGACTCGTAATTCTTTGTGAAACAGATTGGTGGCGAGATCGTATGCGCATGACACGTATATCCAGCGATAATGCAATAACAGCACACTGATCCGCAGTGAATATTTGCATGGCCGCGACAATCACTGATAAGGATGACATTGATGCGGCTTAATGAGCTAGAAATATTAATTTTTTTCCTGCGACAAATTAAATTCTAAAACATTTTTTGTATATATTGGAAAAATAAATAAAGGCGTTTGACGTATTTGTAGTTAAAAATTATTTCCGATTTAGTGTAAATGGGTATTAAAATGACTAAAATGCAGCATTCTCTCCGAAGCAGTTATGTCTTATGTAAACAATGCACGCGCCATTCAGCCAATGATTCACACCGCGTGCTGTGACAGCACGTGTTAAGGCAGTCATCTATGACAGAGATATTATACGAGACTCTTAATTCTCTGTAAAACAGATTGCAATAACAAAACTGGACAATCTGATAAAAAAAACACTCGGCAAACCGGAATCTGCCGAGGTTTGCCGAGTGATAAAAAAAATCAAAAGGTTTATTTTGTGTGGGTCAAAATATGTTCGCACCGCCCAGTACAGTTGGCCTACATTATCTATTACTTAGGCCTAACTGTTTATTGTTAAAGTTCACAGCCTTATCTAGAGTTTCTAAATCTAAGTGAAGATGTAGCTGTATGTCAAGGATTAAGAGAATACCTTGACAGGGTTATTATTTAGTTCAAAGGTGATAATATTATACCTTGTGTTATCATTTTATTACGGAAATTGGAAGCTGAATATTATATTCTCAGAATCCTCCCCAATTAATTACTTTTTAATTAGATTAGGTCCATCCGGTCTAACTTAATCAATTTAAAGGCGTATACCGAGTCGGCCGGCGCCCCTCAATTTAAAATTCATTATTAAATTGTGACGTAATAATAAATGAAGTAAAAGGAGTCATACCTACAGTACTTTGCATTGTTCAGCTCTGAACGTAGGTCTCACTGTAGCCTACAGTTTGCAATACAAATTTGTGTTATCATTTTATTAATAATAATATCATATATGATGAAAGCTGAAAATTCTCACAATCCTCCCCAATTAATTACTTTTTAATTACATCCAGCTGGTCTAATAACTAATCAATTTAAGGGTATTTTTTACCGAGTCGGGCCCCTCAATTTAAAATTTGAAATTCATTATTAAATTGTGAGGTAAAAAAAAGAAAATATAAATAAAGTAAAACTAAAAGTAGTAATCCGATCAACAGAACTTTGCAATACAAATAACATAACCCCGCTAGAGTGCAATATTGTAGCCGAGTCTTGTCTTGTCCCCAGCTACAGTACAAGTACAATTGATGCACTCTTCGAGGCTTTGCACAGATAAAGCTAGCTTCTGATGCAAAACGAAATATAAAATAGTCACCGCTTGGATTAATTATTTGAGGTAAATAATGACTTGGAGAAGGCTTTATATTGGCAATTATCAATCAACTAATCATTAAACATACATTATGCAAGAGCAAAATCTGATTATTGCAAGTCTTAATTTAGGCTTCAGATGTTATAGAAATTATAAATTAGATCTTTATTTAAACAACAAGCCCAAAATCAACTCTGTAGACCCACAGATGGCTCGGCTACAGCTCGGATTTAAATAGGATTTCACTTATCAATTAATTCAAATATGGCGCATCCTGATGAGAATACGTCAGTTAGATCGAGGCTAAATGATAGAGTATACTTAGGGAGGCCGCTGTAGAGTGTTTCCACATGCCACTGAAAACTTTACTTGATAATCGAGATATGTAGGTGGAGTTAACGCCTGTCAATCAAACGATCAGCCACGGTGAAGGCACATTTCACTACCATTTCTATTCAAATATTACAACGATGATAACTATGTTCAGAATAAAGTAATTTGACTGAAATTTTCAAAATATTCTTCTTTCATCATCTACTTTTGAACTGTTATAGCAAGAATGACCAATTCTCTGTAAAAATCTCCCATAATGTATCTTTAATCCATGACAGTTATTACTCAATGATACGATCTCGATTTTCCGCTTGTTGATTAATTTATAGAATTTCGCCACATGGTTTTGGTTGACACTCAATGGCAATCTATATATCGTACGATTAGAATTTTAAGATTTTTCCCGCCACTTCTCAGGAAGAATCAGAAGTACTGTATCCCGAACATTAATCCCAATCAAATTTTTATCGCCACTTTCATTTTTTTTATCGCAAATTGCGACCTGACAGTGTGAGGCTGTGAGCTTTGAATGCAGCCATGATACCACAATGCACTGCACGGGGTGTCTGAGCTGAGTATATATTTACGTATTATATGGATTTTAAAACTCATTTGTATTCATTGAAAATTGGATTATCGGTAATACTTTGGCCATATTTATAACACAGCTTCACAATGATGCCAAGTAATACGTAAGGAGATTGACCGGTCGTCTCGCTGTGTGCGTTAAAAAAAATAACTAATTTTGCTGAGAATTTTAAGAAAATAGAAAGATTTTAGGTTATGGTACTCTTACAAAGCATCCAAATACAGGAGTTTTTTAAGATTTTTTATTGCTATTTTGATGTTTTGGGTCGAAAGATAGTATACTTATAAAATCATTTTTGTGAAAATCTAAATTTCGATCAAAATCAATATTTTCATTTGTTTTGTCTGTAGCTCATTATTAGATTTTGTGCATTCCGACCCATTTTGCCAGCACAGGTCACATTTATTATAAGATCATACCTGTCATTTAATATTTAAACTCGATCAAAAAAGTTTTTTTTATTAATCAATACCTTTAATGTCAATAGTTAAAATCTAGTTTAATATGTAGTTGCACAAATCAAGAATATTTAATTTGTTCATAGTTTGTTTTGTTGGAAAACCAATTTTTGCATCTCCATCATTCTATTGAACTTCTTGTAAAAATTCAAACTTGAAAAATTTGTAGAGAAATACAACTATCACTGGTAAGTTGATACCATTGAATTATGAACCTGGGCCCTTTAGTAATGGTGATTTTTGTCATTAATTATTGGTTAGAAATTATACAGAAGTCATTAATTAGCAGATGTTTATTATAACTAGCTGTAAAACATGCAACTACTACTATTAGTGTAAAAGTGTGACAAATTATTAAACCCATCACTCTTGGCATATCTTTCAATAGTCATGGTATTAACCCCTTAGTGATATAACACCTAATAATGACTGCCTGATTTTAACTAACTAATAAACATTATGTAGGCCCTACATGTATAATGACAACTTTCATCTGGTTGTGGCAAATATTTTAATTTATAAAATTATTTATTGCTAAGTCAACGATATCAACTTTACACTGTATGATATAAGCTTATGTACAGTATTTGCATTTGGTATACTGAGTATTTTATGCAACAAGATGACATTTGGATTTAAATGTTACACAACAGTCAAGACTAATTTGAAAGGAACACATGACCAATACTAGCTCACTAAAAAGGAGGTCTAGTGGTCACTCCCAGTGTTGGTTTAGAATGTTCCTCAGAATTTTCCTACATCTTTTTCCCTTGTCAGTCATGCTGACATAGCCTATAGGTGCCTAGAAAGGCTAGTGTGTAGTAATTTGTATGGGAGAAAAATTGAGATTCTTTAAACACATTAAGAGCGTGTCCGCGAGAAAACCATGCAGAAGGTGCTAAGGCTTCAATCACAGATTTTGACCAAATTTGGTTTATAAGTTGGGATAGTCCCAAAACACATAAATGTGCAATATTAGATAAATCTTTCAATTCCTGTATGAGAAAATTGAAAAAACATTTTTCATATGGTGAAATTGCCAAAATCTGTCTTTTCTCAAATACCAACTTTGGCAAGTCCTTACACCTTTACTATACGTAGCAGAAATACCAAACTCACACAGTTTATCGATGACTCAGTGCTGTTACCACAATATTAACTTGAGACGATTCTGGCGAACGAGATCTGTATACGGACTGGATATCAAAGCCTGTCTAAATTCCCCATTTTTCGTCACCCAAAGTTTGACGCCCTATAGCTACTTCTTTCATGGGGTGGGTTTAAAAAATTTATGCTCACGTGAACAAGCAACCTCCCAACATTTGATACAAAAAATAAAAATGACCGGAATCGACTTGACAAAAACTAGGTAAAGGAATCAATAACCCATGAAATTAACCTGTAATTTCCCTATTTTGGAGATAATTAACCGTAGTAGATAAAAAAAAACCTAACAATTTATTTTCCTTTTCATTCATATGGTGTTTACTACCAGCCCTAAAATACATTAGTATCTGTTTTATAAAAATATCTTGAAAAAAAATACTTTCAAAGGCCTGTAATCGTTCATGGCTCATCTGGCGTCAACAGGAATTGACTTCTGCAGTTGTCCACGACCTTCCATTGGAGTTTCGACGTGCTCAATCTTAACAAACATATCCATTACTCTCAAATAGACATTATTTTAAATAAAATGAAAAATTCACCTAAAAGTGAGATTCGAACCACCAACCGCATGACTTCCCCCGACCCACCCTCTCACCGAGTTGCTTGTCCCAGGGCCCCAAGTTCCATGTCGTGGGCCCTGTTCAGGGGGTTTGCCTAGGGCCTCTCTTATTCTAAATCCGGCCCTGAAGATGCAGCTGACGGTGCCCGAGAGCTGTAGCTACCATACTACACTGTTCAATGTCACCCACTTCGACGCAATTAGGCTTTGTTGCCGTTAATATTTAAGCTTCCACATTTCTGTATTGAAGAAATCAGTGGATGTGTCCCAAAATGAATAGTGGAAACATGCTCTGAAATTAGACATTTTGTAGCCATTTTCGGTAACTTGTTTGAAAATGAAATCTTAAAGAGACAATACAACAAATATGTTAAAGGGACAATATGACAATACCAAATATACAATAAATACAAATACACACTTATATAGAGTACAACATGGTACAAATAATGGCTATGGATATGATGAAAACGTATAAAAGTCAAAAATTTTATTTCTCTAATTAAATTTGCAAAAAAATGTATCACAAAAGCTTATTTTTAGCACTTTTCAATAAGCTGTATATTTTAAGTATGTTGCATTCCGGTCTTTTTTTTTACACCTATGGATACTATGTGCTTAGCACTTTAAAACCATCCAAAGAAATTCTACTTGCGACCATGAAAGAAAAAGTTACAGTGTATCTTTTTCTGCACTATAAGGACAATGTGAATATGGTACCCTAAAACAAGTCCACACAAAATTAGTATGTACTGATTTTTTTTTTCAAATTAGTGCTGGGGTAGAAGTTGACCACCCGCTTTATCAGACAGGGTCAAAATTAGAAGGTTGCTATTCCACCATAAAATGCAGTCTGTGCTTAAAAAAGGTAATAAATACACATGTGAAAACCGCAATTTTACCCATAAAATGAATAATTCCTGTACAGTCCTTTAGAGCGACAGCAGACTGTAACCACTTCAGCATGTTACCTCTTGCCACTAGGGGGTGTCATACCATAAGTTTGATCAAAAACTTCCGACCCCCCATCTTAGCACTTTTTGTGATTTTTGCATGGTCTTCTCGCGGATACACTCTTAACGTCCCTGTAAATTAAAAGAACCTTTGACAGTGGCAATGAAAAATAAGAGTTGACTGTAGCGCCACTGCCCCGTATTCCTGAAGCAATGGCCCAAGAAAATGCTCTCTGACCATTGCTGGATTGACTTCAGATACTTGAACTTTTGAGGGAGTGTGTCTATTCTTCCCGTTCAATCAAATCTATCTCAAGTACAGCAACATGACAGCCCTTTGTTTAATCTGGGGTCTTCCCTGAAACTTTGGACAGTGATTTAAGGTATTTTAATGCCAAACAGTGAAAGGATTGTTTGTCTCCAAACTGTACTGTTTCCAATGTGTCGGTATTGATAGCCTTGTTTGTCATGCAATTAGTTTTTCTGCAATATTCTGCTATGCACTGGTTAATTGGGCTTAATAAAATACAAGTAAGTCAAGACGTAAGGTTATGTAAACATATTTGGTCTAATTTGGAGCTCTTTTTAAAGTCTAATGATATTGCTATGCAGTTAGCTATTGGTTTTTAATCGGACTATTGACCAGTCATAATTTGGAACAGAAATTTGCTTCCATTATAGCAATATTAAATGTGATTAGGTCTAATCAAACGAAACACTGCGAGGGGTATGCACTGCCCGGGCAAAATTTTGCTTATGACTATGGTATAAGCCTGCCTTCATTATTAAAAATCCTGGTTGAGCCAGAAATAGAGGATGTTGAACCCCATTTCAGTTCATTCCATTGATCTACCAAAACTGTAGTGAGACCTGTACTAATATAAAGATAAAAGGATATTGACACCAATAAATAAATCATTTAATTATTGTGTTACCATTATAATTATTGTTAAGCACAAACACGTGCCTAGTGTATAGTGTGTCAACACAAACATTACCTGATATATATACATTGTACATGTATGACTGTCATGATTAAAGGAGTGATCTTAGATATATTTCACTGAATAAAACTCGTTTTATTAGTGTGAAGGACTCTTAAGAATTGTTTATCATTGTTCTGTGCAACTGTTTGAAGCACTGTGATACTTCAAAAAAGTACAAACTTTTAGTTGTCTGGGCTTGTAAGTAAGTCTCAAAAGTGTGTACTTTATAATAGCCTAGATAACTGTGTATATAATCATGATGTTGTAGTGGTGAGTAATTATCTCAATTATCAAGTTATCCACACAACTGAAATATAAATTCCTCAAATGTGATTAATGAGTTATGTAACCCTCTTAAACAGGAAATTTAATGACCATTTCCGATTTACACTGTGTTTTGGTTTAAAGTTGTTGGTTATTTCTTCACATTTTCACACTTTTTATATGCCCACATTTTTATGCGAACGTATATTGTCGTCGCCCTTGTCCGTCCGTCTGTCGGTCCGTCCACAAGTTGTTTGTGGACACTTACAAAGGTGACAATTTTTATCCGATTTTGACCATAGAAATATGTACAGTTTAATTTCTATTTTGACGAAGCTTGAAATATAGGTTGATATCCCAAAGATCTCGGTTCCGGTCGATATTGGCATGTATCGGACCATAACTTCATGGATTATGGCCCCTGATTGTACGAAAAATCATGTTTTTAGCTTGTGGGCACTCTAAAGGTCACAATTTTAACCCGATTTTAATGAAACTTGAAATGCATGTTTACAACGCAAAGATCTTGGTTCCGTTCGATATTCGCGCATATCAGATTGTAACTTCCAGAAGTATGGCCCCTCCTTGTACGAAAATCACGTTTTTAGCTTGTGGTCCCTCTAGAGGTCACAATTATTTTTTTCCGATTTAAAAAAACATTTGAATATCCGTTACACCATAATGCTGGTTGAATTCAAATAAATAGTGTAAACATCTGGTATATCAAGCTAGATTATGGCCCTTCATTGTTCGAAAATTCGCATTTTTAGCTTGCGGATTCTCTAGAGGTCACAATATTTTTTCCGATTAAATATATCATCATTCCACCATTATGAAGGTTGAATTTGAATTTCGGGAAAATTGAAATGAAACTGCCCAACAAAATGGCATCTCTTTGTACACAAATTGTGTAAAAGTATGTAATACGAAGGTTGTGGACCCTCTAGAGGTCAAAATTTTTATCTGACTTTGATGAAACTTAAAACATATCTTTATATCCTAACGATCTCAATCTCTTTTGATATTTGCGCATTTCAGACCAGAACTTTCTGGATTATTGCCCTTGATTGTACAAAAAAATCGCGATTGTTTTTAGCTTGTTCTCTATTCATCTCTTGCAAAATCTGGGCGTATCCTGCCTGGCAGCCGCTGGTTTTTTATAGATTCCCTGCTGGCACCTGAATTCACCTTTCCTAAGCTGTACCATATCTAAGACCTTTTTAATCCCATACAATGATACTTATCATCTTTTTGGTTGCTGCACATAGTGAATATTTTGGTTCTTGAAAATCAGAACTACATGTATGTGTTTCTTGCTTCCCCTTGTCATTAAGATCTGACATATTGAAAATCAAGGTAGTCCACCAGATTTATTAATTAGGGAATTAACATGAAGGATTAGAAGACATTGGTTCTCTTCTTTTATTCGGTCGCTTTGAGATAATGGTAGAGGACTAACTAACAACATTGTAGGCTACTACGTACTGCATTAGCTTGATAATGTTGAGAGAATACTCTTTGAAATGTTACCTAAATAATTAGGTATTTCAGTACAGAATGTACATATTGTGTGGGAGAGAGATTAAACATGTAGAATGTAGACTAAATGTATGCCTTTGAACAATGCCTGATCCACGTTTGGAGCTTCCTTCTGAATATAAATACCATGTTACATTGTAGTTGCAATGACATTAAACATTGAATTTCTCTTTACAGGAAGATGATCCAACTTAATGGCACACAAAATACCTCGTATTAAAATCCGTCAACCAAATGTTGATGACAAGGAACAACTTGTTAAAAACTCAGATTATGAATTTGAGGATGATGATGACTTGTACCAATCACGAGTAGAAGGCCTACCTCGTTGCCAGGAAATGATTCACATTACTAATATGGAGGATCAAGCACACCAAAGTGATGCTTTGGATAACCATATGGGCCAAAATGATCAGATTATAAACCAACTCTCTGGTCCTGGTCATGGACATCCTTTGTTACATCCTATGGCAAGATCAAGACCTACGACATCAGAAAAAACCAACACTAGACGGCGGGGTCACATGAATAATCTGCCAGAACGAGATGCCTTGTAAGTATTAAAGGGGCATTATGGGAGATTAGATAAAGAGTTGAAATTCTTGCTATAATAATTAGAAATAGATAACGTATATAGAATATGCTGTTCATCATTACTAAAAAAGTCGATACAATAAAAACCAATGTCCAGATTATCGATTTTTGTGTTTAATTATCCTTCACAAAATGTATTCTAATCCGCTAAATGTCGCAGGCTAGCGATGGCATCGAGAGTTGATTATGGTTTGGATAAGTTAATTAATGTCTAATTCAGGCCTAAAGAAAGACCTGCAATAGGCAGAATTAGCTGTTTTCCATAATGTGTGTTGTACAGTACTTACCAATCACACTGCGTTGTATGACACAAAGCTGCACAGATTCAGTTCATGATGAGCATTTAATCGCTTACCTAAAGCATTAGAAAGTCTTTCACAATTCCTATAAATGGACAAAATACAATCACATAGGACATTTCAATGATTGTCACAAGGCAGTATTAATTCTATATTGCATTAGAAGGCTCTAAGTTATATAGGTTCTTTCGACCATAAAACTGTAGCATAACAGAATTTTATATAGTGCGTTTTTCAGGAGATATATTTTGACTTCATTGGGATAAAAAAAAAATCTAAAAATTAAATTCTATTAGTTTTAATGGACATTGAATAACTAATATTAAGTAATCTGTTAAAATGTTAAGCACTATATAAGAACTTGTCCATAATTATTAATATGTGTATTGGAGTTAATTTGTAATAAACAACAACTACATGTATAGGAAGAGAGGAGACCGTGCTTCATCATACTGTTTAATTAAATGCTTTTGCTGTCTGTGTCTACTCTCTGTACTATCTGCTTGTATTCTCTGACTTTGTAACTGCACATTCTGTGATGCAAAATGCATTAATCATGGTTTCAAATATTTTCCATAAAGTAGTGACTCAGAAACTATTTTATGGAAAACTCAAAATTTAAAATTCATTAGAAATTCAGTGTATACTGATTTTTAGCAAAATTGTCCCTTTAATACTTTTAACAAATATTAACAGTAAATTTGATTTTTTTATAGTCATTCCCTTGTATTAATTATTACTCAAGAGTTATTTCAAACTAAAACTAGGAAGTCATTATGATTGACTTCAAAAATATTAATTATGATTCGATTTACTGTCGATGGAAATTGATGAGCCTCAGGAGGCATTGGGAATAGGTTCCCCAGTGTCTCAGGGAAGCTTCGGGAGCGTCACAAGCCATGTGGAACAATTGGGAGGCCTCAGGAGAACTGTGAAAAATTTCAGTGTTCAAGAAGGCTCTAAGTTATATAGGTTCTTTCGACCATAAAACTGTAGCATAACAGAATTTTATATAGTGCGTTTTTCAGGAGATATATTTTGACTTCATTGGGATAAAAAAAAAATCTAAAAATTAAATTCTATTAGTTTTAATGGACATTGAATAACTAATATTAAGTAATCTGTTAAAATGTTAAGCACTATATAAGAACTTGTCCATAATTATTAATATGTGTATTGGAGTTAATTTGTAATAAACAACAACTACATGTATAGGAAGAGAGGAGACCGTGCTTCATCATACTGTTTAATTAAATGCTTTTGCTGTCTGTGTCTACTCTCTGTACTATCTGCTTGTATTCTCTGACTTTGTAACTGCACATTCTGTGATGCAAAATGCATTAATCATGGTTTCAAATATTTTCCATAAAGTAGTGACTCAGAAACTATTTTATGGAAAACTCAAAATTTAAAATTCATTAGAAATTCAGTGTATACTGATTTTTAGCAAAATTGTCCCTTTAATACTTTTAACAAATATTAACAGTAAATTTGATTTTTTTATAGTCATTCCCTTGTATTAATTATTACTCAAGAGTTATTTCAAACTAAAACTAGGAAGTCATTATGATTGACTTCAAAAATATTAATTATGATTCGATTTACTGTCGATGGAAATTGATGAGCCTCAGGAGGCATTGGGAATAGGTTCCCCAGTGTCTCAGGGAAGCTTCGGGAGCGTCACAAGCCATGTGGAACAATTGGGAGGCCTCAGGAGAACTGTGAAAAATTTCAGTGTTCAAGAAGTTTTGTCGGGAAAACAGACCGGGGGAGTACCCCCCCCCCCCCCCCCCCCCCCCCCCCCCCCGAAGCTTTCTAGATTCACAAACATCCCCGGTTTGTTTTCCCCGTTCTGAGGGGAACACATCGGGAAAAGTTTCAATGCAACATTGAAATTTTTCGCAGTTGTCCCAAGGCCTTCCGATGCTCGAAGCTTCACCGAGACACCTAGCAACCTTTCTCCGAAGTATCCTGAGGCTTATCATTTTCCATAGGTAGTACATCGCCACGGTAATAAATGTCCAGTGGGACCGAGGCATAAGTGTCGTCGATATGCCACCACGCAAGGGACTGAGATCTGCACACAAATACACCCTGCCCACAATAACCCTTTCCGGAGGGAAACCTATGATGGTTTGCATGTACTCACTGATGCATCCCCTAATGATGATCATTATCAGCGAAGGTACACCAAAGCTTTCCCGAGCATTGGGAACCACCCTCGATGATTCACAGCAACCGGTTAGGGTCATTCCCAGAAGATTTATGAACGTTTACCGGACCATCCACGATGCCACATTGCAAGTCATTTCTAATCTGTTTTTTGCGGGGCAAAAATATTGGGAGCCATCCGTAGAAAATTTGTTTATTTCCACATCGCCGATGATTTTTACCCAGTTGGTACCTAGGTATTAAACACAAACATTGGTACATGTCATTTCGTTTTAACTTTATATATATTTACAATTTTTAACTTCAAACTGAGGACCCCATGTTCCTTCAAGCCTTGCGGTCGAAAAATCATGATGGTTCTTGGCTTATGTTGTGATTTTAACCTGGATCATTCTAATTGAGAGCCCTTTTTGGTTATTTTTTTATGTAAATTTATGTTAGCTTGTCCACATTCTCAATCTGTTATCTGTCTCAGCTTCACATTCTATATTATTGTCACATCAGTAAGGTACATGTAAGATTTAAATAGTTTAGATAAAAGAGAGATGATTAAAGTTTGTTTACATCAGATTGTTTGTTATCTAATCTATATTTTGATCTGTTGGAGGGTTAGTCAGTCCTTGAGCTGCTTTAATTAATACTGTAGTCAGTCATCTCTGTAGGATTACAAAGACCTTAACAAGATTTAGTACTTTTCATTTATAATCTGTAGTGAAGTTTGATTCAAGGATCAGCTCTTTGATTTGTGAAATTTAATTTAAAGTAGTTATTTATCAATTTTATATGTTAACTTGAAGATAAAAGGTTATTTTTCTAATTTTGAATTTCTAGGAAGCTAGCAATTGGTCAGAAGTTTAGGAGTGGTTTTCACTTTAATTAGGATACATGTAGCTAAAAAACATATACAATTTACAGTAACAGCGGAATGGATTGACACAGTGTGAATAGGGATAAATTAACACGATGGTGAATTTGATGTTTTTTTCTCACACAACTTCATACAGTAATGCTTATTTGTTTTATATTTTCAGGTGTCGTATTTTAGGGAACGACATTTCCTCTGATCGCTTCATGTCTTCCCAGGGATCTCCATACATGAACAATCTACTAAATATTGTATCTTCGACCGAGGATGGCATGCACCAGAAAAATATCATGTTATCAAAACGGATCCCAACCTGGGTGTGGTATGTACTTGCAAAATCTCTTGGAATTAAATTATCACCTACAGACAAACCTATAGCGGCAACAGTGCTTCATATTCTGACGATGTTTATTGCACTGGCATTTGCGGTCACTGGACTCTGGTTTATTGTAAGTGATATTTTAAGTGAGTATTCAAAGACTACTGTTTTGATTGGCACTGTGGCCGTTGTGTTGGGATTTTCATGGATTTGTATGGGAATTTATTCACACAAACTTGCTGGACGACTTTTCAGTAATAAAAACTTTGTGGAGTCGGTTCGAATGCATGCAAAAACCTTTCTAAAGATCAGTACCGTGGGTCTGGTCGTCATTGTTTGTTTGATCATCATCGGTATCCAGGCGTATGAAAATTTTGTCGTTTACACTGGAGAAGGATCAGCATGTAAATTGGCTGAGATATATCCAGTCGTGTGTGATGTAATGTATGGAACAATGATAGCGTATTTAGTTATCGGAATGATCTGGAATATTGTTGTGGGATGTGTTCTCCTATCTGTTTGCCGAACACATACAATTAGTAAGTATTTCAATTTATATAGTATGGTCCACCAGTCTATGGAAATTCTCAATCTGATTAAAACACAGATCCAATTGCGTTTCGTTTTTATAGTTCAAAATTTCAATTTTACTTGTCTTTACTAAACTTGGATCTGGAAGCGTTATTTAACTCTTGTTCTGCTTGAAATGAGGGGCCAGCCAATCAAATGGTCTGTCGAATCGAGCGTTTGACCTTTTTTGCGCGGAACTGTGGGTAGACATTAGCGGCAATAGAAATCAAAACAAAGCAAAAGTAGATAAAAAAATACATGGCGGTCGCTAATTGGTTAATCGATTGACTGACATAATCGGGTCAAATGTCGCTTGCTTGGTACGTCATAGAACGTGAACTCCCACTATAACTTGTTAGATCTACATGTAGTGTAGGCCATCGAAAGTATAAAAAACGAAACGAAATATAGATCTATATTTTAATTAGATTGGGAAATTCTAGTCATAAAGTATTAAATTAATCATTAATCCTAATCATGGGTTTCTGTGGTAATAAAATTAAATCAGGTTTACCATCCTACTTTTCTGCACCGGGCAGGTAAATGTTATGTGGTGTGTCATGAGGGAAATTTTGCTAGGATGCATCTGTTGGTATATGTTTCATAATTAATCTTGTTTGACAATTATTTGTCCGTCAGCTGTAATATTAATCTATAACACACACTAATACCAAGAAACAGAAATAAAAATAGAAAGTTTGTAAATTCAAGGATATGTTTCTTTGTAGCTACATGTAACTATTTCTGTAGTATTTTCATCGTTTAGGTATCAGAAGATTTATGAGAGAGTTGGCCCTGGACTCGAAGATCTTTGAAATGAATCTGAGAAACGAGATCTTAGGACAAAAGATAGAATTAGATGCTCTACTCGATAAAAGTAGTCATTATGATGGTAAGTACAAATGTAGACGGTCATCTTCCTATTTTTTTAGGATGTCTGATAATATGGCAACCAACTTTGTTGCAATTTGGATGTGTGAACCCAATCCACATTAAACACTTTAACCCTATGAACATGAGCAGCTGTATTTCCGACCCTGATGTTGCTGAAATATCATAAATATATGGCTTCTTTATTTTATAACTAATTATAAGTTTATAACTGCTTTCAACTGATGTAGTCTCTTGTAAGATGAATATAAAAATAAACTTTCAATGGTAGGTTTTTCTGTTTGCAATAAGATAAACAGTTATTATGCTTTGATGATGAATCCAGGCAATAGCTTGGTCCAAGGTCACACAACGTTCAGGGACTCGATGTTCAAAGAGGTTGAGTCGAGGGAGTTCAGTTTATCCTTGTATTTGTAAGATGATACAGGCACATGTAGATAGACAATGGTAAGAATATCTCACACTTTATTCAATAAGAGTTATGTTTCTTTTGTTTCAATAATAGTTGTGTTTATTTTGTTTCAGTAAGAAGAGTTGTGTTAATTTTGTTTCAGTAAGAGTTGTGTTTATTTTGTTTCAGTGAGAGTTGTGTTTATTTTGTTTCAGTGAGAGTTGTGTTTCAGTAAGAGTTGTGTTTATTTGTTTCAGTAAGAGTTGTGTTTATTTGTTTCAGTAAGAGTTGTGTTTATTTTGTTTCAGTGAGAGTTGTGTTTATTTTGTTTCAGTAAGAGTTGTGTTTATTTTGTTTCAGTAAGAGTTGTGTTTATTTTGTTTCAGATCTATCTGATTGGTTCGTATGGGATGACCGTATTAACACAGACCCACAGAGTGATGATGTCACATCACAGAAGATCTTTATCCAGTCTATAGTTGGACAGGAAATGGAACAGAATAAGGATGCCTACATTCCAAAACGACAAAATTCCAATACATCCTCATCAAGAGACTACAATGGTCCTGATTTGCCAGACATAGAAGAACAGCAAGAAGAGGTACATGTACGTGTAATATCATAGCAGTGGGCGGTGTCCTTAAATTCCCCTACCAGGCAGGTGCAAGGGTCTTTATTATATTGCCTACAAGAAACCTACAAAGTCAAGTGGAGATCCTGCTCTTTGTTATGTTCAAGCCTGGGATTAAAACCCATGACTTGTATGTATACAGATCACAGACCTTATAATCTACAGAGTGTGTGTTAGATCAGTTGGATGCATCTCTCTCAATAAACCCACCCCATTCTCCTCCTGACATGAAAATGAGTCTGTTATGAGATGGAAAAAAGTTTCATCAAGATGTAAATAATTTTCCAGAGAAATCATGTTAGTTTTGTGTTTAGCTGGGTTATTATATCTGAAATCGAGGCAGGGGAGGGGAACATCATGGTTGTTGAGTATTATTGGCACCACTTGTCAGGAGTATCGCTTGTGGGACTGGCAAGTACATGTACATTCTTGCCTAGTTGTTGAATCGGATAAAAAAAACTGGATTGCACATAAACTAACCCTTGAAATCCTATAAATAATGTACATAAACGTTGCTATCCAGGCAATATTCTTCATAGCATTGCACTCATGACCATATTGTGTTAAAGTCCTTTCTATTCCTATTATTTTTACATAGAACACATGATATCACTCTACATATTTGTTCAATTTCTGTTTTGCAGATTAGCGAAGAAAATTATACCCAGACAACTGAAGGTGAAGAAGACGGAGATGCTGAAAGGGACAGAACTCCCACACAGATAATGTCGAATGAAGGGTTGTTATTTTCCTACTGGAAATTAAGTGTAAGTTTATTAATTCATGCTAAATACTTGACGTACAGTTTATAGGGCTAGGGCCTAGGGGTTTAAAAATGGGCTGAGTAAAAAATTTTATGCCTAGAACTATTTGCCAGAGAGATCTCAGACAAACCAACACTTAACAGATATTAAATAATATTAAGAATTTCTGAAAAGTAGCTTTAGGCTAATGAACGTAAAATGGTGTGCACGTAAATGATCCACTGTATCCATCTGTTACAGCAAAGGTTACGAGTGACATCACGTTATCTTCAAAGATGGCTGTCTAGTTTGATATCTTTTATCCTTATATGGTGTGCTGATTACATCATGTATTGGACTACCCATAGTGCAACTTTAACAGGAATACTACAGTTTATTCTGCCATTGCTCATCCTGTTGATAATCTGTTCAGCGTATGCGGAGGTCAACTCAGAAGGTCAACGAATGCTAAGGGTGAGTTAATTGATGCGGCCATATTCTGATAATAACTGCCAGAGCTGGATAATCTTGCGATAATTCTAAAGCCTAATGTTATCCAAATGACCTGCAATTGATACACATTTTTGTAAGTTCATGAATCCTATTGATTTTCATTGATTTCCAATAATTACCTTCAGAGTTATGGCCTTTGATCAATTTGAAAAATCTTGTAGACGCTCTACAGTTTGAAATTGTCATCCAATTGACTTGAAATTAATGCAAAATGACATATTTCTACAGATTTTACCAAATATTTCTTTAAAAAATGTATAAGTTTAAGTAGCATGTAGTTATCCGCACATATCAGGCTAAACATCTAGGGCAGAAATTAAAAAAAAATATTATAAAAGCCAACTTTTATTAGTTTAGAAACACAACAACTAGATGAAAAGATGTGCGAGAATATTAGGATTCTGAGGAAGCGAAAAAAGTTTATTTTATCAAATGTACCAGATAAGACATTGATTTTCAAACATTTCAGAAAATTGTTTTGGGAGTTATGACTCTTGATTAATTTGAAATATATTATGTATGCTCTAAGTGTAGTTATGATGAATAAATTGTCCAAATTGGACACAATGTTGAACTACATGATTGAAGCTATTTTTCTGACAAAAAAGATAACGATTTTTGAGCGGAAGAAGGGGGTATCTTATGGGTACTATAAAACAATGTTTTTGCATTTATATTTTCCTTTTATCATAACAATGTTAATATTATTTCAGTGTATTTGTCCAACAGAAGAAAGAATGTCAGTTATTTATTTTATGTCCCAACAACCACTTCAGATGCAGGTTAGTAATAATAATAAATTTACTTCAAAGTGCTTATGTTGTTCTGCAGCAAAACTGTAATATGGTCTACCCTAACAATTGACCCCAAGTTGACTGTCCTATCAATCAGATGAAGCCACTTCATGTTATCAACCAGTATTCAAAGTAACATTTTCCTCATTCCGCCATGTTGTAGCCTCAATTATCAAAAATTGGCTATGAAAGATGTGATGTCTTATATAGGCCTATATATAGTGATTAGTCTGAAACGCAACCGCTTCACAATTACTGAACATTAATTATAAGTTATAGTGTAGTTCAAAATCACAGAAAAAATAAATGTTAATATAAATTCACATGGTTTGGATTTCTTTCATCCAAATTATATGAGATACATGTATATACATGTCATAAGAAAATATACTGGTGTTGGACAGAAACTGAATATATTATTATTAATCGCCATAGCTAAAATAAGTTCCCTGTATATAAGTATGTCATGATTCTATATACACCAAATCTGTTATTGGTACTGATAGTACTGTGACAGGTGTCAATTCCATGTAAAACAAGTGCAATTCAGTCAACCCTTATTGTTGAACAATTGAGTACCCACATAATATCAAGCCTTAATTCATTCATGTCTTAGAATATCCAAACTCCATACAAATACATTTAAAAGAGGATTACACTAATTCTAATCAACACTTTTCTTTCAGGTGTTCAGTTTTCCTATCACCTACAATGCCTTATTAGGAGTTATTCTTGCTTTCTCGGTTGCCATAGCTTCCAGGATTATATTAGATGAAGTGCTGAAGTAGTATTTGCTCAATAGAGATGAAAGAGATCTATCACATTTCAACTAGTGTTTATTCACTACAAATGGTGTCTTCATTTATTTTATCACTTTAATGTCTTTCACAACCCTTTTTATTTTTCAATTCTTTATACCTTGTGCCTGTAGAACAAAATATATCGGTTGACCCTATTTAGGCTATTATTTGCCATTGAACTGGCAAGATGGCTACCCAGTACCTATTATGATTGGCTGAAATTGATCATGAACGATACACCCATATCATTAGGGCAATTTACACTGAACTGCTGTCATTACACATTTTATCACACAAACAGTTTACTTCAAACTTTTTTTTATGACAATGTATGGAAAATCTTCATGTGTGGTATTCATTAATTGTATAATATTGTCTTGGCTCCTAATGAATAATTCCGGGACATGGCTGTTGGACTGAACACAAATCAACACGCCTCTAATTTCGAAATAGGAAGTATTTATCTCTTCAGTGCAGGAGAAACACACCAAAGACATTCAGAACATATCCCAGTCTAATATAACTAATAACACTCTGGACAACCAATTCTATAAATCATCAATTATAATTACTGGTGGCCTTAGACACCCAAGTTTATAAACCTTTAATGAATTGAAAGAAAATATTAGTATATTTTTATATTTAAAAAATGATAACTTTATGAATTCTGTTAATAGAAAATGTCATTTTTTTTATATGGAAAAAACCCCAATATATTTTATTTTGTTGTATTATCTAAATGTTGTTTACCTGAAGAGTTTAATAAAATAAGGACGGTGCTAGTAATCGACAAATAATTTAGTTCTTTTTTCAAAAACTTTTATATTATTGTGTATTTAATACCTAAGAATAGTTATCTTTAACCTTTCATATATTTTATATTATATACTGTGTCAGATGGCCTTTTTCCCCCTACCCATGTATACTTTTTTTTAATTTATTTATACCATAGTCGATTTATACTGCACAAATAAAACATTTATTAAAGGAGCAAAACCTGTTTGGTTCTGGTCAAATTTCTATACAGTCTTTATGTATAATATTAATACTTTGTTTCATTTTGTTTTTGTTCCTTTTGATACTTTATTGGGGGGGAGGGGGTCAAGTGGTGTGGTTTCGGTTCCCCGTGACAAGGAGTAGGGTTGCCTGTCCGACCTTGTGGGTTTTCTCTGGGTTCTCCAGTTTCTTCCCACTGCTAAAGACAAGACCCCTACGCGCAAGTGAATTAATGAAATAAAACTGAACCATATGTTAGTTCTGAAATGACATCAGGTGGACGTTAAACTGCATTTCTCTCTCTCCCACTTTCTTGCTTTATCATTTCGGTGTAAGGACTGTACCTTTTGCACACTGGTGGCTTTATAATGAAGATCTGGTCGAAATTATTTAGTTGGTTGATTTTGTTGTATTACTGAACAATGGGGAGCTATACATTACTATTGCAGGTCCTTGTCACCATTGAAGATGATGACTTGTATTTCTTCCAAAAAGTATTATATTGCTACTGATGTAAGTTGTGATTCACAATAACGATTTGTCTTTGAAATGGAATTTACAAGTATTATTCATCAAAATGTATCTGGTGGAACTACTGTTCTCAAAGGACTTGGCATTAGAGACCCACTAAAAGTTTAATACTGTAACAGAACATAAGCATGTATTTAATTATGATTGTAAAATAACTGGTTTATATTTTAGATATCAAAAGATCTTGCCCCTGTTGTTTTATTTTATGAATAAATTATTTAATCTATGTATATATTGTTTTGTTGTGGGAATATGCAAAGGACAACAACAAAGCGAGACAATATAAAGTATTTTAGGTAATTTGATATCAATTTATAAAATCATAATCTCAGGCCATGATTTGTAGCTTCCATTTTTATAGGCCCACATTGAAATGTAGTGGTATGTTGTTGGGTTAGCGTCCGATTAAATTTATACACACTGTTTATAGTCATGAGACAAAGAATCCTATTGACTTTTCACTGATTTATGATAATCAATAGCAGAGTTATGGCTCTTGATCACTTTGAAAAATCTTGTGGTCGCTCTATAGATTAAAGTTATTATCGGATTGTCTGTAATGTTTACACGGGACCTCGCTTTTTCGTCCCATCCGAACGACTAGACAGCTGTCCTTTTCAGGCCCGTCGTCCTGCATCACTGACAAGGGCGAACCACGCCGCAAAATCTGGATGATCTTTCTCGTACAATGCAGGGATCGAACACACGACCTCCAGACTAGCGAGCCAGCATCTTAGCCACCCTGATGGAAGACAATCGACTGGAATCGGTAAGTCACGTCAATAAATGACATGTTTGAGTTATCAATCATTATGGACAATTCCTCCGAAGATTTGATTTTCGGTATTGACTCAGTCTTTAAAAAAAAACAGTTATTAGCGATCACATTAGTACAATATTCCTGACGTTTACTCAGTGTAAACTCAAGGTAGTGAACAGAGCGTGGTTATATTTACTTTTAAAAATGACTTACTTTTCTCAGTAGTGAAAACCCCGAAACGCAGCAAGATTTATTTTCTTGCATTTCGCCTCCTACTCGTCTGGTTCATACGCCAATCAGCCATATGAAGTAAACTGCTCTTTTGAGGGTAGGATACTGATAGGGTATCTTACAATTAAACTCGAATGTGATTGATTCACTACTACCCGAACTTTGGATTCATACACTTAGTTCCGACTGGAATTCTGGATGTGTCAGCGTTATAGAAACCCATTAATTGGTATCATATTATAAGATGTCTAAAAAAGTGGCCTTGGCGCACCGAAGATGTATTGCGCATGCGACAAGTATAAAGTTAAAGGGCAAGTGTATTGTGAATCTTATCTACAAAAGGGTAATCTGTTTTTCAGAAAATAAGTAGGTGGTAGCCGATGTCGTGTCCTGGGATGTAGTTTTTAGCTAAGCATATGCACGTACTTAACTTGCCCTAACGCCTTGTTCAGTGATGCATCAAATTTTAGTTATAAAATAGCCTTTTGGAGTCTGAAATGCTAATGTTGCCTATCAGAAAAGATAAGAAAACGATGACCCGGTAACAGGGCCGTAACTGCTCAGGGCAACTCGGGGGTGCTGTAATATTGACGGACAATGTATATCTATTTTTTTATGGTTGAAATTGTTTTCACGGGGGGGGGGGGGGCGAAACTTTTTGCAGGGGGTGAAAAGCCCCTCCCCCCCCCCTGCGCCCCTCTAGTTACGGGCCTGCCCGGTAATCTAACATTTATGATTAAAATGGGTGGATATTCAAATTTTATTACACTGATGATTTAATATAATAAGGACCTGCCTTTCATAACGGTATGCAAGTTTCTCAAATGTTGACCCCATTCGAAGTTCTTCTTTAGACCGTCATTAGTTCAATAGAAACTTTTACGTTTAGAAGCCTTAATATAAACTTCTTCCTAGTGTTAGTAAAATAAAATAAAAAGCACGTGATATTATGTAACCAATATAGCCCCTGCCCACATTCAAATCAGAACTTTAACTGGCGAGTCTAAAGATAACGCATCAACTGATCAGTGCTCTAGAAATGAGTTTTCTTGTAATTGACATCATCGAAGAGAACACGCCAACAATAGTGTCCTTTGATCAATAGTGACAACTTTCCTGTCAAACAGCTGTTACATATCGGTAAACAAGATAGACATTTTACTTTATTCCAATGTCAATATTGGTGTTCAAAATATACATGCCAATCTTTGAAATTTGACAATATATGATTAAATTAGAAATTATAGAAATGTGTCCAAATGTGAAATGTAATACCCTACCGAGGGTAACCTGGATTCTCATTGTAGTACGGTTAATTTAAGTGATGCATAGCTTCTAAAGTCTAGCGATAGATTGCCTGTGCTGTATTCGTATACTGTTTGTTTTGTTGGGTCGTTAGAGACCGGTAACGCCACCTAAAAGGAACAAAGTAAGCCCCAGAAGAAATGAAATGCATTGCAATCGAAAGTAAACCTTTAGCTCAACGGGAGTGTACTGCATCCAAAATCGTGTTTTTCGTCAATGTTGCAGCAATTATATACCGTTAAAACTATACTCTAAACGCATGTTAACATATAATATAATTGAAAATATAATAATAAAAATATTTGAAACAAGCGAAGAGGATTATTATTACTTTTTTTTATCTATGATACATACATAATGTGGTGGTGTGAAATAAATGCAAACATAAATGTATCCCAAGTTACATTTGTAAAATAATTTAAACGTTTTGAATGAATTTTTAACCAGGGTGTTTTTGATTGCGCATGGACTGATGCACAATATTTAACATTTATTCTAGCCTGCTGGGACTTTAAAATATTTAATTTTTTTTTTCATAATGATTCGAAACACCATCGCTGCCCAGTGTTGCTGCTGGTCCATAACTTGTCGGTTCGCGGTGTCGACAAATGTCATCCTTGTTGTCAGTGTTATCGAACGCATAACTTAACCCACAGGATAGTAAGTTAAAATAGACATCGACTGACAACCAATCGATGCCCGTTTTTTCTTTAAAATAAAATGATTCATTTTCGTTTCCTTTTTATTTCGGCTTCAAGACACCGACCAAGTAAGTAACCACCATATTTTACAAATTGAAAAAAAAGAACAACCCCTGAAAATAGCAGGGAAAGGGAGACATTTATTTTACCAATTTGTTTTGTTTTTTGTTTTTTATTTGGAATAGTGTACTTCTGGATTATATGTTACATCCCAAATAAAGTTGCCCTGTAGACTAAATTGGTGCCCAATGCAACTAGATCAGGTCTCATAACGATATGACCCAATCCAAACCTGTGACAAACGGGGTATTGTTTGTTATAACAATTAAGCAAAATAAGCGCATGCAATGTGCTATGAAAGAAAACTTGTCCGGACAGCAGAATTTCCGCCTACTCTTTTTCGAACTCCAACTGCAATGGGTCCTTTTACGTGCACGCTGATTTACAAAACACTGTTCCTTGTCATGCAATCGGTCCATTACCATTTACTTTCTGTACCAACGCCGGGGTAGAACCCCAGATCTACTGGTAATGTATCGGCACCTAACGAACGAAGGTAGCGTGGATCCCGGCATTGAGGGAACGAGGATGTAATACAATGGTCAAGCTGTACAATATAAATGAAAGTTAGAAAAAGGTTTTTTTTTTTTTAAATTTAGCATACATGTCGGTTTTGTTTCATTTCGAAATATAAGTTTACACAACTTTTATTGTGTTATGGTTTAATTGAATTTTAATGATTTATATTTGACCCTCCATGTGGACCCTCACACCCGACACCCACTCACCCCATTTGAGAATCATTGCTCTTTCGTATAGATCGTTACCTTTAAGAAGCATTAGTAGAACATTTTATAGATAGGTTGGGCTTATACAATCATCCAATCTACTACTAACTTGAATGGTATCTGTAAAGCATAAAGTTTATTTTAACTAGTGGGCGTAAATTTTGCACACGTTTTATTTTAAATACAGATATTTCAATTATTTTATTTATTTATTTTATAGTTCATCCAGATTTTCCGGCGTGGTTTCCCCTTGTCAGTGATGCAGGACGGAGGGCCTGACAAGGACAGCTGTCTAGTCCTTCGGATGAGTCGAAAATCCGAGGTCCCGGGCAAAATTTCCCACATAGCACACTGTATGGCGTATGCCCGTCTTCATTAGCCCAGTATAGGAGCAGAACAGTAGGACGTTAACCCCCATTTCATTTCATTTCATTTATTTATTTTACATATATAGGCAAATAATTATATTTGATTTGTTTTCTAAATTTTACACCGCATACTGTATTTCTAATATTGCTACAGAATTCGGCTGATATAAATTTCAGAATGATAGCTGTTAATAGATTCCCCTTATTTCTTCTGCTGTTATGGATACGTTCATCAGAGTAAGTTTTATTTATCTTCAATAGTTTCAGCTAATGCTATAAAATGAAAAAGACGTATTTTTCGTTAAGTTTAACAGTCACGGGTTAAATTACTTGTTTTGAAATATGAAGATGAAATAAATGAAATATTTCTTTAATTTTAACAAGGTTACTTTGTCAATAACAGATATAAATTGGACTTATTAGTAACTTCTATTCGCATACGACTATAGGCATGTTTACCGGATGGGGGCGGGGGGTGGGGGGGTGGATGGTCGAATGGTTAGCACGTGCGAGCTGTATCATAAGGTCTGTCATTGCGCCAACTGGCGTGGTTTCGATTCCCCTGTTGTACGTGACAAAGAATAGGATCGCATGTCCAACCTCGTGGGTTTTCTCTCGGTCCTCTGGTTTACTCCCACTGCTAAAGACCTAGTTTGTGTCGAGTGGACGTTAACCTCTCCCCCCCCCCCCCCCCTCTCTCTCTAGCCTGTATGATGCCTGCAGAATAAATTCCAACACACTGGAATAACTTGCATTTATCGAGGAATACCGATTTGAATGACTACTTTTATATGTGGAGCATAACAGAATTTGATTTTATTAAACAGATACGGTTAATTTATTTTTAATATAGATGTAACAACGGGAAATACATATTTCTCCTACCTAAAGCTGTAAGACCGGGTGTGGATTATATTTTTTCTGCCCAAAACCTGGGAACAGAATCAATTCAGATAACATCAACATTGGAGGACCAGGATGGCGTCGCATGGGCTTCACAAAACGATGTTTTAGGTGAGTAAATGCTGTTTTTGCTAACATTCCGAATAATTAAAGTTCTTAAGGAAAAAATAGATCTCACGTAAACTCTCTTATACCCACTCCCTTCCCATCCCATCCCATACCATACCAGACTACCTGCCCACATTAATTAAAAAGCTGAGCTATTCACCTGTTCACACTCAATCGGAAATTATTTGGTAAAGCCGAGTTGCTAAATTTTTATTTATTTATAGCGACAAGGAAAAGGATACTGCTTAGAGTAAGTGTTAATATACTTATCATTCACCTAATTTCTTATGCGGATGCTACGTGAGGGCACTATAGAGATTCATTTTTGAATATAGGTATCAAATTGTCTTCAAGCCTTTTTACCTTTCGCTAACGTAGAATTCATTACTGCTCAATAAAATATCTAACTGCTTGCTACTCAGTTGACAATATTAAATCCATTTTATTTTTGATCGATCAAATTATCCTAAGCATGTTACATACCAATGACAGTATTCAGTTGTCATTCTGAGATCCATAATTCAGCTGCCATTCTGAGAACCATAATTCGCGGTCAGCTGTGGCAGTCAATTTTATTTTTAGTAACACGGCTTGACCAATCAAAAATAAGGGCTTCCCCCACGCGATGTCATTGACCTCATTTCGTGTTACTTCCGGTCCCACGAAGATGATGATCGCCAAGTGATATAGCGCTTTAAGTTTGATTTGTAATTTATAAGGCTGTAAAATGACCAATTTAATTACATCGGTAGCTGAATAATGAACAAAAATGATCGTTGGCAATAAAACCGACGGGACGTTTTGGAACTAGTGAGTATTGTGAGATGATAGCAGACGAAATGTCTTGAACGCGTGAAAACAACATGGCGGGTGAGTAACTTTGTATAATCAAGTTTTATTTTAATCTCTTCAAGTGCCTGTGGTATTGATATAAGATCATCACTGTATCCGTAAGCTTAGGTCGCAAGGGCTAATTGACCAAATATTTAAATTCCTTCCCAAAAAATTCACTTCTATATAGACATAAACATTTTTTTAAAAAAAAAAAACACAACCTTTCTTCTCTATTCAATTGTGCCAAGCCAATATGCACCTTAAAGAATATTGAAAATAAATATTTTGAATAATAATATGATACGTAGTGCAAATGGCGTAGTGTTCTGTTCAGATTGTGCGTGCAACCCATTTAGAGACGAAACAGCCAGTTTCTAGTCTGCACCATCTATTTTAAGCCCCAGTGTGTGGGCTTTAAGGCTTTAGACTGCAAGGTCTCTCATTGTAGGTGACGCAAGGAGCTGTGTCGTCTGCCACTCTGCCTAACCTCGTTGGTTTTCTCTGGGTCAACCGATGTCCTCCCGCCGTTAATGGCCCCTACCCTCAAGCGAATTTTTGAAATATTACGTTATTCCCGAAATGATATACAGTTCGTGTTGAGTACACGTTAAACTCCACTCCTCTCTTTCTATCTCCTTTTTCAGCCTCCGTCTAACATGAAACCCACATCTGATGATTACCAATTTCGACTGAGAATAAACGGAACAGGTGGAGCAACTTTTAACGAATATTCTAACCTGAACTTTAGACATGACAACATGGTTGTTGTTATACAGACAGATAAGAAAGTTTACAAACCAGGTCAAACAGGTAAAGCTGTACAAATTTAGAATAAACAAATAGATCGACGATGATCACCATCAATTCCTTGTGAATCTTTGAAGGGCCATTTATCGCGAATACGACCGCGAACATGGCGATCGAATTTGATAACTGGTTTATTTTGTATAACTGAGAGAAGGAGCACAGCAGTGTTACTAAACCAATTCCGTTTCTAATTTACAAAACGATTAAACACAAACGACCCAGAATAAATTAATTAATACATTGTCATGAGTCTAATAGACTAGTATCTTAAACGAAAAGTTTTAAGTTTAGTAAAATGTATTCGCTTGTATTAATGGAGACACGGTGGCTTGGTGAATAGCACACTTTTCCAAGTTCATTTGTCATTGTCAAGAAAATAAAGCGACCAGATCCCCTGGCAGTTGAAAATCGAAATTAAGGAGCAAGCGGCAGGTATCCTGTCAGGGTAAAATGTCCGTTAAAATACACTGCTTGGTGAAAGGTAAAGCATTAAAGCCCATTAATTTTCATTTCTTAACTGCTGTTATGAATTTGGTTGCAGATCATAACATGTTAACGTCGATGTATTCCAAATCAAATTAGGCAATATAAACTTATCTTCAATTTTTGATAAAATATTTTAATTATTGTGTTTCTTTCCCCAGTAAAATACAGAATATTTGCTATTCTTCCTGCTTTAACAACATTTATGGGCAAGTTTGATGTTGTAATTGAGGTAATTAATTTATGCTTCAAAAAAAGATATAAACACTATCCATCTGCCCGTTCGTTGTCCCGTGAGAACTAGGACGTGGTGATGAGTAGATTTGCGATTTTCTCTGGGCTGGTAACCCCGGGTATATCTTCTGCCAAGTAGCCTGCTAGATCGTAAATCCGGGACCAAATCATAACCCCCGTTAACTATAAATGGCGGATTTCGTTACGGGGCAGGATATGCTTATTATTTTTAGAACACATGATACCACTTCTCATTAGATGAGTGGTCTAACGCCCACGCTGTATACCATAAGGCGGTAAAAATCATGTAAGCCAAGGGTACGATCCAGTGGTTGTACTTGGTAAGGCCTGGAGTCGTGGTTTTCTGTATGTATTCCGGCCCCATCCCCTGTGCGCAAACGAATTATTGATACAACATTTTTACAGTATGATAATCCCAACGCTTACTGTTATGTCCAAACACTTCAAGTAAGGGTATTGATGTCAATTTTAAGAATAAATTATTGTATAAAATAATAATAAAAAACACTATAGAAATTTTGTTTGATTTGGTATTGATCTATTTTTAGAATCCAAGAAAAAATAAAGTAGTGAGGTTTGAAAGGAATGGAGACCTGTTTGGAGTTCTTGAAGACGAATTTATTTTGTCGTCTGAAGCCTTATTTGGTGACTGGAAAATAACTGTGACTACAGATGTAGGTATTACTTACATAATAACTGATTAATATTTAATGCAAAGCAAATTACACATATTAGCTATAAACTTGTATTATAAGAACGCTAACGTTGTGATTGTTAAATGATTCTATATTGTTTTATTTTTAGCTTGTTCGGGAATCAAAAAGTTTTAGTGTTGACAGATATGGTAAGTAATTAAGTTATTAGAAAAACAAAAGTATTTTCATAGAAAGAAACGCTGCAAGTATAGATACAACTCCACTCACCTTTAAGTCTATGTTTGTTTTGGAGGCCCATCGAACAGTATTCATAAATCGTGTGAAGCATGCGGAACCCTTTCTATACTTAACAGAAAATGAGTGCAATGACTATTCATATATGTTTTGTTTTACCGCCACCCAGTTTGAGTTGGAAAATAAGACTAATAGACGATTTTAGGTTCGAAATTCTATAATTATGAAGAAAATAACTTTGTTTCTTGGGTTGAAATGAGATCCTTAAAATTGTGCATTGACTTGCAAATCTTTTGCATAACACACATTTCCACATTAATGTTCCTATCCGTCCCTATTAACGCCGTGTTAGATTATGTTATGTTTGTTGTCTTCGCTGGCCGAATTGAACATTTCAGTACTACCACGAGCTGAAGCCACTGTAACCTTACCTTCACATATAGTAATAACAGAACAAAGCGTGAAAGTAAAGGTAGCAGGAAAGTAAGTTTTATTTTATCCTGTTACACAAGGTTCGATATAGGGACCCTTCTGTTGTGTATATGTGCAAACAGTTTAGTAAGAGCATAAACAAAGCTGCAGGTCATTGAATTACGCCATATATCCCCTTTTAATTTTTGGTTTAATGAATTACAAATATATTTTGCACTTTCTATCAACTAATGTTTTACATATTATATCTGAACAATAAAGAATGTTTAAAACCCGATTTGATTACTCTTTAACGTGTTATTCTTTTAAGTCTTAAATGTTAACCTTTTTATAATATTTTTGTAGGTACACACATGGAAAACCACTTGAAGGGTCGGCTACTTTGCGATTAAAAGTCGATGCGTTTTACACTGGTTATACGTACGGACGAGATCCCATAACAAATTTATATGTAAGATTCCCAAAGAAAATACAGCCCATTTTAGAGTATAATTTAACAGTAAGTAAAGTAAGAAAAAACTACATTAATACTGTATTGGAAATATCAAACGATACAGTGCATATTTTAATCTCTAGAAGAAATGGGCACCATATACATGTAGTTTTTTTTAATTTGTTTGTAAAATTGTATGCTTGATAATTACGAAAAACATCAAACGGACATTAAATTTATTTTCCTTTTTTTATTCGACCCCTATTTTTACCCCAATGATATACTAGCATTGGAAGTATTTTAAATGTATATTACATTATATTTATATTAAATTTGTTATTAATTTTGTTTGTTCTATGTTTTAGTTAGTTGATAAATAGTGTATTGTTATATTTGTTGTTCTATATTTTAGTTAGTTGATGAGTATTGTATTTTACTATGGATTGTTCCATATTTTAGTTAGCTGTTGGACTTTGTATTTTACTATATAACCTGTTGTTCTATATTTTAGTTAGCTGATGGGCATTGTATTTTACTATATAATCACTTGTTCTGTATTTTAATTAGTTGATGGACATTGCTGTATAATCATTTGTTCTATGTTTTAATTAGTTCATGAATAGCGTATTGCTGTTTAATCTCTTGTTCTATATATATTTTAGTTAGTAGATGGATGTATTGCTTTCAAATCTTTTGTTCTACATTTTAGTTTGTTGATGGGTAGTGCATTCTATGTAATCTGTTCTACATTTTAGTTAGTTAACGGAGAAGCTAGTGTTACTCTGACTTTGAATGAATTAACAGCCATTACTGATACATCAAGTTTAAACTCCAAAACTTTAGTAGCCCAGGCCAATGTAACAGACATAGAGACAGGCACGGTTTATGAATCTAAAGACGCGAAGAGTGTCTTTAAATCCACAAGAGAGGCTATACAGTTTGTGATGGATCCCCAGAACTTTAAACCCGGGGTTAATAATTCTTACTACGTAAGTATGTTGGTTAATGAAAATAGTCATGGTTATATTTTTTCCAGTCATTAATCATGTTAACTACTATCACATAATAAAGTTTGATGTGTTAAAGGACAATATTGGTGCCAGTCATTATCACATATGTGATAGAACTGGTTAAACACGTTCCAAATATTATTTTATCACAGAGATCATTGCTACGATGGATGAGTAATCAATGTTTCAACAATAGGAAGTGACGAACGCAAAAGGAAAACACGAGTTATCCCTCTATTATAACTGACTGAAGTGACGGGTGATAACAGATACATGGGCGAATTTCTGCTCACTAAAAATTCCTTCGAGGACCAAAAGTTGTTGTATGGGACTGTGAAAGGATATCTGACAATTCATAAACAAAATTGACTGTCACTAGATAAGAGAACATGAAAGAAAAATAGAAAAAGTCCGTGCATTACCATGTTTTTATAAGTATAGAATGAATAAACACCCGTGAATGTACGGACTGTTTCTATTTTTCTCGCGTTCTCTTATCTAATGACATTAATTACTTTTTTGAATTGTCAGATATACTCTTACAGTCTCATATAACAACTTTTGGTCTTCGAAGGAATTTTTAGTGAACAGAAATTCGCCCATGTATCTGTTATCACCCGTCACTTCAGTCAGTTATAATAGAGGGATAACTCGTGTTTTCCTTTTGCGTTCGTCACTTCCTATTGTTGAAACATTGATTACTCATCTATCGTAGCAATGATCTCTGTGATAAAATAATATTTGGAACGTGTTTAACCAGTTCTATCACATATGTGATAATGACTGGCACCAATATTGTCCTTTAACTACATCTGTAAAATTTGACAGTGTGATGGCATTTCATTGTAGATTTTAGCAAAATTTTATACTACCGCGCGAATCAAGGTACGATTTTTTTTAGACTCATTCCAATATATATATTTGAAGTTATCAGTGATATTATTTGGAACATGTTCTTGTCTTTTATATAAATTTACAATTGTATGATGATGATTGCTGGCCGAAGCGTGACACCAATGTTTCACAATTGTTTTCTTGAAAGAACTCGTACTATTACTTATTGCGTTTTAATCGGTAGTATGTATTGAGAAAAAGAAAATAATGCCACGTGCATTTTATGTAATTACTTATGTCCGGATAGCGGCGCTACGGCCTACTCTTAAATCAAATTTCAACTGCCAAGGGATCGTTTATGCGCACGCCAATGTGTACACGGGACATCGTTTTTTCATCCCATCCGAACGACAAAATAACTGTTCTTGTCAGGCCCTCCATCCTGCACCACTGACAAGGGGAACCCACGTCGGTAAATCTCGATGAACATTCTCGGCCAACACCGGGAGCGAATCCGCGACCTCCAGACTAGCGAGCCAGCGTCTTACTCACTTAGCCACCCTGGCTCCTTTTCCGTAGCCTAGGTTTTAAAATACAGCCTTTGAATACCGATTTTTTCTTCTCTTGGTTAAGTGGGAAAATTAAAAGAGAGAGAGAGATGGGGTATAACGCCCACTCGACACAAACTAAGTCATTTCGGGACCAACATATATGGTTCAATTTTATTTCAATAATTCGCTTGCGCGTAGGGTTTTGAACAATGGAAGGAAACCGGAGGACCCAGAGAAAACCCACGACGTTGGGCAGGCGACCCTACACCTTGTCACGTAAAAGCTGGGAATCGAAACCACGCCACTTGACTCAATGACAGACCTTATGATGCAACGCGCACGCGATAACCATTCGGCTACCTTATCCCCGGGAAAATTAAGTATTTTCACTTAACATTAAGAAAACCTTTGAATACGGACCCTGGTGGTTCCTTTATGATAAATCCTAAATCTGCATTCAAATTGGATTTATTAAAGACCCCGTGCACCATTTGCATTTTTCGATAAATATCAAATTTTCGACAACTTAATCTCCACGAAAATGTAAACAAAATCAAAATATCAACGGGAGATACTCTTCCGGCTTGAATTTAATCAGGTCGAAAAAGAGGCCCATTAAATGTCAACCAAATTCATAGGTGGCGCTGGCGTGTGTTGACAATATATATGGTATGTTGTAGATGCCAACTGCTCATCCAATCTTTGTAAATACATGTACATTGTACATGTACTAAACGGAAATGAACCATAGTCCTTTTAGCGATTCAACTTTCAAAATATTGCAGTTCGCAGTGGATAAACAGTCCAGAAAATGGCGATCAGGTGATTTAAATATCTTGGCAAAATTTTTAAAATCAAAAGAATCCTATGATTACAGATTGAAGTTTTGGATCATGATGGTAAACCATTGGTTGAAGATGGAAATGTAACAATAACAGCACAATATAAAACTGAGGATGAAATTCCCACACCACTTACAACAACACCATTACCATCGACACCTTACTATGGACCGTGGAATTTTGGAAAACAAGCTCCCTGTACACTTGCGACATACAGCTGGACTAATTTAACAACCCAAATTTTAATTCTCCCCCCGAATGGCCTGCTTAAGTTTGATATAAAAGTGAACGACTTTTCAGCCCTTGAGCTTGAATTAAAGGTAGGTTACACGTGTAAAGATTTGCAATTGTACATTCCGTATTTAATTAATCGCGGCTTAGGATTATCTTAAGATTGTATCATATTGGTCTTACAACTGTAATAGTAATTTGTGATATTGGCTTGATTGTCTGTCTGTTCATGATTGGCGGCTACACATTTTAAGAAATGAAATGGAGTTTAATGTCTTAACCTTTTGTACGAACGGACATATTTCATGAATTGTGCTATGAGGTTATCTTTAACTTACTGTCAATATTATACACCGAACCTCGAATTTTTGTCCCACCCGAACGACTAGACGTTTTTCCTCAACAGGCCCTCATCTCCAAGTACACCTATCACCGTGACTTTGATATTATTTGATAATTATTGTCTGGGGTTAGAATTAAGGGCCCCTAGAATAATTCACAGAGTAATATTTATGGAATTTCATAGTTAATATAATCTGTAATTTGTTTATTAAAGGCTACATATAATGATGATTACAACGTAAGAGCATCTCGAACATTAGGAGTAACCCGATCACCAAGTTATACCTTTATTTCAGTTCATCTTTTGACCCTTAATCCAAAGGTACTGTTACTTTTATACGCCCGTAATTAACTGCGATGTTTACCGTATATATTTAGGTTTTTCTTAAATTCCAGACATTCCGCTTCCGCCCACTCGACACAGACTAGGTCATTTCGGGACTAACATATGGTTTAATTTTATTTCCATAATTCGCTTGTGCGTGGGGGTCTTTAGCAGTGGGAGAAAACCCACGAGGTTGGACAGGCAACCCTACTCCTTGTCACGTACAGCCGGGGATTCGAAACCATGCCAGTTGACTCAATGACAGGCCTTATGATACAGCGCGCGCGTGCTACCCATTCGGCCATCCAACCCCCCAATCCGCTTCAAAATATAATTATATGCATTATGCTATTTATCACCTATGAATAGTGGATTTGTGTATACGATTATACACATTACAAATTATAATTCCATCTTTAACATACACTTACCAAGTACATCTTCCAAACTTCCCAGTAAGTCTTGAAGTCATTTTCTTCATATTGTCAACATAAACCTTGTCATGATAAGCGATTTATCAAGATCCTAGACATTGTCCGGCTAGAATGCAATAACAAGTAACTAGTGACATATAGATTATTTTTCTGATATACAAATATTCTAGGTTAATGAGTATGCAGATTTTGAAATATCGTCTAATATCAAGTTTTCCCAGATTCATTATTTTGTAAGTAACTCTACTATATTGATTTAAAATTCATAGAAAACCAAAAAACATAAGTTTAATAACTATTCTATTATGTAAATGTAAGAATTTTAACGTATACAAAAGAGTATCTTAGCTAAATTCAATCAGGACCGTAACTAGCTCAGAGCAACGACGGAGGCGTGAAGTGTTCTCAGGAGAGCTGTAAAATTGACGGACAATGTATATCGGGAGGGGGGGGGGGTCTTCCCCCGGCTTCGTTCCCGGGGGGGGGGGGGGGTCTTCCCCCGGCTTCGAGAAAAATTTTCAAAATTGGACTGCCGGAAACGCTATTTCCTGCACTCTGGGCCCTCTTCTGAAAAGACCCATCAAAATACCCTTCATTTGAAGATCTGAAAAAGGTGAAAAATCCAGAAAACTGGATAAAATCCGTACAAGTGGAAACCCTGAGAATCCGATATCAACTACCGATAATTTTTCCACAGGGGGCGAATTTTATTTATGGTCGACACTTTTTTTCACGGGGGGGGGGGGGGCGAAACTTTTTGCAAGGGGGGCCTTCGTCCTACCTGCGCCCCCCGCCATGTTTCGGGCCTGAGTTCAATTTAGATTTATTTCGTAAAGCCACCGTCCCCATTGTGGATGTTAGCACTTTTTATGTATAAAATTTGTCTAAGCTTGATATCTCATCTTGAAAAAAGCCCAAACAGTAAAAAATCATAAATTTCGCCCTGTCGAAATTGCATGTCGTACTGCGGTTAAACGTCAGACTTAGTGGTCGTGTGTTATCACATTTCTGTACAGATTCTATAAACAGGCCGTGCAGGTTCATTATATGATTGTTAGTAAAAATAGTACTTTTGGTTAATACAAATGTAATTTAACCATCTACAACAAACTGGTAAGATGTGAAGCTGAAATTTTTTTAATCGAATGCTAGTACTACAAACTACTTACGTTAGACGTCATAGATTAATGGCCAGGGTATATAATAAATCTTTAATTGAACAAAGTATCCTTTTTTTTTCAGGCCATGGCAAAGGGTCAAATTGAATATGTAAATACTAAAGGTTATTACGCAGCCGCAAAGACACAGATTCTTCCAATAAGAATCCTGCCCAGTTTCGCTCCAAATGTTCGAGTATTCGTTTACTTTGAGACTACCGATAGTGAAATTGTTATTGATGCCATAACATTTGGTGTTGAAGGATTATTTAAAAATAAGGTAGGATTAAAACCAGATCGTTCATACATCTCAAAACTCCAAAATATATACTACTTTAATATAAAGACGTATGTTATTACTTAACTAAGCGGGGGGTTGGGTGGCCGAATGGTTAGCATGCTCGCGCTGTATCATAAGGCCTGTCATTGAGTCAACTGGCGTGGTTTCGAATCCCCGGTTGTACGTGACAAGGAGTAGGGTCGCCTGTCCAACCTCGTGGGTTTTCTCCGGGTCCTCCGGTTTCCTCCCACTGCTAAAGACCCCTACGCGCAAGCGAATTATTGAAATAAAATTAAACCATATGTTAGTCCCGAAATGACCTAGTTTGTGTCGAGTGGACGTTAAACCCCATTTCTCTCTCTCTCTCTCACTTAACTAAGCATATTCGAGTATGAAATAAGAGAAATGAAATGAAATGGGGTTTAACGTCCTACTGTTTTGCTCCGAACTGGCCTAATGACGACAGGCATACGCCATACAGTGTGCTATGAGGGAAATTTTGCCCGGACAGCGGCACTACGGCCTACTCTTATATCGAATTCCAACTGTCAAGGGATCTTTTACGTGCACGCCAATGTGTACACGGGACCCCGGTTTTTCGTCTCATCCGAATGACTAGACATCTGTCCTTATTAGGCCCTCCGTCCTGCATGAAATAAGAGAGGACGGGTTGTACACATAAAAGCGTTTATATCATCTTCTTATTTAATAAAATGGGTTGTAAGATCTCTATGAAACCCATTTTAAAAAGTACGAGCGAACTCAACGAACCAGGAATCGACCAATATGTCAACACAGCCATCTTAGAATTATGACGTCATTCAAAACTTGATACCAGGCGGAACATTCGGGTTTTTCGAAGAGCGTCGTCCCGAAGAACAACAACAAGACAAGTCGCACTTGCAGAGACCAGCTCTCCGTTCAAAAAAGGCAAAATATTACAGATATAGTAAGTTATCTTCCTAAAAAATACAATATTAATTTACTGTGTTAAAATAACCAATACTTATATATTGAAGTAGTAGGCCTTTCAACCCCTGTTCTCGAAGGGATTATCCTTTTGATATTGATTCATACTTGCTGGTTTCTGATGAAATGAAACTACATCAGAATTATTTCTGTTAAACATACATTATGCAAGAGCTAAATCTGTATATTGCAGGTCATTCTTTAGGCCTGAAATGTTATCTAAATAAAACATTAATTAACCTATCCAGACCATAATCAACTTTAGATGGTTATGCTAGCCTGCGATCTTTAGTGGATTATGAGCTGATTTACTGCATAACTTTCCTTCAGGATTTAACGATTAAATGGATAATCGAGAATATACTGTTTATCGTACTGACTTTCGTAATGATGATCGAGGCGAGGCGGAAATTTCAACCGCTTAGTTCTCGGTTCATAGTGGATCAATTTGAATGAAATGTTTTAGCAAATTCCCTTTACATTATCTAGTTTTTAACTATTATAGTGAGAACTACCAACTCGTTATCGAATCTCCCATAATGTATCTTTAATATTACAGGTATCAATTGGATTCGACAAGTTGAAAGCTGAACCAAAAGACCAAACCACTCTATCTGTAAAAGCACAGCCATATTCCAATGTTTATGCTGTGGGAGTAGATAAAAGTATAACATTATTAGGCGACATAGAGGATGAAATGTCCGATGAGGTAACTAGTATTCGAAAATCTGTTATCATGGTATATGTACAAAATGAAAGTTTATGATAACTCTTACAAGTGGGTCTACGTTGACTCGATGACATTGACGGTCCTGGGGTTCCATCCCGATAATTGGCTCCTAGTTTCCTCTTGTCAGATGTGTAGGATGCATGGGAACCAAATTCGTCCATCGTTTGGAGCTCCCCTCCCCATGTAATTAATCGAAATACTGTTCATCCAACGACATTATAATTATATTAGATCATTTAAGGATAAATTGTCACATAATAATTTAACGTTAAAATGGATAATCGAGACTTTGTTCACTATCGTAGCAGTAATTACAATTTTTCAATATAATCATTTTTCATTATCAATTTTTAAACTACCATAGCAGGAACGGTCCACTATTTATCTAAATCTTACATAATGATAATGCATCTTTAAGACATAGTATATTTATGTCATGGTTTTGGTGAAACGTTTAGGTTGAAGATTTTATGAACAGTCTAGATACAGGAACTACACCAACGTATGATAATTGGAGGTATTGGCCAATGCTCCGAAAGAAACGATCAACAGTGAATCGATCTAGTAGAAGAAAAAGATCATATTTCAATTTCCCGATATTTACACCGGGAACGGATGTAGATGAAATATTAAACGTATGTAAAATATATTTTTTTTTCCAATTCACTAATATTTAAAATTGCAGAACCTGATCGGCCATTTTTGGGAGAATATCAAAATTTTCACAACATAGCGCACCCTAAATTGTACTCAAATTGCTTATTTGATATTAAATTAAGAAAACAAAGTGGCAATATACGTAAACGTATAATTTATCTTACCATTATGAAATTAGATAACACAAACGCTGACACGGATTATAAATGTCGTCTCTATTGGTTTCGCTGTTCGTAACAATGTTATAATTATCTCAGCTAAAGTATGGTGATTTCATTAATCCCAGTCATCTAATCACATTTTTAACAATATACTATATAATATACCAAATATTTCTCAGACTTTCTTTAAGCTTCATAAGATATTTAAAACAAAAACAAAACATTTGATAACTTTCGTTTTTAGTATAATGACATTAATGTGATTACCGATGCCCAGATTTATAAATATGTTGCTGAGCCTCTTTGCTACCCGAACTGGACTCCGCCGACAGTAACCTCACCCACAGTACGGATGTACGCAGAATCTCCAGTTGGACCAGCGCCAACATCACCACCAATATCAACAGAACCGTGGGAGGACACGGTAAAAGAGAGGTCATTTTTTCCCGAAACCTGGATCTGGGAACAGAAAATTACATCGTAGGTTCAATAAGTCAATCTTCTATTTAGATATAGGTTCAATAAAGGTTTCACCACCCATGAAATAGCTTTATTGAATGTCCACAGATGCAGTAAGGCTGAGCTAAACGGAGTTCCTGCTTTTATAGCAGCAACTGACAATGGCGGCAAACAAATCGAACTCTACAATTTGAAAAGCTAAGTATACCCAACGGAATTAATGACAACCACAAAACTGCATATTATTTCAGAAATGGTTTATGAAATACAATGGGGTTTAACGTCCAACTGTTCTGCTCCATCCGGGCATACGCACTGTAGTTTGCTACGAGAGAAACTTTGGTCGGGCCAAGTAGTCTTTTACCTGAACGCCAATGTGTGTGGGATCTCGGTTTACTGACAAGGGAAACCGCACTGGACAATCCAATAGAACTTTCTCGGCCAACACTGGGATCGGACCTAAGACCTCCACGAGCCGCAGCCTAAAGGTTTTGATCATCCGTAGACTGGCCGATCGTTTCCAGCAGACAAGGTCCTCTAGCTAGAGACCGACCAAGGCCTCGACGCTAATGCGGGATAAAGCCTGGACAATACCGTCACAGTATCCGGCAAAAACTGCAGGATCGTACGCTGACAGCTACCCGTACTACTGTAACCGTAAGGAGGCAACATGGGCTTTATCCGTGGCAATAATGTTCGTCGCCGACTGCGTTCCTGACAGCATTACGTTTAAACAAAATCTGCCCTCGTTTCAGCGCACACAACACGCGCGACCTCCATGTACTTCTTTGAACCAAACCTAAGTGGCCATGTTCGAATGGCCAACCCTCTCTCCTGATCTCTCCTAGTAGAGGAATGAATCCACATGCAGTCATTCAGAGGCTTATCTCTTCCATACGGAGACGTTGTATGGTGTGTATCACTGCTAGAGGTGGACACACACGGCCAAAAATCAGATTTCAATTGCATTATGTTTCCTCAGTGCAATCAGAGATGCGTTTCCATTGGGGTCCTGTATATATTGTGTATATATATCTAATTTTATTGTTTAGTATCGACGGATTTGCCAATTTCTCCCTGGTTGTTCCGGACACTATTTCTTCATGGTCAGCCTATGCCTTTGCTGTTCATCCATCACCATCTTATGGAGTTGGATTTACACAAGATTTAGCATCGGTAGGATTCGTACATTTAATTTACTTCCATAAAGTCCATTTTAATATTTCGTTTATTAATCACTATTATAAGAAACATATATTCAATGCGCGTGGATCGCTATAGATTAAATTATGTTTGTTTATTTTTATATTCATTTTTACATACAGCCTGTCTCTTATCTTTTTACTTAAAAAAAAGAAACAAGCACAAAATCCAAATCCAAATAAGACAACTGACAAAAGGGGTTAATTGCAAATTACGGGTTTGAAATTCATCCATAATAACACATTAATATGTTGTTTTACCTGAACAGATACAGATGAACATATACCAATATATCTGATTTTTTATGACTTGATACAAATGAAAAAAAGCTACAGATCTAGGATCTGGGTAGACGAAATGTATCCGCTGGTTGTAATGTTTCCCCAGGTTGGGAACGTTCGGCTAATGAGTCAATATATTTTATATTTGTTAAGCAAATGTCATCTGTCGTTTAACAAAAAGTGTATTGAATTTTTAACGTACCTTTCATTTTTTATGATACCATATAATTGTAGTTAGAAGTTTATAGAGATTTCTTCGTGACGTTAAACCTACCGTATTCTATCATCCGAGGAGAAGAAGTTCTTATTCAAGCTATTGTCTTTAATTATCTTAATACAGATATTCAGGTATGTATTAAGGTTAATTCCTGTCCCATCACTGTTGACATTTAGGTTCAAATAAAGTATATTCAATTGGCAGAAATAATTAGTAAATCGGAAGACGATATGCCTTTACTTTTCAAAACAGTTTTTTTTTTACCAATTCCCATTATTTGTTGTTCCGTTAATTTTTATATCACTTTAATCTATATTTTATCACCACTGACAAGGAGGAAATTCGCCGGAAAATCCCACTGAACCTTCTCGGTCAACACAGAGATCGAACACGTCTTACTCACTGATCCACCGTGAGTCCTCTGTTTAAAACAGCAAAAGTGTTGGCATCAAAGTTGTTTTTTATATACTCGTATGTAAATTTATAGGACTACGACATTTTTAAACTGTGACGATTTGTATTTCCAATAAACATGACTGGTTTGTTTTTCTACACCATTTTACTGTAAATTTACATACATAAAATTCAACTTTGCTGCCAATATCTGTTGTAAAAAAGGTGTGACTAACAAAAAAACCGGGAATATTTTTACATCAGTTACATGCCAAAATTCAATATAAAATATACTTTTGAAGAAGTGGAGTCTAATGGTTTATTATAGAACAGGATTATTTGAAAGAACAATTTGGTTTTAAGTGTGATAGGGTATTATATGTATTGCAAATATACACAAAGAAAATTTCCAATCTCCAATATGCATAGAAAATATACACAAAAGGAAGAGTATAATCTAAATAATTGGTGGAGGATAGGCCAAATTAAAAAACATGTTGAGTCGAGAACAGATTGAGTCTATGTTCATCACCATAAACTAGCTGTCTGTCGTGCTAAGATGTTCCATAAAATAATGATAGGGCCGAGCAGAATTTATTTTCACCGGTTCGGCCAAACCATTGAACAACGGCAGCGCTTCTCCATTGAGTAACTGTAACACCATTGCAGTGCCTATTCCCCCATTCCGGATACCTCGTAAACGACCCATTATAATATCTTCATTTGGTGTTCCAGGAAAACAAAACAAAAACAGTCAATATAGCTATACATATATGTCCTGCCATCATTATTGTTATCTTTCAAAGGCAACAGTTACATTAGAGAACCCAAAAGGCTATGTTATAAGAAGGCTTGACGCTAATGGTTATTTTATGGACAGTACTGAAGAAGAAGTCCGAACGATTCAGGTATTAGACAAAATTGAACCCCATGCAGTTTAGATATTTTGCTATTTCAAAATAGACTATATTGCACAATGGACTATTTTACACCGCTTTACAATTTACAATAGACTATTTTACAACCGCTTTCTTATTGATTCCCAATACTCGTATACATACTAATCATCTGATTATTTCTGGGAATTTGTGACGCATATCGGCCAGACTGAAAGATATAAGGCCAGATTTCGGCGGCAATCTCCGGTCTCTTAAACCGGCATATATTCGGTTACAACTTAAGACTATGAAATAGGCTTTAAGTAATAAAGTTGGAAAATTTATTTGCACGAATGATTTATTTTAAATTTAGATACTTAAAGATAAAACAACGTCAGTCTATTTTGCAATAAAAGCTGTTGATTTAGGAAGCCTGGATATTCAAGTGTATGCTAAGAGTTCTGATCACCAGGCCGGGGATAGACTAATAAAACCTTTATTAGTTGAAGTAAGTAAACCTGTCATAATCTGTTTTTGCATATATTATTATATGCCATCACTTATTGCGGATTACATATAATATGCTGGTCAGTGTGATTTAATATCAACATTTGGGGTCACCAGTTTTAAAGTCACAGTTTTTACAGTTTGGTGTACATTACAATGTCATGACTTTACTTTCAGGCTGAAGGTGTACCATCGGAATATTCAGAAACAATGCTGATTAATTTAGTCGGAGACTCTTCACAAACTGTTGAACAGACGCTTACTCTTTCTTTCCCAAATAATTGTATTGACGGTTCAAAAAGAATTCAACTTACCGCTTATGGTATTTATATGATTTGTATTTAGCGTAGTTAACTTCATAAAATGAAAGTGTAATGTTTACCGGGTTGTTGGGACCGCGGTGACTCGACGAGTAAGACTTTGGCTCGCTAACCTGGAGGTTCCGTGTTCAATCCCAGTGTTTGCCGAGAGCAGTTTAGTTGAAACAATAGTTCATTAATCTGAAAAGGGTTAAACAACATAAAGTTCTTTCCTAGGGATACAGAAAATAGTAAACACTATAATATAAACATAAGATAAAACATAATAAATTGTAAAACGGAACAGTTTTATTTTGAAAGTGATTTGTACATAATACAAGCTATGTAATTATTTGATACAATGTAAAAGAGAACAAAAAACCTATTGGTGGCTTTTATAAAATTATGGACTGCTTCGAATATCAAAATATTAGAATTGTTCAAAGGATCTGTAGAGCCATTCAAAATTAGATCTAGATTAATAGTGTCTCTAACTACCTTTAATGAATTTAGTAGTGCGATTCTGATGGTTGAATTAATTGCCAATCGAAGAGGTGGTAACTAACTTCATTCGAAGAATTGCATTTTGGACATATTTTTGATTCAGCGATAACTGCACTTGAAGACTATTCCATAGTTTTATTGTATTATACACTTTTACACTGTGGTATTTTCAAATTATGATTTCTCAGAATGTAGTAGTTCGCTTTGTGTTTTATTTGAAGTTGAGTTTTATTGGGATTTCAATATTATTATTTACGTTATCCATGTTCACAACCGATTTCACTAACGCCCACCGCCAATTTGAAGTGATTTTAGATTTAAAATCACCTTTCGCTATTTCTAATTTAGGGAACTTTAGCCAATTGTTGGATTATTTGACTGTTTGGCACGTGTATGAGCTCGATCGAAATTTAAGCGATCACAGTTATTTATAAAAAGTTTATCATTAGGTCTAATTGTGACTATTTTTGTAGGAATACACTGTAAATAATATTTGTGTATTTTTACCGTAAATTGACTGCCAGAAAGTTGCCAGTAAAATGACTGTATTTTAACACTGACTTGTAAATTTACATCTAAGTGGTAGATTTAGATTTACATCTAAGTGGAAGATTTAGATTTACAAACAGCATGTAAATTTACAGATAGTGTAAAATAACTTCGATGTAAATTTACATTGTGCTTGTAAACATGGAATGAATGAAATGAAATGGGGTTTAACGTCCTACTGTTCTGCTCCTAACCTGGGCTAATGAAGACGGGCATACGCCATACAGTGTGCTATGTGGGAAATTTTGCCCGGGCAGCGGCGCTACGGCCTACTCTTATATCGAATTCCAACTGGCAAAGGATCTTTTACGTGCACGCCCATGTGTACATGGGACCTCGGTTTTTCGTCCCATCCTTGTCAGGCCCTCCATCCTGCATCACTGACAAGGGGAAACCACGTCAGTGATTCAGGATGGAGGGCCTGACAAGGACAGCTGTCTAGTCGTTCGGATGGGACGAAAAATAGAAAGTGAGGTAAATTTACATTCACTGTAAATTTACACCGTGGTTGTAAATTCACCTCAAAGTTATCTTACACTCACTGTAAATTTACACTGTGGTTGTAAATTTACCTCAAAGTTATTTACACTCACTGTAAATTTTCGTGGTGATTGTAAATCTAAATCTATCATTTAGGGGTGGGTACATTTACAAGTCAGTGTTAAAATACAGTAATTTTACTGGCAACTTTCTGCCAATCATTTTACAGTAAAATACAATTTGAAGCGTATATTTTGCTTGAAATATACTTTGAAAAGGTGATATTTTTAAAGGGGATGTGTTTGTCCCCACTCGGCTAAGTAGTCCTAGGTTCGATCCTGGTGAACACATAAAGTTTTGCGGACCTTTCAGCCGAGCATGCAAAATCTTATTCGATAATGGAAAGAAATTAAATAAAATGGAGTTTAACGTCCGACTTTTCTGCTTCTTACAATGGAAAGAGTGGGAGGCATGACACGAAGCAAAATATCCCACACAATCCAATGTATGATATATCACTGTCTCGATACGCCTGTTAGGTGCATACAGATTTTGAATAACCTATTTCTGTAAAATAGACTAACCTGACTGACATAACAGTAAATATTTGGCACAAAATTCGATATGTGGTCGAAGGGGAATAACCGATTTGAACACTATATGACAGTAAATTTACAATTTGTTGTAAACATATTATTTCAAACGACATTCCTGTTAATATACAGGATCACATAATGTAAAATGACATATGGTTGTATTTCTACTTTACGTTTGATGTAATCTTACATGTGGCCGAAGAGGGAATAACAGATGTGGTCACTATTTGACAGTTAATTTACAATTTGTTGTAAAAATAATAATTCAAATGGCATTTCTGTTATATACAGTTCACATAATGTAAACTGACATAAAATGGTTGTATTTCTACATTAAGTTTGATTTAATCTTACATAAGCCTTGTATTCATATGCATTTAAGTTAACAAACCATGTGATATTCCAAATCGGACACTGTATTTTAAGTAACTTATAACTGTAAATATATATATACTTTTAACAATTTAATAGGGATCTCTTACGTACACGCCAATGTGTACACGGAACCTCGGTATTTCGTCCTATCCGAACGACTAGACAGCTATCCTTGTCCGGTCTATATCCCTGGCAAGGGGGAACTACACCGGAAAATCTGGATGAACTTTCCCGACCAAAGCAGGTATCGAACACTCGACCTCCAGACTAGCGAGCCAGCGTTTTACCCACTTAGCCACCGAGACAGTAATTTCATGGAGTATAACCCCTGATTGTATTAGTTTGGAGGTCATAATTTGTATCCGATTTAAAAACGTTTTAATGTAACACCGTTACACCACAATTTCGTGAAAATCGGATCGAAACTGCTCGACAAAATGGCCACTATCTGTACACAAATAGTGTAAAGGTATGTAATACCAAGATTGTGGACCCTCTAGAATCTATAGGTCACAATTTTTATCCAATATTGATAAAACTTAAAATATATGTTTATATCCCAAAGATCTGGGTTCCTTTCGGTACTTGGGCGTATCGGGTTGTAACTTCTTGCATTATGGCCCCTAATTGTATGTAAAATCGTCCTTTTTAGCATTGTCCATCTCTTGCAAAATTTGGGCGTATCTTGCATGGCAACCGCTGGTTAATATTATATAATTTGTTTATGTCTTTACTTTTAAAATCTGTTGTTGACCATATGATTCATTTAAGAGAATCACATAATCCATTAAAATTAGTTTGTTTAAAACTTTTGATTTTCCGTTTATATGATAGTTGTTTATATTTGTTGAAGTTGATTTCAATAGTTATTAATGAATGAGTACTACAGATAGAATGTGATACTGTATATCTAGAACTAAGATATCTTTTATTTTTAATAATAGTTGTGCAGGTAGTTAGTCAATATACAAGATGTACTAAATCAAAGCGTTGTAAAAATACATATAGGCTATTGGAATTACTGGGATTAGTAGTGAAAGACGGAGGGCCTGGCATGGACAACGTACAGTCGTTTGGATGGGACGAAAAACAGATCCCTTGTACATATTTTAATATTAGAAATATAGGTAAAATAGGTAAATGTGTAACTGTACAGGCCACTAAGTCACTTGTTAATTCTCTAGTCACTTCTCGATTAGATAACTTTAATTCACTTTTAGTTGGTTTACCTTTAAAGCTTATAGATAAATTACAAAAAGTACAGAATACTGCGGCTAGACTTGTTACTTTAACTAAGAAATGTGACCACATAACTCCTGTTTTATATAATTTACACTGGTTACCTGTTAAATATCGAATTGATTTTAAGATTTTATTACTTACTTTTAAATGTTTAAATAATTTAGCTCCTGTTTACCTCTCAGATCTTTTAGAACTTTATACACCTTGCCGACTACTTTTAAAGCCCAAAACTGTTCAACTAGTCTCTTATGGTCAGCGCTCTTTTAGTTATCAAGCACCTGTTTTATGGAATAATCTACCATTTAGTTTAAGATGTTGTACATCTCTATATTCTTTTAAAAAACAACTTAAAACACATTTATTTAATCAGGCTTTTAACTGACTCTGTATACAATCGTTAACATGCCCATAATCTTGTTGTTTATGTGTGATTTACATTGTCACTTTGTAAAGTGCCCCTGAACATGTTATATGCAAGGGTGCACTATAAATATGCTGTAATAATAATAATAATAATAATAATATTGGCCTGCATGTAAAATAACCCTTGACAGTTGGAATTTGATAGGAGAATATTTCGTAGCGCTAGTGTCCGGGCAAAATTTCTATCATAGAATAAGGCGTGGCATATTAGGCTCGTCCTCATTAGCCCACTCGGTGCAGAATAGTAGAACATTTCATTTATCGGGTTGTTGCTCTTTTCGGTAATTGTTTTCAAATCTTTAAGCAGGGTGGCGGTAAAATTAATGACGACAATATTCTAAAACACTGGTTATTTCTTGTATCGCTCATCCGAGATATTTATCAAAATATGAAGTAGGGCGCTAAACCCCGTTATATTTCATTAATTTGATTAATACTCTATCTTATTAAAGGTGATACAATGGCCGGTACCTTATTCAATTTGGGTCTATTAATCAGGATGCCTTATGGATGTGGTGAACAGAACATAGTTACCTTTGTACCAAACATCTATGCCCGTAAATATATAGACGCTGTTGGTACTTTAGATGCACAGACAAAAAGTGATACAGAACTGTATATGAGAACAGGTATTTGAATTGAGTATTAAGTTTAAATGGGGTTCGTCTAATTTCAGTTACAGTTACCTGTACACAGTAGTTAACAGTGACCGCATCAAAGTCTGCTTTTTTGGCATAGAGTTCAAGAATTTAGAGTTAAATTTAGTCAGTGTCGCAAATGGATGCCCTTGGCTACGAGGCATATGATCACGAGAAATAAAACTTGGCTTCCTATTGAAAGAAAGAAAAAGCATTGCTTAAAGTATTGTTATACATCGATAACCAGTACATGTGTAAATCCGGTACTGGATTTAGTGCACAGAAAAGAATAAGAGAGGTGTGTATTATGACCTAGGTCCTTGATGGTTTTCCAGGAATGCGGTACGGATTTATTAACATCACCAAACTTAAACTATATACAGTACTTTCTTCTCCAAACAGGCTATTCCAGAGAACTAAATTATAGAAATCGAGATGGTTCCTATTGTCCATATAGTGGCTACGGATCTGGAAGTCAATGGTATCTATGTGTTTTATATAAATTCAAAACGATATATTGAAATAGGAAACGCTAAAACTAATATATTGGTGTCCTCTCGTTTGTACCGAATACTAGAGAGAACTTTATATAAGATATAACATAGCCACTGTTAAATATGTCAAACCCTTACATGGGCTGAGATGGAAAATATGCATTGTTAGGGAGAGATTTTGGCAACCTGGGCCTTAAATGTTTTTTTGTTTTCAGGTTGACCGCCTATGTACTTCAATCTTTTGTTGCTGCCAAACAATACATTTACGTGGATGATGAAGTCCTTAGATCAGCTGCCAGAGCTTTGATAGACAACCAGAATTCTAATGGAAGTTTTACTGAACGAGGAAGAGTAACCTTTAGAAGTTCATTTGTAAGTCTTCTGCTATGCAGATTTCATAAACAAAGTGAGAATCACAAATTGTCTCCTAGGGAATCTGAAAATGCAGTGCCAGAACTAGAACATGTCTAAGATTTCAATTGTTACTATTTAATACAAGTATTTTGACGACTATACTGTTGAAACAGGGTGTCCAATAACCAATATGCGATCTATATGGAAATTGTTATACATGTACTTATTTTTCAACATAATCCCTTTTGATACCAATGCACTTGTGCCACCTTTCCTCCAGCATATTTAACCCGTCAAATTCACTGTTTGGCTTATGGGAAGAGGAAGAAGTTAGAGGGAGCTAAACGAGCGGTGTGAATTAGAGTGAATAGTCCGGGTTTCATGACCCACAAAAGCACGTGGATTTCTCCGATAGTCCCCGAAAAGCAAATGTTCATGGATTATTGGCTCCACTGAATGTCATGTGTAGTAGCTAACTGTCTTAAAGGACAATATTGGTGCCAGTCATTCACATATGTGATAGAACTGGTTAAACACGTTCCAAATATTATATTATCACAGAGATCATTGCTACGATAGATGCGTAATCAGTGCTTCAACAATCGGAAGTGACGAACGCAAAAGGAAAACACGAGTTATCCCGCTATATAACTGACCGAAGTTACGAGTGATAACAGATACATGGGCGAATTTCTGCTCACTAATAATTCCTTCGAAGACCAAAAGTTGTTATATGAGACTGTAAGAGTATATCTGACAATTCAAAAAATTAATTGAATGTCATTAGATAAGAGAACACGAAAAAAAAAAAAAATAGAAAGGAACTTATAGCACGTTTAATTCATGTTTTGCTGAGATACTTATCTAGCAACATGTAAGCTGATTGGTTGATATTTTGGATATCCGTTCATGGTGAGGCCTGGTACCCTTGTGACACTCTCGTATTTTTACGATTAATAATACACAGTTGAAACATGGTATTTGTCTTTACGATATAATATAATGGTGAAACAGGATATTTATCTTTACAATATAATATATTTAGGAAACGTGGTACTTATCTTTACGATATAATATACTGTGGAAGCCCATTTATCTTTACGATATAATATACCGTGGAAACATGGTATTTATCTTTATGGTCTAATGTTAAAACATGGTATTTATCTTTACAAGCTATTTATTTCTACGATATAATATAATGACGAAACATCGTATTGTTGTTGAAACAGTATATTTATCTTTACGATGAATGAATATATCGGTTCTTTAAAAGACTCTCCAGGGCCTGTGTTTGATATTATTTGTTATTCATTAGCCCGATTCAGGCAGAAAAAGTAGGACATTCAACCCCATTTCATTTATTTTTAGGGCGAATCTACAAATGGTATAGCATTAACGGCTTTTATAGTCATTGCTTTGAGTGAGGCAAATAATGTTGCAGGGATTAATGTAAGTCTTTATGTCATTTAAGCATCGTTTAATACAAGAACCATATTATCCCTTTCCACAATGGAGTCACGGTGGCTAAGTGAGTAAGACACTGGCTCACCGCACTGGCTCGCTTGCTTGGAGAAAGTTCATAAGGAGTTTCCGGCGTAGTTTCCTCTTGTCAGTGGTGCAGGACGGAGGACCTGACAAGGACAGTTGTTTAAATTGTGGCCTCGCTTATATATATTTCTATATCTTCTCTAGGCAACAGCAACAATATCAAAGGCTGTAAATACTCTTTCAACAGAATCCCTAAATATGACCAATGTGTTTGATCTGGCAATTACTGCTTATTCTTTTGTAACTTCCGATAACCTATCACTACTTGACGATATAATGGCTAAACTAGAGAGTTTGAAAACCACCGATGGAGATACTGCATTTTGGGAGGTTAAACCGCCGAAAAAGGTGCATTCTTTGTGGCATCTCAAAAAATATAACGCAGCATCAGTAGAGTGTACGGCTTATGTTTTATTGGTATATGCTCATAAAAAAGATTTAGTGAAGGGTATCCCTGTCATGAATTGGCTAATAAAGCAACGGTCTGGTATTGGTGGATATCGTAATTCACGGGTAAGCTATGCTCCTACTTATTATTGTCATGAATAATTATTGTGATGAAAAAACAACTGAAGATGCAACCGAAATACCAGAATCACCAGCACAATGAGACAAACATACAGACAATGAACGACATCAGAAATCCTGTGGGATGCTGAGTACCCGAAACAACCGAGTATGGCAGTAGTGGAGTCCATATTGTACCAAACTGAAAAAGACGGGTCGTTTTTATTTCAGAATGCATTTAGCTCTAACGTTAGTGATTTTAGACTACAATTTGCGTTTTATTTCTTTTTGCACAACATTTCACAATAAATTAGCGTTTATTAATATTTTGAAATTTCATTCATTTAAGGATACTGTTGTAGCCGTTCATGCTCTGTCAGAATTTGCTCCATTACTTAAAGACGTGCCATTAGATGCAGCTTTGACTGTAACTGCTTGTAAAGATATTCATAATTGGAGTTTCACCAAACCAAACGCCATGATACAAAGAAAAGCTGTGGTAGGCAAAAACTATTGTAACTCTATTAAAAGGTATTAACATCCGGAAACACTTTCAAAATCCGCCATCGAAGCAATCACATATGTTACTTTTCATTTCGTGAGAGAGAGAGAGAGAGAGAGAGATGGGAATTTATGTCCAATCGACACAACTATGTCATTTCGGTAATAGCACATTGTTTAATTTTATTTCAATAATTCGCTTGCTCGTAGGGGTCTTTAGAAGTGGGCGGAAACCCGAGGACCTGGAGAAATTCCACGAGGTTGGACAGGCGACCCTACTCCTTGTCACGTACGCCAGTTGACTCAATGACAGACCTTATGATACAGCAACCAGCACGTACGTGCTAACCATTCGGCCATCCACCCCCACCCCACCCCATCCCATTTCGTTAGAACACATTCCTGCTAAACATGTACGCCATCAAAAATAAGTATTCATTTTCCCTGGCATTCTCTAACTTTTAAAATCTGCCCAAAGTATAATCCTGAATCCTTGAGAAATCAGTATTTCTTTTGTTTCAGCTAAAGGAGACATCAGAAACGATTAATGTCCAGGCCACCGGTCAAGGAAGAATGTACTTGACGGTAAGATTCTTGGAAAAAACATTTGATAATAATCCTAATTTCAATAATTGTCTAATTAGCGATATAATATTCACTCAAAATATCTTTTTAAAGGCACTGGTAAAATGTAATGTGGAAGATATTGAGGCTACAACAGCTTTCTTAGCGCGAGTTCAGATTCTTGAAGAAACATCTGCACTCCTTAAATTACAAGTCTGTGCGGAGTAAGTATCGTTAATAATTTTAGCTTTTACACAACTTGTGAACTTGTGTAAAACAATGTGTTGGTATTCGCAGTATGCGTTTCGAATTTCTCTATTGTCATAGATTCGATACCTGCCGAGTTCAGTTCTCTAATCTTTATCAAACCGTGATAGAATTATATAAAATGGTGGAACAACAATAACAACAACTAAGTCACTGATTACCTATAATCCTAGTCGAAACGTTGTAGAAAAAATAAGCAATCAATATTAAATAGTGTGCTGGGTTATAGTTTAGTTTAGTTATTAATACCCCCCTCAGACCGGGTGGTGTCCTTACTGCGCTGCTAAGGCGACAGGAAATAGTCTCAGATCGCGTTAAGATCGCGTAGTGGAAACGCCATGGTCGCCAATGATCGCCGTGTCACTGTGTGTGTTTTTAGCATTCTCAAAACAAACGCCAAGGTTATGCGATCTGACCTGGAAAGCTGGCTGTGAGAACGTGGTAGGGTCGCGAAGTACAAGCGCAGTACACACGTGGCAAAGACGCAGCGAAAATTGCAACGGGTACTTCATGGCGCCTTCACGACGACCCTCGCGTGTCTTCCACAACCCCACCAAGCGTTCGGAGTGTTTATGGCGTTGTCATGGCGATGTTACGATGATTTCACCACTGTTGTGCAATTGCACCACGTCCCCATGGCGATCTTATAGGGTCCTCGCTGCGTTTATGGAGTTCTTAATACGACCATGGCACGGATACCAAGCTTGCATTACGCTCCTATGGCGACCATGCTTTTGCTATAGAAGCAAGTGATTCAGAGTTTAAACATCAGTGTGTATGCCGTCATCTTGAAATTTTTAAAAATCTGACCAGCTTATATAGTCGCCGTGATTACGCAGTAAAAACGCACGTGCAGTCGCGATACAAGTAGAAGACGTGTGGTAAGAAAGAACCCCATGAGCGTGGTTAGAGTGCCGTGGGTTCGCCGATGATCGTCCCGGTCTGACGGGGACTTAAAAGACATAGGTACAATTTATAACAAACATACCATTCCCTACAGCTGTATTTCGGCTTTTTTGAGAACAATTAACCCCCGTATTCGACTATATTTTGCAACAGTCTCTGGCTCCCAGACCAATAAATTAATTGTCTTCTGTATGAATATTACTAACTGTACCTCTGTATGAATATGATTGAGTTGTCAATGACACGTAACCATTAATTATATGATTTATATTCATTAATATTAATATGTTTAATATAGGTACACTGTTAATGGCTCATCCAGTGGTATGGCGATTATGGAAGTAGGGATTGTTAGTGGTTTTACCTTAGATAGTAGTAACCTGGCAACTCAGACAGAGATTAAACGATTTGAGTTGGGATTCAGGAATGTGATTTTATATTTTGATCAGGTATACATTTTTTCGATTTGTCTAAATTCTCTTTGTTTATTAGAATGTTTACAGTTTTTTTTTCGAAGTAAATTATGGGGTGAGGTTACATTTAAAATTTAAAAAAAAACCCAATTACTTACTGTTCTTATTTGCCCTATTTACCCGCAGATGGTCTGGCATTGAATCAAGTGGTGTGGTTTCGATTCGCCACTTGTACGTGACAATGAGTAGGGTTGTCTGTCTAACCTCTCGGGTTTTCCCCGGGACTTCCAATTTCCTTCCACTGATAATTCCCCCTACGCGCAAGCAAACTATTGAAATAAAATTGAACCATGTGTTACTCCCGAAAAGATCTAGTTTGTATCGAGTTGACGTTAAACCCCATTTCTCCTTTTTTTATTTACCCGCAGAAGTCATTTCCAGAAAATTTCCATCCTTTGTTACGAAAACACGGGTTCCGTGTACACGTTGGCGTGCACCTAAAAAAATCACTGGACCGTTGGAATTTGATAAAGCGTAGGCGTAACGCCGCTGCCCGGACAACATTTCCCTCATACCATACTGAATGATGTATTACCCATCTTTATTAATCCGGTTGCTGCAGGGCATTAAACTACATTGCTTTGCATTTCATTTCAACTTATACCGATATTCAAATACAGTTAGTTTGAATATCAAAAGAACTGGAAAGTAGTTACAAAGAACTGGGAAGAGGGGAACTTAGTAAGAAATGGTTACTTTAGCCATGATTTGAGACATGAGATGAGTCATCGTTTTTCTGGACCCGTCACTTATTCCACAGAGTACATGTTATGAGGTTAGAATATAGATTTAAACGTAAACAAAAACAGTGTATTAGTTATATTACATTAGATTTAAGTTCTATCAATATAAATAATGCAATAATTATCGTTAGATTTAAGTTCTATCAATGTAAATAGTGCAATAATTATCGTTAGATTTAAGTTCTATCAATGTAAATAGCGCAATAATTATCGTTAGATTTAAGTTCTATCAATGTAAATGCAATAATTATCGTTAGATTTAAGTTCTATCAATGTAAAAAACGCAATAGGTATCATAACGTTAATATGTTCTGTCAATTTAAATGGTGTAATAATCAAACTGTTAGTTTGATGTTGAATTCTATCAATGTAAATAGTGCAATTCGTCATCTAATATCGAAGGACGCAGCTCATACTCTGGTTCGATCGCTCGTCTAATCAAGATTAGACTATTGCAATAGTTTGTTATCTGGAATACCTCACAAACTGATATCAACACTCCAAACCGTTCAAAATACTGCAGCTCGAATCATCAGTCGATTAAACAGGAACTCGCACATTACACCGGCACTCATGAACTTCATTGGTTGCTAATTAAATCATGAATGGATTTTAAGCTCTTGTGGCTTGCGTCTAAATGTTAACATGGAAATGGACCTTCCTATCTAGCAGATCTGTTATTACCATACTTTCCTGGACGTCCACCCCGTTCTCAACAAGAACATCTTCTTATAATCCCAAAATATAAACTCAAATCATTTGGATACGGATCGTTTGTTCATATTGTGCCTGTTCAGTGGAATTCATTGAAGCTGAACATTTAAGGACAATATTGGTGTCAGTCATTATAAAATATGTGATAGAACTGGTTAAATACGAACAAATTAGAAAAAGTCCGCGCATTACCATGTTTTTATTAAGAACAGAATGAATAAAAACGGGGGAATGCACGGGATTTTTCTATTTTTCTCGTTTTCCCTTATCTAGTGACAGCCAATTCTATTTTTGAATTGTGAGATACCCTCTCACCGTCCCATATAATAACTTTTCAACTTCAACAGAATTATCAGTGACATGAAATTCGATCGATGGTCTGTTATCGCTCGTTACATCAATCAGATACATAGAAGGATAACTCGTGTTTGTCATGTTTGGCGTCACTTCCCGTTTCTTCACGTGCTTGTTACACATCTCCCGTAGCAATGATCTCTTTGTTAAAATTATATTTAGAATGTATTTAATCAATTCTATCACATATGTAATTATGACTGACACCAATATTGTCCTTTAAACTGTCATCCAGCCTAGAGACATTCAAAACTAATTTTAAAACTCATCTATTTGCGGCCTATTATGGCACCCAGTCTGTGTAGCGCCTCGAGCATGCATACAAGCATGGAACTGTGCGCGATATAAATATACATATTATTATTAATAGTTATCATAAAGTTAGATTTAAGTTCTATCAATGCAAATAGTATAATAACTATCACACCGTTAGTAGTTTGATGTTTAATTCTGTTAAGTTATTTGTGTGAATTAAAACGGCCGATGTGTTTTTTTTTAATATTTATTTATATTTATAGATAACCAACAACTCTACGTGTGTTGAAATTCATCTGATAAGATCAGATAAAGTAGGAAAAGTAAAACCGGCTTTTGTTAAAGTCTACGATTACTACGATTCTGGTAGGTTTCTTTACACCATCACACGTCACACTATGAGAAAGACCAATTGTTTACATTAACATAACTAATTGTTCAATGCAAAGGGTGTTAGGTTGATTTTTATTCCCCAATATTTGGTGGTAGACATTGGTCTTTTCATCTGGAAATCTATTAAGTGTAGGCATAAATACCGCAGTAATATATTTAAAAAATCTTTTGAAGTGGTACTATGCTGTATTAATTTCTGGTGGATCACGATGGCTAAGTGGGTAAGACGCTGGCTCGCTATATCCTGGAGGTCGGGTGTTGATCCCTGAATTGGCCGAGAAAGTTCATCCAGATTTTCCGGCGTGGTTCTCCCTTGTCAGTGATGCAGGACGGAGGGCCTGGCAAGGACAGTTGTCTAGTCGTTCGGATGGGACAAAAAACCGAGGTCCCGTGTACACATTGGCGTTCACGTAAAAGATCCCTTGACAGTTGGAATTCGATATAAGAGTAGGCCGTAGTGCCGCTGTCCGGGCAAAATTCCTCATAGCACACTGTATGGCGTATGCCCGTCTTCATTAGCCCATTTTGGAACAGAACAGCAGGACGTTAAACCCTATTTCATTTCATTTCATTTCATTTTGTATCAATTCCTTGAAATGCTATACTAAGTCTGTTAAAGATACGCTATATTATTGCTATATTACAGATAATTCTGTGACTGTGTTTTATCAAGCTGTAATGGCTAGTCAGATGGAAGTTTGCGATTCATGTACAGCTAACTGTGATATTTGTATTGTAAGAAAATATTTCAATATTTACTATATACATGTAGTTGGTATTCAAGTAAAAATAATATATTGTATTTTCGAATATTTATTAAAATAATCATTGTTTAGGAGAATGTCACCACCGATTGATGCACTGTTGGACTGAAGCGAGTTGAGCGCTCACAAATAATAATAATAATAAAAAATAATTAGATTTTTCTTGACTGCACGGTATGTTTATTCATGGCAGGAAAATTAACTAATTTCGTTCATGAACTGAATTTTATGTGTGGCTTCACGAATACCTAGATGGTGGTTTACACGAGTTGACCTGGTTTGGCTTTGAAAAGGAAAACCCCCAAGGACTTGTTCACAGGGCTATTGATTTGACTTGATGCTAATTTTATCATATGTTATTTTGTGATATGCATATTTCGACGGAGTAGCATCTTTCATGAATTAGAACATGGATAGACACAAATTTTAACAATTTTAATAATAAGGTTTATTTTTCTTTTAGGAGTTGCAACGCAGAAGACGATGACGATAAACATGTGTGCAAAGAAATTGTGTATAATCCGGATTAACATTATAATGAAATATAAATGATTGTATATATAAGAATTGTTATTAAAATGTTGCATATCCGTATCCGAATTGTCTTTTAAATAGATAAGGCAATATATGCCTATCCTTGCTAGAACATCTGATGCCACTTCTTGTGTGAGTTCACAAATCTAATAACATTTTGTTGTCTTTTAGCATTTAAACAACTGGGCTGGTGACTGCTGGTGACCTTTGGTTCCGAGGTTATCTTAAATTCGATAGCCTTCACCCTAGTTTGCCATAAGAATGGGTATTCTTACTCTTGGCGAACGCTTTCATCCCTTTAATATAATTCAGGAGTCAGGTGGGTCAGTGAGTAAGACGGTAGCGCGCTAACCAAGGGATATCGGGTTCGCTGCCGATGTTGGCCGACAAAGTTTCTCGAGGAGAGGATTGCGTGGAGAATAGTAAATACTTATCCGCCTACTCCTCTTCGAGTTGGATTTTCCGTACCATCAGAATAGGGTTTAACTGAACTCTGTTAAGTGTAAAAGGACACAGGGTGGGGGTCTATCGCTTGCGTTTTAAATCATAAGATCTGGCATTTGAGTCTGACATGATAGGAAGCTGGGCCGCCTTTCCAACTCTCCTGGGTTCTCCCGGATCCGCCGTTTCCTCCTCCTACTGCTACAGCGAATTATTAAAATATAATTGAACCATAAAATTATTAGTTCCAAAATGGCCTAGTTTGTGTCGAGTGAACGTTACTCCCCCCTCCCCTCACTTGTTTTTTCATTACAAACGAAAATACGAAAACTCTTTAGGTTCTCTTCGCCCAAGCCTGGAATGGGACTCGGCGTCCAAAAACTGACAACCCTCGGGGAGTGAATGACGTGAGCTTTTAGGCAAATTACTGTGCGGACTAGTTCAAAAATATGTATCGTTTTAGGGTTTGCTTGAAATAAATTAATCGTAGACATTCTCTTAACTTTCTACTCGTGCTTACACCCAGCATTGAAATAACAGAATGAGAAAATTTTGAGAATGTCTTTATCTTTACTCACAATGGCTGGATCACATTGCTTTGGGTCAAATTTATAATGTGCTGATTTATTTTATGGGATGATAATCGTTGACAATTTACGTCTATACTATTCAAAAAAAGTAGGGGATATTTGATTTTTAAGTGTTATTAAAGTCACCTAATGAAACTGACGAAGAAACAAATGACAAAATGAAATGAAGTTCACATTCATCGATTTATTCCAAATGATCGTTAGACTAAGTAAGGCACAGACTGACCATTATAAGGGTAAAATGATACCCGGGGTCAAACAGCAAAGTTACCACAGCATCACAACCAAGTCAGTAACGGGTAAATCCTCCTCTGTTTGCCAAACAAGCATTGATCCGACGTGGCATACTCCTAATGAGACGTCTAAGGTCATTTTGGTCCAGATTGTCCCATTCCTGTTGCAACGCAGCAGCAAGTTCTTGGACATTGGCAGGACGTTGTTGACGTTGGCGTAACCTCTGTCCAAGCATGTCCCAGACATGCTCGATGGGGGAGAGGTCGGGACTCAGTGCTGGCCAAGGTAATGTGGTGATGTTCTGTTGTTGGAGGTAACCTGTAACGATCCTGCCCCTGTGACATCTTGCGTTGTCATCCTGGAAGATGAAACGGCGGCCATGACGTCGTGCGAACGGCACAACATGGACTGCCAAGATGTTGTCCCGGTAGTACTGGCCTGTAACACGCCCTGCAACAACATGTAAAGCCGTTCTTCCAGCAACAGTGGTGCCTCCCCACACCATAACAGAACCACCCCCAAATCGATCATGTCTGATGACGTTAACGTCTTGGAAGCGCTCGTTTCGACGACGCCACACCCTCCTACGTCTGTCCAAAAAATCAACAGTGAACCTTGACTCATCTGAAAACATCACATTGCTCCAGCGTCGATTATCCCAGTGTTGACGATCCCTACACCAACGACGTCTTGCCTGAATGTGATGATCTCTCAAACAAGGGATCACGCGAGGACGTCGGGCGCGAAGGTGACCCCTATGCAGTCGATTCCGAATCGTCTGGCCACTCACTCTCACACCAGTGTCTGTTTGAAGACGAGCGCTGATCTGATTTGCTGTGATGACACGATTTCTCAAGGCCAAGGTACGGATAAATCGATCCTGGGCTTGAGTTGTCGCCCTTGGTCGACCTGAGCGTGGTCTGTCCTGTACATATTGTGTATCACGGTATCTGGACCATAGCCTGCTTATGACAGACTGAGAAACATTCATCGTCCGCGCCACAACCGCCTGTGTTGTGCCGATCTGTAGCATGCCAAGGGCACGTAACCTTTCATTTTGGGTAAGCCGACGCATATCAAAATTTGTTTTCTGGTCACTAAAACAATTAAACTGATGTTTCCACCCTGGAATTCAATGCCACAATGACTGTAACATTCAAAGTCAGAGTCGTGCAAATCTTGGGTTGGACCCCCATGATGATCCCAAGCATCACCTGCATTCCATGCGGTAGCTATTGGTGCGTTTGGGCGTCACATGTAACTGGAAATGTTTCTTCTGTTAGGTTCTATAGTGACTTTTTTCGTAGTCATTTGCATATTTTAGTATTATGCCCCCAAAATCAAATATCCCCTACTTTTTTTGAATAGTATATAACGCTAATGTTGATAAATAACTAATTTCGTATTCCACTTACGCAACACTAAGCCGAAAATACAATCTGATTAAAACATATAGAACTGTATTTTAATCAGATTGGCCGAAAATGAAATTAAAATTAGTAACAAGCGTAAACGTAATTCAAATAAGTTTATCTCCATTAATTTGTGTTATTCCTCGAAGAAAATATCAGCAAATTGAGACAAAAATTGAACAATGTAAAGATGACAGCTAATGTAATTATTATCTCTTTACGTCAGGTTATGGTAAATAATATAACAATTATTTTATCGATAATCGATATTACGTCATAAACAATAGCTGAGAGCTAATGCTGTTGATTGGTTGTGGATTAATGTCCCATTATATATACCTGTGAAACCGTTGCTTCTTTAAGATTCCGATAGAGAATATTGTGCAACTTATTGCTCCTCAGCACTGATATAGTGACCTACCATTAATCCCTCGATCTTTCGCAACGGTCGGGAACCATTTGTGGTAACATTCTCATCTGGAATCCCATGTCCTTATCCGGCTTTGGTTTAGAGCAGTGACTCACAAATGTTTTTTGAACTACGCCCCCCCCCACTCTCCTACCGTAAAAATCTGAGATCGATAACGTATATTGACTTCATCTCTACAAACCTAATGTGATGGGTGTGCTCAGTGCTTCGGTTTTAATTCTGGGATATTCAAAAAGAGGGACCGGGTGTACCAAGGCATGCATGTTATGTTCAAGGCCCATGAGAATTCATTTGAACAGTAATATATTACATAACAAAATGCCTTATAAATTGTTTCAAATACATACATTCAATTGATATTTTATAACAAAAAGCCCAAAATATAAAAAATGAAGATAGAAATACATGATTTAAATAAATATTACTTTGTCTTAATTTGTTTGGTGTCTTTTATCACATAGCCTAGTGAATAGCCTATAGTGTATTATATAATAAATAGTAATAGATAAGTTATTTTGTAGATATATATCAATATATACTTATATAAATACTAATAATATTTACATATCTGCACTATATATTAGCAGGGAGTTGTTGTTAGACCTATCGAATCTTCACAAACCGGGTAAGTTGTAATTTTTCAATAAACATACCAGGGTGGGTCACATTTTTCTTCAGAAGAATGAATATGAGACCAGACACATCCAGGGCTCAGAAAGGGCCAGGCTGAGTAAACCCAGGCCTAGTTTGCACCCGTTGTGCACGAAACGCCCCATTGGGTTAGGTTCACTCAAGTTAAATTACGTGAATTTTGGAGCCACGGTGGCTAAGTGGGTAAGATGTTGGCTCGCTAGCCTGAAGGTCGGGTGTTCGATCTCTGCATTGACCGTGAAAGTTCATCTTGATTTTCCCCAAGTGGTTTCCCCGTGTCAATAGTGCAGGACGGAGGGCCTGACAATGACATCTGTCTAGTCGTTCGGGTGGGACGAAAAACCGTAGTCCCGGATATACATTGGCGTGCACGTAAAAGATCCCTTGGCAGTCGGAATTCGATAGTGCCGCCGCTGCCCGGGCAAAATTTCCGCCATAGCACACTGTATAGCGTATGTCTGTCTTCATTAGCCCAAACGTAAATTTGACTTGAAATGTTTATTGCTGCGCTATAGATGGTCTCATTATCCGTTCATTAACCATTTCCACGCTTGACAGCAATTGCGGATATCGTTTTCATTGGTCTTCTATGTTTACGACTGCTACACCCATACAACGGGCATTGGGGAGAGGTCTAGAGTGTATGTGACTTGGAGACAGGGACGCCTTCTCAACCTTGTGGGTTTACACCAGGTACTCCGGTTTCCTTCCACAGGAAAGGCCTCAGCGCGTGCGCTGAGCATAGTAAAATAATAAACTTGTCTACGATGTTACACTCAGTTGAAGCGGACGTTAAACACTAATAGACAAAGACGGCAACGTGCACTAAGTTTTCTTTTCCGAAAAATATATGGTTCATTTCGTCTAGACTAGAGGTCCACCGTATACATGTCTACATGCACTTAATAAACGGTTGACAGTCGAAAATTGAAGAGTAGACACAATTACTCTACCTCGCATTGCACATGTATACATAGAACTAGAAATTTACCACATGTTTGTCTCGAAATGACCGAAGTATTCGGTTGGTCAGATATTATACCACAGTCCAGTTGATTTCAAGCATATAGACCGTCTTCATTAGCCTGATTGGTGCAGAAAAGTAGGACGTTAAATTCTATTTCGTTCATTCATTCAAAACCAGCATTGTTCTTATTGTTTTTACCGTCCGCTTAGAGCACGCAGAGTGGTCTTTACTGTGGGAGGAAACTGGAGTACCCGGAGTAATCCCACGAGGTCGAGAAGGTCCCCCCCCCCCCTATCAACAAGGCACATACGCTCACACAAGTCAT